GGGCTTGTTGGAGACAGACGGGATGTGATTCCAGCGTCAGGCTTTCCGTTGAGTGCAGGACAGACCTGGAAGATTATAAAAGAGGATAAGGACCTTGACTTACCAGCCCACAAGGTTAGGAAGTGATAGTTCTTTATATTGAAATTATTAATCTACTATTCATGATTAAGATGATATTTTAATTTTTCTCAAGGTTATGGTGGCTGCTGTACGATGCGAAGAGATAGCAGACATAGTATACTCTTCTTTTCAGGAAAATGAGGTTAATTCATTTGTTTAAATTTGTCCTGTGGAATGTTGTGCACTAGGATGTATTGTGTTGATTTAAGTTCACATCACTTGCCTTTACTGAAGGAATGGCGTAAGATACAAGTTGCAGTGCAATCTCATACAGTGCCGAATTTTGGAAAGAGTATTACTTCACTTATCAATACTTGCCTATCTGAGTAAGTCAAACTGACAAAAGACCTGGGTTAAGATCACTATATATTCTATTGTGCATTTTTTCCCCTTCAATCTGAAAGGGAAAGCTTTCATTTAAGATGGGGAAGAGTTCCTTTTCATGTGTGATTCTGTAGAATATCCGCTATACTCCTGGGTACGGAGTGGTGAATTTTGGAGATGGCCATTGGTTTGAATCTTAAGGTTTTGTTTAGGATTAAGATATGTTTGTGTTCTGACCTTTTCCTCTTTAGGTATGATGACAAAACCACTCATTATGATGAAGGCACGAGATTAAAAAAAAGAAAAGTGCTGGAAGAGCGTTTGCTGACAGTAATGATCATTACTATACTCTTGTTCTGATGTCAGAAGGGATTCTGTTTCTACTTAAAAAAATGTTGCTTTTATGATTTATTTTGTTTAGCAGATCAATTGTGTGTTTGCTGATAATAAATTCTGCTGGAATTATTGTAGGTTGTGCAACCTACTTACCAATTAATGCTGAGACATATTTGGACTGTTACCTTTGAGAGGTTTGACGAAGTATTTATCGCTGCTTTGAAGGGAGGAACAGAGTTTGTCAATGCTGCTGACGAATGCGTTGAGAATTCAACAGCACAGTTTACCGAAGCATTTGCTGGTAAAGTCATAATGGTTCTACGTACATCTTTTCCTACTTGCATCTAGTATGAAAACTTTGTTTATCCATCCATTTCTTTTCCAACGTCTATTTCGGTCCTATAATTCTTTATAGAATGCACGTACAATATTGCCATTGCTGAAGGAATAGTTTGTTTTTGGGTTAAATGTGGGAGTAAATAGTGGAGGTTGATAGATAATAAATGTACCATTAATTGGAGTAATTAATGAATGCTTTGGAGAGCCAAAAGAAAAGCTGGGAGAATAAGAGAAGTTTTATACTCTTTCATGTTATTTCTTAAATCCCCAATATATTTCCTAAAATCATTTCTACTACTATACTAAAATAGAATACTAGTAATTGTTTCTACTAAAACAGGAAACTAAATCATTTCTAAATTAGAATACTAGTAGCTCTCCTATTAGTTGTACGCAAATTATACATTTGATACACTAGTTGGGCAAAGGATTAGATATGATTGTTCGTTACAGGGACTTTTGCCACCATCAGAAGTCTTTTATAGAATGTTGTATATTTGGGAGAGAATGCCTATGAACTCTTTGTGGAGGGAACATATCTCTTAGCAATACAGTGTTTGTGCACCAGTAATTTCACCAACTCTAATAATGTCTTTATTATGAATTATTCCTAGTGTGTCATGTGTTTGATTTTTATGTCTTGGCAAAATATTTACTACAATTGCTTTATCTTTGGTGCAATTTCACACTCACTTTCAATTGTGTAGATGCCGTCATCGACCAAGGAAATTGGGACTCATCAAAAGTGGGGGACGAACTCCGGGCTTATATACTTGCATATGTTGACGGAGTTCTTGTAGACAAATTACATGAACTTTTAACCTTTCAAAAGGTAATGATTTGAATATTGCAATAACTTTTGCATTGAGTGTTTTAAATCAGAAGCATTCAGATTTTATTTAATCTTTTCAATCTATTTTATTAATGTCTTCTTACAATTTTGATGTTGCTCATTGCAATCAAGTCACTTGGTGAAAGGATAATATGTCTGAACAACTATATGTTTCTTTTCTTGGTGATTGCATCTGTGGTTTTCTTGCTTACCGTTGCAGTGATATTATCAACAAAGAATGAGGTTAAGCACATTTAGCAAATATGACAGAGGAGCTATCAGTGCACGCTGGACAAGGGCATTTTATAACTTGTGTTAAGTTGGTAATCCCGGTTCACACGGATGACTCTACCGATGCTATAGCTACTGTGAAACAGAATACAGAAAGAATCTCCATCTCAGCCCCTTTCATAGGTCGTTTCTATAGGAGGTTAGAAATTTGTCAAAGTATAAAGTTACTGCATTCTAGATTTCAATCCAATATTAATCCATCATTCAGTTTCCAATTTGATTCTCCGAAACGATGGTCAAAATTTGAAGTAGTACAAGTTTATCTCGAATTTAGAAATGTTGATGTTTGTGGTGTTTCAGGAACTTCATTTCCTCTCATTCTTGGAGTAAAATCTCAGCACCAAGTAGAAGAAGAAGCGATAGACGACGCCCCATGCCAGCAAAATCAAGATGTCATACCACAGGTTGTCCAGTTTAATCCCCATAGAGAACAAGATATCTTCGCCAATCAACAAGCATTTCTCTGGCAGAACTCCAACTGATGTGTTGTGCAGCTTGCTTCTCTTCACATCTCCCAAAGGTCCAGGTGTAAGGTCAGAAGGATTTCCATTGTAACAAGTTGTGCCTTTGAATTCATTGATCAACAGCGCCTCGAAAGGGTATTTGATTGCGGAAATGTAATGCAGCCACAGCCAGTACTTTGGAATCTGAGATGCTTTCAAGAAGAAGCCGCAGGTGATCAGGAAGAGCGCTGTTGTAGCTATCACGATCGCGTATCCCGTGATGTAGCTAGGGACAACTGCACTGACCAGCATCACGTATGCATTAGTCGTGATGAGCGCCGCATAAAGAATCAACCAGAAGTAGATAATGCTGCTTCTCAGGTGAAGCATGTACTTGGTGATGACAGCAAATGTGAAGCCCTGAACAGCAAAGAAAGGGAGATAAACAATGAGGGAGGAGATGACGTAGGTAGATGCCCGGTAGGCGTTGTGGGATGTCTCTCTGATGAAGATAAACCGCTCTTGGATGAAAGTTGGGACGGCGTCATTGGAAGAGAAGAAGATCAGTGACATGGTGAAGAGGTAAAAGTTAAGGAGCCGGTTAACAGTTATGAAATCTAGGTCATGGAGTTTCCTGAAGAGGGTAGATAGCACAATCCCCATGAATATCAAAACTACCTCGCGGGAGAGGAACAGCTCTGGAGTTCGGACAACATTGAGTGTAGTGCGCCACGAGAGGACTAAGACCTCGCGGAGCCATGGATTCGCGTATTTGTCCCTGTGCTCAGGCTCATCGAGCACTTCCTCATCGAATTCAGAAATGTAAGAGACATGCGAATCGACTGATGGACTAAAAGCCACGGGAGTCTTGGTTCCTTGCTGTGGTGTTGGAAATTGGCTGGAAACATGGCTTCTTGTTCCAGGAGTTATTCCAGGGGTATGTGCTGGTGTCCATGATGGTGGACGCCGTGGTGTCCCCTTAACGCTGCCCTTAACGCCATGATAGAGCCAAACTGAGAAGTCTTTGTAGAAATGAGAAGCCAAACGTGGGTTATAGACTCCACTGTGCATGCTCATCGGCGTGTGCTTGGTTTTGCGCTCGAGCGAATTATCAAAATCATCTTCATCATCATCATCATCCTCGTAATACTGGAAGCTGGTAGAATCCATTCCTGGTGTCATACCAGCAGAAAACTGATGACTTCGGAGGCTGATGTGCCTGGAACCAGGAGCCTTGGAGGAGTATGGAGTGCCGGGTGTTCTGCTACCCTTTGGTGGCTTTGGAATAGGGGTTGCAGCCACTGCATCAGGCTTGATGCCATCTCTTTGATATAGCACCAACGGATCAAGTCCCACTGTTGATTGCTCATACTCTTTAATCACATCCAGAAGATACTCCAGGTTGTTCTCAGTCTCTGGTACTGGCCTTCCAAATCCTGTTAGATGTGCATCTAAACCTGTGGGACTTCCTAAATATATCAGTCTTCCCCTGCAGCAAGAATTGCATCAATGCGTTACATTTAACTGGTGATTTTTTTAGGCATAGTTTGCTGTCATTTGTTAAGATTTTCAGTTTTGTTACCTTGCAAGAACAGTGATGCAGTCCAAGAGCATTTGGATTCTGAATGAAGGCTGATGGATGGTCATCAGAACAATGCTTCCACCTTTTGCAATGTCCTTGACCTTGTCCACGACGCTAAAGGCGCTTGTAGAATCGAGACCTGAGGTAGGTTCATCGAGGAACAGAAGCGATGGTTTATGGATTATGTCGATCCCAATGGACACCCTTCTTCGCTCACCACCCGATACTCCTCTCCTCCCTTCATCACCAATGTATGTATGAGCTGTTGCCTGTATTTCTCACCACATTTACATTCAAGATTTCAGGGGGAAAAGAAATGATGCAAAATTGTAGAAAGGTTGGAGATATTTTACCGTGAGGCCTAATTGATCAAGAAGCTCATAAACTCTTTTCTTCTTTTCACCCCTGGATACCGAAGGCGGGAGCCTAACCTCAGCTGCAAACAAAAATGTCTCGTAGACGGTTAACATTGGGAAGAGCTGATCATCTTGCATCACATAAGATGAAATCATCTTCATGTAGCTTGTTGTCACCTGCAACATATATGCATCAGATGAAAAGTTTATCCCAAAAGATAAGTTGCAAAAAACTAATGAAAAATAAGTGATCATGGGTGGAAAAGAAAGGATATAAAAGACGCACTGGCTTTCCATCAATTCTGACAGATCCTTGAAGACTTCCCTGAGCGATTCGCCCCGCCAAAGCATCAAGAAACGTCGACTTCCCAGCACCACTAGGACCCATAATGGCCATGATTTCACCTCTCAAGGCCTGACCAGAGATATCATTGAGGAGATAAGCTTCTTTAGTGATCCAAACTCCGTCTTTTTTCTGCTTCTTCATGACACTATAAGAGAGGTTCTTAAACTCAAGGCCTTGTCCCGGAACCGGCTTCCTTGTCTTCTGCTTGGCCAAATTCTTGTTCATCTTAACACTTTTGTCCAAGTCCAACAATGTCTCAAGGCTTCTGTTGGTGTCATTCCTCCGGTATTTCGACATTTTTCGCCCCACTCTCTTTCCTTTGAGGCTAACTTGCCAGACCCTTTAACTTAGTGGGGTTCTATTAAAGCTTCAAATGAAAGAAACCTTAGTGTATTAAAATGGAAGACATTCTGCAATAAGACATGAATCTTGCTAAAAGGGATGGTTAAACCGAAGAAAAAGTTCATTTTGTAATTTTTTTTTTTGCTTTTCATAGCGTTGTGTTTGCCGTTGATGCATCATACACAGCCAGGGATTTTGCATAAGAAATGTCATAAAATTTCTCAATGATTAATGGAGGTTTCTGCCAAGACAAGATCCTGAATATGAAGAGTTTGTTTCATACTTCTTGGCATTGTATAGAATCAGAGAAACTAAGTACATTTAACAAGATTTGTCACACTTGAGGACATGGCTAAATAAATCTCCCTTTCTTTATCTTGATATTTGGTCCCTCGGCATTTTTTATGTGGGAATTTGACAATTTTTAAGTTTGATTTAAGTTCATTTGCAAAAATATTGGTGAAATCTGAAAAGTACCAGCAGGCAGCAGCAACACCAAGTGACTTTCTTCCAACAGTTGGAAAAGCAACAGATATACATATTTTAAATATATATATATATATATATATATATTTCATGGACATTCAAGTAATAGGTTAATTTCCCTTTTCCAAAAAAAAAAAGGTTCATTTCCAGCTTTCTTTCTTTTTCTTTCTTTCTTTTTTTTTTCATATAAGTATAACTTAACATGGTGATGAAATTGATGTGGGGAATTTTGGTGTTTCATGCTTTGTTTGCATCAATGTGACAAGTTTTGCTTAATTTATTCCTTCCTGCATTGGCTTTCAAAAAACACACATTGATCTATAATTTATATCATGGGTTTTTTCATCATCAAGAAATATTCCTAAGATGAAATATTACATCTTTCCACCCTCTATTTACATTTGTATTATTTTCCCAGGAAATTATTAAATGCATCGAGCTCAAAATGTTTAATATATCTTTGAAATCAAAATGAACTTTTTTTTTTCCGAAAGGAAACCGATTATTGCAGTTGAATAATTAAAAAAAATAATACTCTATATATCAATTTTTTTCTACGGACATCTCAAATGCATAACATCAATGACTTAAATACATAACATCCTTTTAGTTTTGAGATAAAGATAAGCCATCACCAGACTGATTTTAAAAGGAGGCATATTGATGTTTTTCTTTTTCTTTTTTTTTTTTTTAAATTTTGGCTTTCTGACGAATAAGAGAAGTCAAATTTTGCTAAATTCATTCACGGTCATATTTCGACCATTACATGCCGATCGAAGTTGTATAATCCTCTAACCCTAATGAAAACATATCAAAGCTTTTGTCAACAAAATGAAGCCAGAATCATTTCTCATTTTTCGATCTCTCTGTATAAATATTTGAAAACAACTTTCATTAATGATTATTAGAAAAGATCCAGCACCAATTGAAGAATAAAGTTTGGAGAGTTATTCCATAAAGATTCTATTACAGAAGTCGATTTGGCATGCTTAGCAAAGGAATGAGCAACAATGTTGTCTGATTTTCTGTGTATAAATATTGACATATCTTATATACATAGATACAATGGTGAGAAGTTTGTTTGGTTGTGCTCTTGAAATTGGCCGGCTTTCGCCTAGGGAAAAACCACCATAATAAGACTGAGTAAACAAAAAAGGGAAAAAAAAAAAACACAAGGAATTTGTACAATTATTGACGTCTTATTGGCCAAAACAGCAAATAGAGTTAAATCCATCAAATGGACACAAATCAGCAATTGATACTATATATATATATATATATATATATATATATATATATATTATTACGAGTTGCAGATGGTTCATCTTAACTTCCTACTTGATCAAACATAGATTGATTCATCCCATAGAAGAATGAATGAATATGTTGAGGTACATTAATCGATATCGAGATGTTGGTCCGGTTCAATCATAATCTGGTGTCGATTTTACTCCCATTCGATCCTATGTTTCGATTGAGCCGCGCCAATATCGCGTATCTCTTCATTCTTTTCTTTTCCATAAAATTAACAAAGTTTTCAGAATTTACATCATTTAGTTTTCAAAGCATCGATCGGGCTTTCCGTTGACAGCATCATACTGCTAAAACAAAGTATTTACGTGTAATGTAAGTGCTGCATCTATCTTGATAGCATTTCTCGTCTCAAAATAATTACAATAAGAGTTTTCTACAGTGATTCATAACATAAAAAGTTATAAAATTCAGATTTTGGGACGAAACAGGATGAAAATGTGCATTTTTGTCCCAATATACGGGACGTTGAAATTTCCTTTTACAACAGGATATTACATTTTCATGTAACACTCAAACAGTCGGTATTTGTGTGACATTTTCATATACTCAACAAGTTATGTACGTAACACTAGTTTTATTTTTTTATGCCTAAATTGATGAAAGCGTGATGAATGATGATGATAATATAAATACTGTACTGAAATTGTGTCAGATGAGATCGAACTTTGAAAACAGATTTTCAACCACATTTGTAGGTCTTTATCCATTATCCTACAGTTAAGATTTTTCTGGGAACAGAGAATCCTAATAATATGGTTCCTTCTAAAATGGTCAAAAAAAAAAGAAGAATTCCATAACAAAATCCACACTCCTATATGTATGTAACAACCACAATTCTTCAAAACCCTTTAATTTCAATCACGATCAAACATTAATCGTGTCACATTTGGGTGTGATTCAAACTTACAATTCTTATATATCAATGGCGGTTTCCAAAGTGTATTCATCGTTTTTGTTTTTGATCGTGATATTGACGACGATTTACGTCGCGGCGGTGGCGGCAGCGCCACCAAGTACGCCGGGACCTCCTCAGTTGCCATGCGTGCAACAACTGATCCCGTGCCAACCTTTCTTGAAGCAAACTACAACGCCGCCGGCGGCGTGCTGCATTCCGATGAATGAACTGGTGAAGAATTCGGTGGATTGCCTGTGCCAGGTCATCAACACCCCAGACATCTTAAAGACGTTCAATATTACACAAGCTGATGCTTTCCATTTGGCCAACTCCTGCCATGCTAATGCTGATCCTTCCATGTGTAACAAAAATGGTAAAACCCAACCCCCCCCCAAAAAAAAACCAAAAAAACCTTTTAATTATACTCCCTCCTCTCGTCCTTATTATAAAACATTTTGACTTTTCCTAAAATTTACCTAGTATGCATTTTTAATTGACAAAAAATCCTTAAAAATATTTCATAACAATGTAGAGAACACAGCGAATATGAAAATATATTTTTAAAGTTTTTTTGTCAAATAAAAATGCATACTAGGTGAAATATAGGATACATCAAAATAAAATGTAGTAAACATTTTCTCACTTGATTTGTTACATGGATCCTGCATGCATATGTAGTTAATGTTATAAACTGTTACCATCTAAACAAAATCTCTCATATTGTCTTTGAAAGGGTTTTTCTGACTGATTAGGTAAGGTACACAGCAGACTCGGTGTTATATGAAACCTTTGGTTTATAAAAACAAAATGATGACTTTTTTTTTTAAAGAAAAAAATGACAAATGATGACTTCTTATCAGAGATCTTTTCATTTATCATTGAGAAATAGTCTTTGAGTTGCAAATAATATTATTAATAATCTTTTTCTTTTTTCTTTTTTAACCTTGATTTGTTATTTGCTTTTGTGATAGGTACTGTATCACCAGGTGCTTCACCAGCAGTCCCATTAACACCACCAGGTTCTACAGCTTCAAACAGCAGTGAGTTTCTTCAACTGGAAATTCAATTTTTTTGTCCCTAGATGATGTTAAATTAGAAAATTGAGTTTCTTACTAATAATTAATATACCCTCTTTTTTTTTTTTTTCTTAATTTGGTTTTTTTCCCACAGGTTCTCACAAAAGTAATGATGGTGTTGGTGTTCGATCCCAGTTCGGAGTGTTGTCTGCCATGATTGATTTGTTTCTATTCCTCATTGTTTCAAATATGGGGATTTTCTGAAGATATGTTTATTGTTCCACATTTGTCATCGGATCTGATTTAGCGTTTGTAGTTCGAGGCTAGAATTTTTTATTTTTTTTGTTCTTTGATTTTTTAAAATTTTTTTGGAGCTGGTAATGTTACGTTGGATGAATAAAGGACTGTGAATTCTTTACCAACATATCCTAGTATTATGTTTATCATATTTAGGGGTATCGATTCAAGATACCGGATCAATTTTGTGTTATGTATTTCACATGATTAATAATATTTTTTAGAGTAAAAATGTGATAAAAACTCAAATCATGTCAATTGTGTCATGTCGTGTCGGATTGTTTCTGTAAATCGTATCGTTGTGTCGAAAATTGATACCCCTAATCATGTTGATATTGTTTTTCACTTACCTTGAACCAATATGGAAAGAACTGTGTACCGCTACATGTAGCTAGTATGCAAATGATGAAAGGGAGAATTCCTATAACGCGCGTTATAAGTTTTAAAATTTTCATTAAAGGCGTTCAACTTTTAAAATTCCTTTCAAAGGCGTAAATATATTTTGAGATATTATGCATATTGTTAAAGTCAATTCTACTCCATACTTACTAAAACGGTATAAATTTTTATAGTATCCACTAGTACAATATAATATGAAGGAAACATGAGTTGATAAGCAACCATCCACGAAAATCAATTCAAGGCAAAACCTTAACATAGTTTTTCTAGGAAAAATTAATCAACAAGGTTTAAGAGTCAATCTGCATAGTTTACTACAATCGATCGATTCAATAAATTAACTCCTTGCCTTTTGGGATTCAGATTCTCCAAACATGTATTCGTCATGATAAATAGTGATTCTTTTAGAACTACGTATGGAGGGAGGAAAGGAAACTACCTACCCAAAAAGAAAAATCCGGAAGAATATAAAGACGAAGGCACGTCTTAAATCCCAGTGATGCAGAATCAGGCACGTCTTTCCTTTTTGTAATTAGGTTTTCTTCTCGTTCAGCTTTCCAAATATTATTAGGTTTTTGGAAACCGACAATCCTTGGATACCTCTATAAATAGGGAGGATGTATTCACGGTTTTTCATCAATATCATGAACGATATAACTTTCAGCTATTAAAGACTTGTGCTAATTTCTATGCCAGTAGGTTTTATCGTAGTAGGTTACTAGGTTAATTAATTTTCAGCGTTCCAATGGCTTATCCGTGGGTTGATCCGACCGATGAGGAATTAATGAGCTACCTTAAGAACAAGGTGCAGGGACTTGTATCCGACAGGGGATCCAAGGTCAAAATTATCGAAATAGACATGTATGGCGAGGGCGAACACAGGAGTGGAATTCCGGCCGGCCGGGACTTGTTCTTTCCCAAAGAGAAAGACATTGGACGTTTTGGATGGATGGATGTGGAGGATCCAACCAAACCCGGGTATGCCTTGCCAGACCAGAGTAACTTTCTTTATGTGTTCACCAAACATGATGATTCTACTCCAAAAGTGGTGGCTGGATGTAGAACATGGCACCCAAGCACTGAAAAAGAGGCTGTCCATGATCCTGCTGCTGCTGGGACGACGTCAATCCCGATCGGGTACAAGAGGTCGTTCACATTCAAATGGCTTCCGCACCATCAAAAATCAATCCTGAGGAAGTGGAAATGGACTATGGTCGAGTACAACATCAATCCATCTGCTCATGGGATTACTGCCGTTGGTGGCTATTACGTGCTCTGGAAATTAGTTAGGTGCAATGAAAACTACATCCTCCTCGACAATGACAGCTACCACGGCAGCGACAGCGACAGTGGCAGCGAGAGCAACAGCCACAGCCACGGTGCACGTGTCCGATGGGGCGCTCCTCCACTTGATGATCAACGCAATGTGTGTTTTTATACCCGTTGCCTGGTCCAGAACGAGGTAGGTTTGTTGGTTATTGATGGTGCTACCAACAGTAACTGCGTAAGTGCAGAATTTGTTGAAAGACTGGGCTTGCTGACCGCCACACCTAGACACAAGATACCGCTAGTGACTTGTTTTAGAGGCGAAGAGTTGGAGTTGCGTAGGCAAGTGAAGATTAACTTTTCAATTGGTGATTATGCTGATGAAGTGATATGTGATGTTTTGCCACTGGGGATGATGAACTCGGCCGATATTTTGCTTGGTAGACCATGACAGTATGATCGTCGAGTCACTCATGACGGGTTTACCAACAAGTATCACTTTGTTCTGGACCAAGTGTCCTTCACTCTTGAACCTATGAATCCCCTGAAAATGCGACAAGAAATGTTTGCCATGAAGAGGAGAAGACAGCAATATGAAGAGAACACGAAACAGAAGAGACAGAGAGATGAGAAATTGACACCCTCCCGTTTGATACCCAATCTCAAGAGATTCCGCGCAGGGCTATAGATAATTTAGGAACCTTACAGATCCCAATTTTTGTTATCCTTCCCTTTAGCGAAAGTAGTATTTTAGTTGAAAAACCCCTTCAATAGCACTTTGTTTGATAAGAATGTGGTTTTTCTTTTCTATTTTTTTAGGAAAAGGACAAAATCCATGACAAATTGTCCCTCGACTTTTGTTATAAGGACCCTGACCACCAGGTTAAAGAACAATTTGCTCCATGTATTAGCGAATCTTAGTGTGAAAAGACAGAAATGCTCTTAAATCTAAAACAAAAATTTATACCAAACCTACCCTTCAACCAATTCGTTTATATTTTTTAAATTATAAATTCTATAATATGCCATTCTATAAATTCGGGTCAATTTCGTGTTATGTATTCCACATGATTAATAATATTTTTTAGAGCAAAAATGTGATAAAAACTCAAATCGTGTCAATCGTGTCGTGTAGGGTTGTCTCTGTAAATCGTGTCGTCGTGCCAGAAATTGACACTCCTAATCATGTTGATATTGTTTTTCACTTACCTTGGACCAATATGGAAAGAACTGTGTACCACTACATGCAGCTAGTATGTGCATATTTTACTACAAGCGATCGATTCAATAAATTAACTCCTTGCTTTTTGAGATTCAGATTCTCCAAACATGTATTCAGCATAATAAATAGTGATTCTTTTAGAACTATGTATGGAGGGAGGAAAGGAAACTACCCACCCAAAAAGAAAAACCCAAAAGAATATAAAGACGAAGGCATGTCTTAAATCCCAGTGATGCAGAATCAGGCATGAAGAAATTGATGAATCACCTCCCACAAGCCATTTTGTGAGTGATTAGACCATTGTGAAGTTGATTAACACTCTACTCTGTTAACTTCTAATACGATTTTATTTGTGGTGAATCGTTTTGCACAAATTTCATGGAAGAAATCTTATTAGATAGAAAGAATTGATAGTTTTAGAGGGAGATGTCTTTTTTTATTGAGATTTATCTAAAAGGAGATATAAACTAACGTATATTACATTTTTTAAAGTAAAATAACACAATTTCTCATTAATTACATTTAATAAGGATAAAATAATCAGTAAAAATATGAATAATATCTTAAGCTATTTCTACGTCCTTAAGAAGAATTTTAAAAATCACACGCCCTTAGTAAGAATTTTAGAAGTTACAACGCCCTTAATAAGAATTTTTCCATGATGAAAAATGAGATTTCAGCTTAATAAGTGATACTCTCTCGGTCTTAAAACGATTTTAATTAACAAATACAGTTACATTAGCCCGTGAATTAACATTTAATGAAACAATACTATATAAGTGAAATAACTATATAAGAGAGGACAAATACACCAATCCTCTTCGTAGGATTATTTTACTTAGTAATATTGTTTTTTGAAAAGTCAAGACCATCGAAAATAATCAACATCGCTAGTTATTTTTAGAGCACTAATCAGTGACCACTCTCAAAAGGAACTTGGAGGTCATAAAGTTATGGCAGAAGTGAATAGTATGAGCGTTGTAACCATAGTGCAGAGTTACAATGACTCGTAACTCCTTCCATAATTACCAAACCACGGTTAGAATATATGATGTTATTGGGGAAAAAAATGTCGTTCCTACCCAAAACTTTGCCCTCGTCGTCAATCATATCCAATAGATTTTCGGTTAGCCAACTTTACTCTAATGTTTGAAATTTTTGTCAATTTCGTCCAATCAACCCATTTTCCGTCCAAATTAACGGATCTCCGTTAGTTTTTTAATAAAATAATAAATTTAAATACAAAAACACTCCAGTAGTTTTTAAAATTTTTAAAAATAATCCCTAAAATATATAAAAATAACAAAATAGTCCCTTTTTACTTTTTTATTTCATTTTTTCCTATTTTGTTCCATTTCTCTCAACTACTTTTAATGACCATAAAAGTATATTATATGAGTTTTTAAAAAATATTTATTTATTTTCAAACTCTACCGCAAAAATTAATCTTTGTATAGTTGTAACACATGATTGTATTTATATAAGTATGTTAATCTTTTTAATAATATAGTTTAGCAATAAAGACACTATTTTTCTGATTTATTTTATTCTTCCTAACAAAAGATTATAAACATTTGAAGGAAACTAATATTCCACATAAAAATAAAATATTAGCTCAAATAAAAAATATATATTAGTATAGTTTAGTGTATTATAATTTAACTAGAGAGACTACATGGCATAATATAATTTATAAAAAAATATTTATACTTATCAATGCGAGGATTTAACATTTTGTAATATTATTTGAGATATTAATATATCTTACTATAGAGGAAGTCTTACTAGTTTATTCTATATGATTTTAGTTTAAAATAAATGAATGGAGGTAACAATATAGTAATAAGTTCTTGTGCTAGAAATTAGGTTTTAGATTCAAGAAGGAAAACTTATGTTTGGAGAATTTTTTTTAAGGTTTTAATTATTTTATATTTTAGTTATTTTTTATCAATTATATTAATGCAAGTTATAGTCTCTTGAGTTAAATTGTAATACACTAAAATATATTAATATTTTTTTATTTGAGCTAATATTTTATTATTATATGGAATATTAGTTTCATTTAAATGCTTTTAATCTTTATGTTATGAAGAATAAAATAAATAAGAAAAATATTGTCTTTATTGCTAAACTATACTATTAAAAAAATTAACATACTTATATAAATACAATCATTGGTTACAACTATACAAAGATTAATTTTTACGGTAGAGTTTGAAAATAAATAAATATTTTTTAAAACTCATATAATATACTTTTATGGTCATTAAAAGTAGTTGAGAGAAATAGAAAAAAAAAAGAGAAAAATAAAATAAAAAAGTGAAAAGGGACTATTTTGTTATTTTATATATTTTAGTGATTATTTTTAAAATTTTTAAAAACTACTGGGGTGTTTTTGTAATTAAATTTATTATTTTATTAAAAAGCTAACGGAGATCCGTTAATTTAGACGGAAAATGAGTCGATTGGACGAAATTGGCAAAAATTTTGAACATTAAGGTAAAGTTGGCTAACCGAAAATCTATTAGGTATGATTGACGACGAGGAAAAAATTTTGGGTAGGAACGACATTTTTTCCACGTTATTGGAGTAACATAAAAAATAAAAATGAAAAAATAATCGATTAGCATAAACGCCTATTGAACAGATAAGCCCAATATTTTTCCTTAAATTAAGTACAACCCATAGAACTGGTATTTTGTGGTTCACAAATTACTCCCACAAATTAGAGTAAATATATATATAGCTGAGAGCGGAACTATAGAGATAAGATTCTTCAGTGCCCTTTCTGCCGAAAATTTTCCTTATCTCAACAAAGAAATGCAGTCAATGCTCTGCCTCCAACTCGCCCCTTCTCCTCCGCCACTCGTCGGAGGAATACGGCCGGAATCCAACAACAACGGTTGTTTCTCCGGCAACACCTTTACTCCGATTCGGTTCCCAATCATCCCGGACCGGCTGTCTTCTCTGGTGTGTCAGGCGGGGAAGGGTAAAGCCGCGCGAGAAACGGTGACCATAGAATGCACAAATTGTGTGAAGAAAGATGTGGAGAAGAGATCCAATGGCGTCTCCAGGTATACTACTCAGAAGAACAAGCGCAACACCACCGGTAAATTGGAATTGAAGAAATTCTGCCCCCACTGTAACAAGCATACCGTTCACGCCGAGATTAAGAAATAGAGCCCGATGAAAACCCGGAATTGTATTGCTTGATTATGGCTTTTGATGGGTTCCTTGTTTCTTTTTTAATTGTTGTTTGTATCATCTCTCTTTGTAATGTCATAAACGTTGCTACTATTATCTTTCTTCCATGGAGCTGTGTTACTGGTTAATTGAGCTCCTCTGTTTCAGTGGGATTTTTTGTTGGTTTTTTCTTTTCTTTGGGTGTCAATTCGGCAATTTGTAATTGTAGAGGGTCCGGAGAGTACAAAAAAATTTGGTTTACATAGCTAGTTACTACTACTCAGCAGATGTTGCTAAGCACATGTTGGCTGATCTCGTTGATAGAACAACAACCGAAACCAAACACTACAAATTTTGTGTTTAATTGCACCAAATGAGATATTACTAATACGGATTCAGGGGATCTATCTATACTATTTTGAAGTACTGAGTAGCAACATTTCATCCTCAATAGTTCGATGCTCAATCTGCACTACTTTATTCTTAGACGAAAAAAATAATATATTGTTGTCGACACAAAGTACATTTCGTTAATTCTAAGTTAACAACCTACGTGAGAAATTCAGAATTTCTTTTCGAATTAACCCGGGTTTGATATTCCTTAAAAGTTTTCAAACATTGTTTTCCATTGTTTCAATCCCCATTTCCACATAGTTTTGAAGGCAAACTCGAAGAGAAAAAGAACATTAGACTCGAATTCTAACAAAAACAAATGAGGTTGTGCGCGCTAAATAAGAGCTGTCCACATAAAATTGCAACTTTAGTCCCCTCTGTAATTTTACATTCTTAATTTAGTCTGTTCATTTCTTAAACCCTTACAGAAATTATCTACAGAAGAACAAAAACAAAAAGTAAAACCCCTGGCCTGACTTCTTCTTCTATTTCGAGAATTGACATTTCTTCTTCCTCTTTCGTCTCCAAGATGCAGGCCAACAGGCTCAAATAGTGGGCTTATTTCGGCTACCCTTTTGTTAGATGTTTGATGCTTCACTCCCATTGAAGGAGAAATGGCAGCTTCCATTTCCAAAGCTTTAGCGAGAAGAATTCTCCGCCCTGACGGCTGCAGCACTGGCGCCACCGCCCTTCCGGCGAACTGGGTTCGGGCTCCACTAACTCCTCTTTCTTCTTTGTTCTCCACTTCAGCCCCGTCCTTCTCCTCTGCCTCTTCAACTCAAGGTATTGTGATTCTGCTTTTTATGTATCTATTGTTTTTGTTCAATTTTGTTCTTTTTGCATTAGGCAGAGATTCCTATTTGGTTGGGTTCTTGGATCTAGGGAGAATGAGTATTGAAGTTTTCTTTGGTGTATTTGATCAGATGAAGAGAAGAGATCAATATTGTCGAAGCTGCTCCTTTTCATTCCAGGAGCTATTACTTTTGGCCTCGGTACTTGGCAAATCATTCGAAGACAAGAAAAGGTAAAAGTTGTGTTTTTGTTATTGCAAATGCTTCTACTTGATTCTTAGTTGTTTCGTTTAGCTCTTTGCTGGTTGCATTGCCCCTTTTCAGTGTTTTTATTACTTCTTAAAGTCTAGAGTTGGTTTGTGTGACTGTTTAGAACCAAAATGATGAAAGTTTGTCTCTTTATATGTTTGTTTTTCTTCAGATAAAAATGCTGGAATATCGGCAGAATAGGTTAGCTGCTGAACCACTTAAGTGCGACCAAATTGCTCCTTCGCATCAAAATTTGGAATCTTTGGAGTTTAGGAAGGTACAATGTAGAGGGTTTTTTGATGATACAAGGTCAATTTACATTGGCCCTCGTTCCAGAAACATTTCTGGTGTGACTGAAAATGGATACTACCTCATCACTCCACTTTCGCCTGTATCTGATAACCCTGAGAGGTAAGATTGGTGATTAACATTAAGTTCATTGTCCGACTCCTTGTGTAAATTAGTAACATAAAATGTTTACTGCAATTTCTGTGGTTATTTTTGCTCTTTGCAATGGATCATATCTCAGTTTCTTGTATCTTGTGTGTGTTGTTTGTCTTACTGACTGTATGGTCCAGTTGCCTCCCTTTTGGTCTAAATTAGAATAGTTACTCAAGTTTCATTTGCCGTATGGTTAAAGTTCTTCTTCAGTGTGCAGTTGCCAATTCTGGTAAATAGGGGTTGGGTACCCCGAGCTTGGAGAGATAAGTCAATGGAAGCCAGTGGAGACGATAGACAACCTTCACCTGTTTCCCCTCGTCAAGAGAAAACTAAAACCTCTTGGTGGAGGTTTTGGTCTAAAGAGGAAAAATCTAATCAGGTTGTCTCCTTTATCTCCATGTTGACTTTGTCCAGTAATATATGATGCTTATGATGAAAATCTAAATGGTACTGTATTGAAGTTAACAGGAGGAAGTACAAACTGTTAACCCAGTGGAAGTGATTGGAGTTATTCGTGGCAGTGAGAAGCCAAGTATATTTGTTCCAGCAAATGACCCTAGTTCCTCCCAGTGGTTTTATGTTGATGTTCCTGCCATAGCTCGTACCTGTGGTCTGCCCGAGAATACAATATACATTGAAGACATTAATGAAAATATTGATCCTAGCTGCCCCTACCCTGTGCCGAAGGATGTTAATACATTGATACGCAGTTCGGTCATGCCTCAGGACCATCTTAACTATACATTGACCTGGTACGTTCAGCTCCTCTTTGTAATTCCAAATTCGCCTTTGTGATTTATCTTCAATGTTGTTATTTTATATTTTCTCTTGAATTTTTGCAGTAAGCATCTATTCAGAATTTTGAAATAGCTTCCTGAAAAATGTGGTTGAACATCTAAAATTTGGGTTTGAAAAGGTTTTGAATTTTGATGTTAACATAGAGGTTTTTCTGCTGATCAGCTTACTCTTGATTTCCTACACAGATCTTTTTTGGGTTAATTCCCTGGAGATCTTTTAAAAATGTAATTATTAATTATTGTAACTAAAAATTTAGCAAAGCTCTGATTGGAACATGATATCACCAAAAGGCATAGCAACAGGTTTATCATACTCGTACGTATGTTTTCTTAAGGACTGAGTAAATTTTTTCGGATAGTAGTGCTGAAATAGCTGACTGTAGTTGACTTTAGTTTAATTGTTATCCACATTTATCTGCTTCTAATTCATCTTCTTATTGTTTCTTTTTACTGAATCCTTGTGAAGGTACTCGCTTTCTGCTGCTGTATCATTCATGGCTTTTAAGCGACTCAAATCTAAGCGCCGGAGATAGATGATTACTTTCCTTGTGAGGAACTCTGATTTGGCTTTTCCTAGTGATGTGGCTTTAGTTAACATACATGTGTCGCTGCACTCTAAGATTGTCTAGTCAGCGTATAATTTTGTCATTTCTGATCAACACTTCTAAGATGTGTGGTAGGCTTTATACAATAATTTACTTTTATTTGGCAGTGCCCTAAAAGTTCTGTTGTGTAATTGGAACGTTGGGGATTTGCTCTTGCCAATACTATCAAATTATTGGAAGGAAATTTTTTGGACAAAAAACAGTTCGAACTTCTGCTTTCCTATGTATGCGATGTAGCATGTATGCATGAACTGGGGACATAACTGAAACCCCAAGAACTTCTTTTCTTTTACCTGAGAACAATATGTACATGAACAGCAAGGACCTAGCGGCGCACTATTCGACATAACATTACATCTGTACACTCATTTACATCACAAAACACTAACAAGAGAAGGTACACTAAATCTGAAATTAATAAATCAAGTGAACCAAAACTGGGAAAGGAGCTGGAGAACCAACCCCTGACCAAAAGAATGAAAAGAATGTGAAACTGAATACAAAAGAAAAAAGTGAAGTCATCATTTCTCTCTAGATCATACGCATCGAACTTGAAGAGGTGTGGCTGATACTTCACTGTGAATTGCCTTTAACAGAGCCACAAACTTGCACATGTTTTCTTCAGAGAACCATTTAAGCTTCCATGTAACCACAGGAGTTTTATCTTTCCAACCCCACTTCCCTCGGGATCGCCTGTCTGGTGGTGTACACTCTAGAGCCAAGGTCAGAGCCCCCTCCTTGTCCTTGTTATCAATGACCTTAAGACGATCAATGAAGAAAAGTTACAAACATGGCTCATCTAAATCCATAGAGAAGCTTATATAACTGCCAGATTTGTTACACAATGTATATCTCGCAAACGCACAAATGATAATCACCAATCATCATAATTTTTGTAAGTTACTCTTGTAAGTTACTCTTCTAGATTCTCATCTCTTGTAAGAATATCATTTTATTCAAAGCTGTGTAGTTGATCAATTACCCTGACTTTAATGATGACAAGTTCAACCAAATCACAAAGGAGCTAGGCCGCAAAGACAACAGAAAGAGAAACATGAAGTAAACAGTAAATGACGCATTTTTCAAACTACAAACACAACGAATAACATGAAAAACAGGTGGTGAGTGTCAGAGATTACCATCTCAGATATGTTGGTGATAGAACAAAATCTATCCATGACAAAATACGAAGACCTAGATTTCTCATCTAGGAGATTGCCAAACTCTTTCAAGTCTTCAATGCACACAATTAGCTGCCACTTGAGAACAAACAGAGATCTCGAAAACCAAAGATTCTCTGCAAATTTCGGAAACAGTAAAGTCATCATCTTATCAATATCTAAATAGTTTAACTGAAAACATCCTATGACATATATTCCATACAGTTGTGAGAGCCATAAGGGAAGAGAGAAGTGTCATCATATGATTAAGACTGGGACGACGCAGAAGTTTTCCAAGTTCAATACAACTGCATCATCCAGGAATATGCACGAAATTACAACAAAATACTCGCAGACTGACTGATCATAAGAGTTCCGAAAATGTTTCCTAAAAACGTATCTCCTCTTTTTAAACTGGACATTCTGTTTGAAAAAGAAAAGAAAACATTTGTATCTTCAAATTGTACTCTCTCCTCAACTCCAACAAGAAAATGACTATAAATAGAATATTGAATATACCTGGCAAATGGCTATGCCAAAATAGTACCATCGAATACTGAAAAATGTTCATTGTTGAACCTCCAAACATTTGCCCAGCAAAAATATCAACTTGAATTTGCTCAAGGCTGCGGAATTGAAGTTGAAAACCCTAGACACGATAAGTATACAAGACTTTGGAGAAATAACAACAACAATACTGAAATTAGGTAATACGGGGTACAAGTCAAAGATCACCTTCTGCAGTTGTCCTGCGTAAGGGATGAATCAAACGAATCTAATAAAGACAACAAGTTTATGGATCTCTCTACACCCAGCTTAACAAACAAATACGGAAGGTCCTTGCACTGGATCCTGTAACACGAATGGTAATAGCAAATGCTAAGAATACAGAAAGAAAATATCCTTACAAAGATGGTAGGTTGACAAACTAGCCTGATCATCTCAAGCCCCAAACCAACAAGAACCTCTATCACATCTCCAATTTCATAAGAATGCAGTAACTTTATGCCCATCACTGCAAAGTAAATGAATAATGAAACAGAGTATTTTGAGTATATTGCGCAAAAGAACTCAAGAAATAATACCAAAAAGGCAAAAACGCAAATGCACATCCTCACAAACAGTTCATACCACAAAGCTAACCTGACCCGTCATATTTGCCACCAATAAGTAGTACATGAAGCTTGTTTTTGCTGCTGAATACAGCTACATCCCTAAAAAGCTACATTGAGTTAGCCTCTAATACTGAACAAACAGAATTTCTATAAAAGCAATTAATCTCAGTCAATGGAAGAAAACATTCAAATCGAAGGAGATCTTAACAAATAAACATAAAAGTTGCCAGTGGCAGTAACATCTTGACTTTCATAATGATTCAATCTTTCGCTTCTGGTTTCTATGGTTAAATTTTAAATCTAACTTTTTGAATATGATCTAAAGTAAAAATGAACATGCAGGACAGAAATGAAAATATAGAAAATCCTTCTCTGGCAAAAATTTCAAGGAAAAGCAGATAGAGACCATAGCATATTCTGCTTCTTTTTTTTTCCGGGTATCATATTTCTGTTTTTGTGAATTTAAGTAAAGGAGTGACAAGTAATTACATTTCCACCCACTGAGATTTCTCCAGAAGCATGCATTTGCAACAAACAAGTCGATCGCTAGTTTCAGGAGCTCCAACATTCACAGTATCTGAGTTCAAAAAGGCCATGACTCTTTCTTGCAACTCATTTCCAGAAGCAGTGACACCAGATTCTTTGGCTGTAAATGCATCAATTGTCGCTTTCTGGGTACCCACCTCAACAGATTTCAAGACATCTCCGTGCTGGCACATTTTTACAATTTCATCCCTGCATATCTCCCAATCCCCATTCGACTCAAAATCATTGTTGTCCTCTTCTGCTAATGAAACGATTCTTCTTATCGATCTCCTTTTACGAATCTTTCTCTCCAGCCGACTATTTGGGCTCTTTACACCAGGATTCCCACTACTACCACCAGTATGCATACCATTAGGTGGGGAAACAGCTTGGTCACCACCATAATGCACATGATCCGAGCAACGTGCAGCTGACAAATTATCCACACTTCTCTCACTGAAGTTACCAATCAGCGATTGATCAACCTGAGGCATGAATGAACCAAATTCAGCCGACTCATCCTCACTACAGCTAGTATCGCTGTCAGATGATGCAAGTGAAAGGGATTCGGCGGATAACTGTAGGAACTCTTCTTCTAAGTTGTGCCTTCGATGCAAAATATCCTTTTGATAGTGAGGAGGTGAACCTGGAGTAATTGAAGATGAATAACGCGCCACCACCTCTTTAGAAGCAGTGGAGGGTCTTGTCATGCCAACTTGTAAGTTTCTGCTTTCTGAAGACTGCTGACCTTCATTAGTTAAATGTGTCAGATTTTCCTTATTCCTATGGAACCTTCCCATAACAGTTAAGGAATCCCTGTTATTGAGCCGCAACAATTTTGAAGCTACTTCATCAATATGATCAAGTGAGATGCAAGCATTCAAGCCCATTGATGTATCAGCAAACGAGTTATCAGATTCCAAGTTATTGGTACTACTATCATCTCCAGAAAAGTACAGAGAATCTGACATACATCTCGATGTCTCACCCGGATACTTTTCTCTCATATCACCATTCACATTCACTTTCCCGTTTGCACAGCAATTAGCCCATTTGAACTTTCCAGTATCAGAACTTTCAAAAGCAGGGGACATCCATTCCTTGAACTCCTGCAGCCATAAAGCAGAGCGTTCTTTTTTCATGTTTTCAATTCTGTTCATCAAATCCGCAATTTCAGCTTCCTCGTCCGTATCCGCCTCATGTTTCCTGCTTTGATCATCACTATCACCTATCACTGAGTTTTGGCCAGAGCACATGCCCATACTCTGATCCTCACTCTCAATACTAACCAAACGAGACGTCCTCTTCTGCGATACATAAAGATCCATCTAAAGTCATCTAAGATGCAAACTTGTTCTAAAGAATATAAGAAATCAAATAAGATATCTGTGCCACGTATATTAGATGAATGACATACCCTCTTCATGTTGAAATTTCCACCAGCTTCAGCATCTTCTCTTGCTGGTGCATAGAATCCAAAGCTAGCAGGCCGCTGCTGCCGACCAGCAACAATAATTTGCCGCTTCCAAAACTCTCTACTAGATATTTTCTTCTCATCTAGAATCAACTGAAAGAGATCATATTATCTCAAATAATTACTACCAATGCAACAACAAGAAACAAGAGGAAACCAAAGCATTGATGGTTCTTACATTACTGGCGAATGAAAAATAACTGAAAACTTTTGCTCGATACCATCGTGCAAAACATATAGGATTCCCTTGCAACAACAAATTCTGAAGAGATGGAAGAACAGCTAGGATCTCAATCTCTGAGAAACTAGAAATCATGTTGTAAGAAACATCAAGACCCTCAAGTGACTTCAGATTTTGAATCCCATGCAATGTCGTAAGAGCATTGTTCCTCAATATAAGCTTCACAATCTGGCAAGATACCTACAAAAGAGAAGCACTCAGTGGGAAGATCCTGAGGCAAGCTTAAGTAACTACAATACTAATGGAAGATATTAAAAGAACACAGAAGGAACACGGTGAGAAGGATAAAGAAAAAATGAATCCGAAACAATGGCATCAGAAAAGAGAACAATGAAATCTCAAAAGAACACATAAACTGTAACAGTACAAGGAAAAGTTAATCAGGACTCTAGACCAAATACTGGCCGTGAATAGACTCCCAAACTGAACATGGAAAATGTGCCGTTCATCCGAATGGCGAGTCTGGAAAACAGCAATACTATAGTGAATTTATTAAGAACAAATAAGAAGAATGAACTTAACATACCTCACTAAATGAGGCAACAGTTCTCAGATGATTGAACCCAAGGTCCAAGAGTTTTAATTTTGCACACTTCCGAAGATTGTCCAACTTAGTGAACTTGTTCCTGCTCAGATCAAGGGTTTCAACTGCAGGAAGAAGCTGCAAAGAGTCATCCATAAGAAGAAGTCCATTGTAGGCACAAGAGACGAATGATAACCGATTCCACTGTGGAGAATTCTTTATCTCTTTTATTCTGCTAGCAAAAATATGTCGTAATGCATCCTGAGCCAATTGCACAAAAGGAAAATATTAATGAACTGCCGGAATCAGAAACCAAGAAAATAATTAGGAGCACACATGAACAATGAGGGAAACAAGAAACATGGCTCCATTCCACTATAGGAGGAAAACCATAACATTTGAAATTCATAACTATTTCAGCAGAAGACAGCAAAAGGAAACAATAGTACAGAATGTAATCAAAAAGGCAAAAATCAAAAGCATACACATCATGCAATGCAAAGCAAATTAGAATAAATTCCTTTTTCTGAAGATTAGATAGTTTTTGAAGGAAACATCATACGGTTGAGTTATGGCAGATCAATTTCTCCAAAGTGTGTCTCAATTCCAGCAACCCTCTCGCAGCCGAAGTCGATAAATCACAACCTCGGAGCTCCAAAACCTTCAATCTCCCAAACGGCAATAGATTCAAAGGAGTAGGATCCCTAGCTGGCGGAGGAAGCACAGAAACCACCTTAAGAGAAGGAAGAAGGCGGAGGATCCGCCGGAGCTGCTCAAGAGCTCGGTGATCACCTAAGTCGGAAACATAAGCTCGGAGATAGTCCACCGGCGCACCGGAAAGCAAGCTCTCAAGCTCCGCCAAGGCCTCCAACCTGGATTGAACGTACCTTAACCCCACAGGATTCAATTTCAGAACAAGGGTTCCTTCAATCAATGCCTCCGCGTTGTTCTCCACATACTTAACCAGTGACTCCAAATATCTGTCCCCCGTCACAATCGCCATTTCTTTCCTTAACCCTTAATACAAAATCAAATGAATTTTTACACAGAACCGATAAAGAAGCAATCTTGCATGGGAAAAGGGAGGGTTTTGGCAGATGGGAAATTGGGATGGATTGGAAGGACGGCCATTTTTTTGTGGGTTTGAAAGCAAAATTAAATCAAGTGTTTGTAATGAGGGTGGTGGACTAGGGAGGGGGCTAATGATTGGATTAGACTGGTAAGAATTTTCTGGCAAATTGACAAAAAAAGTCTTCAAGAACAACACCTGGATGGAGATGAAAAGGGACCCGTATGTATATTAGTATTATGATGAAAACAATTGGAACTCGATGATGATGACGAGATGGGTTTCATCATCAGATTTCGGTAATTGGCATCGAGATTGAAGTTTTCATTTTATTTAATTTCTTTAAATTATCTGTAATAATAATGGTGGCATTGTTCACGAAGAAAACTCCTCTTTTTCTTTGGTTGGGGGTATCTTCCAGGTGAGTTATTGTCAGATTAAAGCGTAATTAACAGAACCGGATCTCTCCCAAATCTTCTTAATCTTAATTTATAAAAAGTGGGGTTTTTTTTTTGTCCTTAAAGAAAGACGGTGATTGATCATAGTTCTATTGCTCAGCAGTTATGAGACTAATATGATTTACTAGTTTCTATATTAAGAACTTTACCATGGTAGTAGTAAGTAGTAACACAGTAAAAATGTCAATAAAAAAATGGATAATGGTTTGGAAGTGGTAAAGATATATATGATCAATGATTAATATATTTATTGAAAAAAATGGATAATATATTTTTCTTCACGAAAAATAGTCAATTTTAATTAATAATGCACATAAGAAGAGTTAGAATTGATCAATGGTCAACTGATGGTAGAATGTATTGTGTTTACTTTCTCATTACATGGTTATGAATTAATTATTATCACTACTATGATATTATCATATCCCCAACACAAAAGCCGACTTTAGAATTCAGTTCATCAGTGATGTACAACGTGTGTCTAACCTAATATTAAAAGGAGAATGGATGAAATCGGAAGTGGGAAAAACTTTTATTCTAAAAAATTGGATTCATGACCTTTTTATCTCAAACACATTACACATCGCCTTATGCCTGTTAAGATACACTTATTGTAGCAGTTCTAATTATAAAGAGTAATAATTGTCCCAGAGAGAATTTACAAAGAAAATATATCGAAAATGAATCATAATTCGTAATTGTTCATAGTTGAATCTCATCTGTACGGGTTTATCAATTTAAGGGTCAGATAAATATTAAAATTTGTCTTTTCAAACCCCAAGAATCGAGTTGGACTATGAATCTCATGTTGGAATTGTACTATGGCTGCAATGCAATCATATTTGGCAATGATAATAATGCTACTAAATGGATAGGCATGGCCATCACCATCAAAGAAAAGAATGTCACATGTTTACTTGATTATTTCTTACACTAACATGCATATGATTCGTACTTAATTTGGTGGTGGACGAGGTCGATGAATATAATGTTCTTCACCTATATGTTACTCCTTCAAAAAAAAATTTCTTTAATAAGTGCAATACATATAAGATAGGGCATTCCATTATACTTATTATATACTTATTATATCATTGCTGCAAAAGAAGAAAATAAAATTAAAAAAAAAGGAAAAAACAATTTTTTATTTGCAATTATAGAGAAAGACGAACCACACCAGAAACATCCCCGAAGTGAAGTGACACAATTTTTTTTTTTTTCCCTTTTTGGCAAATATATATATATATATATATATATATATCCAAAAAAAAACCCAACCGCCAACCGTTGCCTTTTAACTTCTCAAAAAAAATAAAATAACGGTAAATAACTACCAACTCCCGCCCTTTTCCACACTATCCACAAAACCTTATAAATTCACACAAATTTTCCTCTGATTCACCATTTGCGAATTTTTCTCTTGTCTTCCTTCCCTGTTCAGGCGGGTGCTTGGTTTTTCTTTTTCGAAAACCGAGCTCCGCCGGCTGAAACTTTGCAAAGATCAATTCTTGGAAGAGGAAAAAGAATCTGAAGAAAAAGTAAAGAACAATGGAAAATCGAAACCTCAATGCCAGTGTTCCATACCATAATCCTACAGCCGATGATCAACCTAGTACAGAACAAATTTTAAAGTTTGACGACGAGGGTCCTCCTTCTCTGCAGGGTTTCAATCAGTACCCGGAAATTCCACGGCCGATTTCGAGTAATCTTGTGCCCGTTTCAAGTCAAAGTATGATGCCCTGTTCCAGTAACTCTGTGCTCTGTTCCAATGCTAGTACTACCAATATGAAATGTGATAATGCCATTCCTCAATCCCTGGAAGATGTTGATGATCTTTTCGTTGATGGGATCTCTTTTGACCCGAGTGATCCGATGTCGGATCCGTTTTTCTGGGAAGCTTTTGATGATTCTGCTATTACCGGTACTGACGGGGGGCCGTTTCCCGGTGGTGGTGCCGATGGCGGCGGCGGTGGTGGTGGAAATTATAATGACAACAATCCTCAAAGTAATAATGATTTTGGGAACCCAGTTTCAATTCCTTGTTGGCCTATGCTTCCATCCGCTTACACCTGTTCTGCTTGCCATACACTCAGAGAAATCATTCATACTAACGGTGAGTTCATTTTGGTTTTTTTTCCCCCCTCCATTTATGCAAGTTAATGTATTTATTTTCATTGATAATCCCTTTTTTGCTTTTGGGGTATATTTGAGTTGCAGGGGAAAAAATATCGAATCTTGAAATCCATGGACGATTAGGGGTCATTACTCATGCAATTCTCGATATGCATGATTTTGATTTTTCCACTCCAAATCATACGTATCAAATGTACGAGTAAGTCATTCTGTTTCGTCCCAAAATAACTGTCTTGTTTGAATATAAATCTTTAGTACAAAATGCTGGTTTGTTGGTTTGTATCTAATGCTTGTTTATTTTTTTTAATCCTACAGCTTCTGCAAGGAAAGCATAGGCAACATACAGAATTTCTTGATCATGTACTGTGAATTTCGGAAGTTGGAAGGTTACATTATGGTAGAGGATCCGCTATCATTCTTCTACAAGGCATTATGTGTTGGTATGTATGGAATAGACAACCCACAATATTCATTTCAACAACCAACTCCAATGGCTACTGGTAAATTAATTATTCAATCATCTATAATCTTCCAAATGACATTAACTAGTTTTACGCTTCATGATCCTAATTGTTTCCTGTTTTCTTCTCGTGTTTCTTTTTTTTGAAATGTTAAATCAGGCAATGACACGATGCCACGAGGCCCACGACAAGAAGCCGCGCCAAGTCAGCATAATCCGATCAGCAGCAACACCGCGGAAAATGGAAGCGAAAATCGCCAGCAAAATCCAAGACAAGAGATTGGAGAGAGTAGCAGAGGAGGAGGAGGAGAACGCCTTAAGACCAAACTCGCATTGCAGGTTAGTAACAGACTAATAGCGACATTTTCGCGACGTCTCTAATGTGTTTAATTACTTGCTCGATCTTATTCCAAATAGACTATAGTATATACCTTCCGTTACAGTAAAGTGATTTCCAATTTCTGATTAATCTGTGTTGATTTTTGGGATGATTTGATGAGTAGAGCAGAGGGAAAGAACACGCAAGATGAAGGCGAAAGATTTCGCGAAATATTTTCATCTTCCCATAAATGAGGCTGCGGAGCTGATGAAGGTGTGTCCTACTGTGATCAAGAAGAAATGTAGAGCTGCTGGATTGCGGAGATGGCCATTCAGAACCATTAAAGGAATCAGGACTAAGATTCTAACCAAGAACCAGGAATTAAGCAATGCCAGTAATTCTAGAGAAAGGGATCGCATTTTGGCAGAAAAGAAAGTGATTGTACAAGGATTGGTTAACTTCTATTTGCGATACACTGGTGAGGAACCCAGTAGAGATGTGTTGTTAATGGAGGAATGACCAAATCGATTTTTTTTTTTTTTGTTTATTTATTTTATTGTGTGGGGGGTTGATAGTAGAAAAGGACAATGGTCCTTTTTTCTGCCCTTTGTTTACCTCTTAAAAGGCAAGAATGGAATGGTGTATGTTGATATGGCAATTTGATTATAAAGTGTTGGGCTCTTAGAGTAAGGTGGCATCTCTTCAAAATCAAGTCAATTAATTTGAGATAGTGATCATGCTTGCTATTTTACATTGAAGAAATTATGTAAAAAGGGAAATCATCATCAGAAACATTTTTAATGCAAGATCATCACTCTAAAAATCATATTAATGAAACGATGTAATATATTAAACCATCAGAAAACCTTCCAGCGTATACATTGTTTTGTACATAAATATTCCATATTGTAGTTTGCGAATGACGCCAAAAACAATTTAATTCCCAAACTGTAATGAGAAACATTTTTTACTTATTTATTTTGATTTTTGGGTTTTTTGAGATGGGACATTCCCATAAGGTGTCAATCAATGATAGTACTCCCTCTGTCCCAAAATTATTGTCCAATTTTCCTAAGATACAAGATTTTATTTTTGGTGAATCTAAACTTAATTTTGACATAAACTTCCAAATATACCCATACACACATAATTGATTTTACTGCTCGAAGATTTTATGTTGATTAGAAAGGTTTGGGAAAATCAAGAATACATCTTGATAAAGGTATGCTTTCAATCTGCGTATCACCATCAAAGACATAACTCCATTCTCGGCGGCGATGAATCTGGCCATCGTTGGAGGAAAACCAAGAAGTATTAATGTGCATATCATTGTATGTTATCTACGATGATAGATCTGAAGAAGATGCTTCAATCGAGTAGCTCCATCTCACTCCAATTATATGAATAATGTTTTTAAAAGTATTACGGTTAGATTGCTGCTCATAGACAGAGAACAGAGTCGAATTTTGGTATGCTCAATTATCTAGCCACCTCATGCTGCCGCTTAAAGCCATTGGAGCGTAGCGCTCATTTTTGCTGCTTTGGAGAAAATGGGGTGTGTTTTTTTAATCAGGGATATAAACGTATTTTATCTCTTAAAAAGTCAAATTGGACAATAATTTTGGGACAAAATTTTTTTGGTAAACTGGACAATAATTTTGGGACTGATGGAGTAATAAGAATATTATAGTATAATAATACTCAAAAGTCGCCTATATATATTACATAATAATAAATACCTTGCAAAACTAATTCTTGACTTCAATGCCAGGAACCACAATAGAAGTGGGAGAAAGAGGAAGAAAAAGGGAAGTTTTATGGTTGAAGTTGGATCGATACAAACCAAGCGTCTGACCTATTTTTGACTGGGTATCGACAAGGTTTCAATGATTGTATCCAATCTTCGTCCATGTCGTATATGTATAGATTGCAGTCATCGCAGCCTCTGGTGAAATAGATGGAATTTCCTTTTAGACCTGAATTTGCCGTAATAGGGCAGGAGATTGAGGAACCACGGTTAAGTCATCAATATATATGTTCCAAACTAGTCCATTCAGAATTCGTCTCATCAAACTTGTAAACATGTACATTTTTAAGTCTATTGGTTGATTCCCCAAGTAAAGATCCCCCTCTAGATCCAACTAATTTGTCATAAACAACTTCATATTCTGAGGAGACATGCCCTCCTAATTAACCTTCTAATCACGAGTTTTTCATCCACGTCGAACTCACAGACCACGACTTCATTGTCTGATTTGGTCATTCCGTAGATGTTTTCGTTACAGACCACTGCAAATCGAAGCTGGTCAACGTTGACATGTTCCGACCAATGTTTTCGACCATACGAGGGCATTCTAGTGAGAAAAATGCGACGATACAGTTGGAAGCCGTAGGTGGCGCACTCATAACACAACTATAATCATCGAGCCATACTTTCGTTTTTACTCCATTGAAGTCAGATTCAACAAAATCCAATCCAGTGACTCTCGTAAGATACTGCCACGAGCCACCCCTGGCAACTGGCGTAGACCCCCCTGTCAGAAACATCTGGACTGGAATACTTTGTGACTGGAAATCCAATGGTGACAACAGATTGGAGTAGTACTGTTCTTCCTCCTGATGTTTTAGACTTGATACTTTCAAAATATATTGGTAAAGTGGGGTTTGGGTTCACCATGTCTAATAGTGAAGAATAAGATATATTTTCCAAATTTCTATAAGAGATATGGGGTCCGTGTTTTATTGCATGAAATATAAGATGTACTCCTCTGTGCCAAAATTATTGTCCAGTTTAAGATTTTATTTTTAGTACAATTTGAACTAGAAATGAAAACTCCAACTGGACAATAATTATGGGACGGAGGGAGTATAAGACTTTTGGAACGAATGGCTTTTCAAGTCCAGATCTTAGTCATACAGCACGGAAACTGCAATGTTGATGGATTGAGCCGAACGAAGAACAGAACCATGGAGTATGTGATTGGCTTGGAAAACCAGACGTTGAATGAAGGTTGATCGGAAAAATTCTACCAAGTGATGATGTTTAGGAAAATGCTCTTGTACTTTGTTCTACAATTTTAGCTTTTTTTGAAATAGTTTATTTGAGCGGTTGTTTGTAATTCTTTCCCATTTGTTCCAGTGCCCAGCTGCTGATAATATATTATTGTTAATGACATTCAGCAATCGTGATTTTACTGGTGCTGGTTACAATTTAAATTTCAATTCAATCTGGTTTTCAGGGTTCAAAGAGCATTATGAATAAAGTTTTCATTTTTATGATTACTAGTTCTATGCTGGTGCGTTGCACAGATTTTATATTATTTTCTGTTTTAAAATTTAGGTATTATTACTTTTTGTTAAGAAATTCATAAAGTCTTCTTTAAAATATATTTTTTTTAATATGATTTACAGCTGTGTAATTTACTTCTTGTGATTTTGTTGGCGTTAAAGACGTTTTTATAGTCATTCTGATGAAATTAAGTTTTAAGGAAAGGTCATCAATTTTATTTTATTTTATCTTTTAAAAAAGTAAAGACTATGAAACCCAAAAAAAAAAGTAAACACTATATTATAAGAAAAAATACTAGATTCATCTATACCCACATGATGTGTGGAGTAGATTATAACATTTTTATGAACAATTAAGCAAATATAGAAAATAGTATATATCACAAGTGTATAAATTACAATTTACAAAATAATAAATGAAAATGTCATAACATTATACATGAAAGGCAATATAAATTTCTATACCATGATATAAAATTATAATTTAAGGGCGATTAAATAGGAAACAATAGAAAAATCCAATCATGAATCATCATCCACAAAAGATAATTCATAATAGATAAAGTTAGAGAACAATTAGAGATTTGTTATGGAATTTATAAATTAGATGGATGCATATATTAAAGATTTGGTTATATATATTTTTTGTAAGTTTTTCTTTTTCAACCATAATTAGTTTCGGTTTGTTTTTCTTATAAGTAGAGGACTAATTCAATAATTACATAAAGTTTTTTTTTTCCGAGAATTAATTAAAAAATGACACATTGGATTGTGTCTTAGATGGTACTCTAGAAAAAAAATTTATTTTCTCTCTCCGGTTTCTCTATTCGTTATATATATAGACACACAAACTTATAAAGAAATGTTGCAAAATGTATATAGATAAGATGAAAAATAAAGATAAATTTATTGAAAGAAATAATGATAAATTTTTTTGTTAGAGGCTGATGGAGAGTTTAAAAGATATGATACGAGTAGTAATATTTAAAAAGATCATTATGAAAAATTAAGAAAATACTTTTAAAAGATATAAAACCACAAAACTAAAATGATGGACAATAAGTTACGCTCGGTGATTTCAAATATTAAAAATTATTTTAAATGTACTCAAAATTTACAAATAATTGATGGGAAAAAAGGATAAGGTTCAGTGGGCCTACCACAAAATTTTTACAAAGAATGGAGGCTTAATGAAAAGTTTGAGATTTGGATCTTTTAAATTTTTTTGAATAATTATAATTTAATTTTTTAAATGATTTTCAAATAACTAGTTTCTTAAATATTACCCCCTCCATCCAAAAAAAAAAAAATCATATTTTTATTTATGAAGAGGAATATTTCTAAAACAATTGATTAGAATGGAGCGATTATTTTAGTAGTTTATGATTTTTCTTGATTTCTTAGAAAAAAAACTAAGTATTTTTTCTAATAGAAGCGTTCCCGTTCAAAAATATATCACAAAAAGTGTGGGGATTAAAAAATGACATTTGAGTTTAGAGTTTTTGAAATCTTTTGAATGAAATAAAAAACTCTCTCTCTCTCTCTCTCTCTATATATATATATATATATATATTAAAAGATTGGTAATATTGGGTATTGATTATGGACATCCAATTAAATCTAGTCATATAATTCGTGACAAAGTAAACAATTTTTGTACATCTGTTTCTAACTCGCAGTATAATGCATAAAGTATATTCAGACGCCATAATAGTAAGGGTAATGTTTGAAGTGTGCCATGAGTAACAGGCTCAATTCCCCTGCTCACCCTTTTCGAGCAGTGTCTTTTCTTCCTCAATCTGTTGAAGCAACACCTGCAGCTCTGCTTCTGTCAAACTCTCTAATCTTTTCTGTGACAGCAAGAGCCAAAACAGAATTCAGCATACTTAAGCTTAAGTTCCATACTTAGATCCACTCGTCCGACAACTACAGTACAAACACACTATTCATAGCCTGTAAGCTCTAAAGAAATATGTAATACCAGAAGGTGGATAAAGGAAAACTATGTTTAAAAATCTACAGAGCTAGAAAGCTGATAAAATTTTTACAATGACATCATAGTAGTGAATTTCAGTCCACTTGCATTTTGAGGATACCGTTGGCTTGAAGGCATTAAACCATGAACTAGCTGAAGCAGGTTAGCAAATTTCATAGAGAAAAATATTTGCACGACTAAAGACACAATTTATTGCACATAAAAGAGAAGGTAACAGTCACTAGGATGGGGAAAACCATAGTACAGAAGAATGTGTTTAGTATCCAGAATGGCCAGAACAAGAACTGTAATATGAAATGATTGCACAAGTAGAAGCGGTAATGACAAACCTCCATGACTTTGCTTTCGTAGTCTCGTAATTGTTGAGCATATGTCATTTCCTTATTCGAGACTCTGAATATGTATGTAGAGATCCATCCCACTGTCAAGCCTAAAACCAGTACTAATTGAACAACATTCCCAGCCTGTAAAGGATCAACTCCAAAGAACTGCAAGAAAAAAAGAAAAAAAGCCAATTACAACCATTGGTAATCTACAAGCCTGATTAAGATAACTGTTATGCATCTACACTCCCAAAAGACATTGAAAAGCACAGTCTGAAAGTACCTCCAATCCATACTTTAAGCCATATCCGAGGGCAGTAACTCCAACACCAATCAACAAGACATCCTTTCTTGTATATCCAAAGGGTGTCTGCATTCGAAAATACAGCTATGAAATATCCATAAAGCACTTGGCTATCAACTTCCTTTACTTGTTTAGACTTTAAAGAAACACAGAATTGAACACAAATGTCAAATTCCATGGCAGCAAACTTGATCGGCAAAAACTAAGATAATTTTCATAGGATGAGCATTCTGATGGACATATTGCACTCTGATTAACTTAGACATTTGAGCCATAGGAACAAAACTGTGAAACTGTAGAATAACAAAACCAAAAGCATCGATTGTTACACGTGCCTTCTCCTGGTTGGAAGAGCCATCCTCAGCACCATTAGAATTTGAGGAAATGTTACTTCTGGGGATCAAAGTCGTTTCCTTCGTTGACTTGCCATACAACCCCGTTCTGAGAAAAGGAGGAGATCCCTTTCTGATAAATCTTTTAGAGATTACTCTTTCTGGAGACCAAAAAGAGCACAATGAAGATCACATAATCTAGCTAGGACTACTAATGGAAAGAGAAAATTTAGAAATGTCAATAATGCGAAAACATTGATTTGCTTAAAATTAAAATTTTTATGCTAGCAAGAACATCTAACAGGTGGCAATCATAAAGCTCTTTCGATCACCAGCAATTCAGTGAAGCAAACATCCGAACATACAGCATAATTTCTTTCTTTTGCCTAAAACAAAACTAACTTTCCAGCAGTTCAAACTCATCCTGAATACCTTCATAATTGGATTTTTTCCTATGCTAATAAATTCGTTCATTCTCGTCAATCAGTTTAACTTGCCAAGCTGAACAAAACTTACTAGATTCTACCCAATCCAGTACCAGTTAAGTACACGTTCATGGTGATTTTGAAAAATTCAAAACAATTGTGGACGCCATAATAGTAAACCAATTCTAAAGAACAATTGCACACTTAACACTTTTCGATACTTCAGATGAAAACTGAACAGATAATAATAATAATAATAATAATAATAATACAATTAAAAAAGAATCAACTAACCTCTACTGAAATGGAGAAAAGCTTTAACTCTGGGCTCTTGTAATGGAAAAGAAGATAAACCCACAAACGGAATTGATTCATTTCTGCAGAAAACGGTGCTTTTCATGGGGGAATATGACACAGAAGCCATTCCTCCAAGCTCCAGAGCAGCTGTGGTGAGTTTTGTTGAGTGGCTTCAAATGTTTCCTTCCCACTCCTTCACCGCCGTAAGAACCAGGTAATGGTGACCGTTCAAAAAAATCTGATTTTATATGGGCCAAATCAAATTTCCAAAGAGAACAAGTAAATTTTTTTGGTAAGACTAATCAGATCCAAGTATAGTTTAGCCCAAGTCAATAACAGGCCCAAAATATCAAACCAATCGGTGTTCTTCTTCTTTATACTGTACAGTATATAATTCCGAAATTTTTTTAATTTCATTTAAATACAAAAAATAATCTCATTCGAAACGTATCACATTCAAATTAATTCCTACTCGATTTTAGTAGACTTCTCTGAAGAAAACCTTTTTTTTTTGTGTATCCTACAAAAGTATTACTACTATCTTTTTCTTTGAAAAGGATCCCCATTTTTATTCATTTATTTTCTTTTCTTGGTATCTAAAACAAACTTCCTGTCAATTCTCCGCATAATTTGATAACGCAAAGTTGTTCCCATAGAATGTATAACGAAACTGTGATGATGAATGAAGATGAAGACTTTAAGCCGCATCCCAGCTAACTCTATTCTGTATAATAGAATCTCTTTTGACAAAGACAAGCTTACCAACTAAAAGAACCAACAAAATGGAAACTTTGAGCACGTAATTAGGTCAAAGTTTGGTGTACAGAAGAATTTCGGGTAATACAACATATAACACGATCTAATTACACCAACCTTTGAATTGGAAAATAGAACTTGACACCAGCAATCAAAAGGACCAAAATTGATAATCAGGGAGTTCATGACGAGCGTGCCTTAAAGTTTTTTAACAGGTTAACACTACAATAGTAATATGACGATCGTGTCTTATGTTTTTCCTGATTCTGAAACGTAGAAATATGGGCAATGATGATCATGTCTTATGTTTTTCTCCTTTTTTTTATACCCTAATAATAATATAATATAAGTTGGTCCTTGAGGCAGTCACCATAGGTTCCTAGAAAAAACCATACCCATAGGCATTAATGATTTAGCCCTAAATGTAGTATTTGAATTTGCATGTCAAACTCTCTCCCTAAGTTACAACCACCTCTAGTACCAACCATAGATATATAGATTATGTATTCCATTTTCAGTCACACTGTTTGATTGCAAAGAATTAAGGTTTTTTTTTTTTTTTTTAAAAAAGGTAATAAACAATCAGCCACATATTAATCATTAGATTGTAACCAATTATTGCATTAGAGAGACTGGTTTCCCATCACTACTGAAAATTAAAAATTTTGATTACTTTTTCGTCTGGCAACCACCACAACGCGGAGATAGCGCTTAATTTTGCATCTCCCAACGGGCAAAGTCTTCCCCATACCAGAATCTTCATCATCAAATTTGTTGATAGTTATTCTGTAAGACGAACACTTCAATTTCCAAACTCCAAAGGGTAAATGAAAACATTCTCCCTGTTAATAAACAAGACTCTTTTTATGGGACGAAAAAAATAGTATGGGACGGAAAAAATAGTAATGCGGACCAAAAAAACTCTAAGCCGTTGCAAGAAAAAAAAAAAGAAGTTGAATCCCTTTGCTTGTATGCTAAAGCTGGAAGAAATCTATAGTAGTCATAACTAGTTTTCATTTATTCGTGATTAATTTGGTTTGGCTAACGTTAGACCAGTTCCATCAAGCTTTTTCATTATTACTCACGATTATAAATTTGTTTTATGCGGCTACTACATCTCTTAGAACAAGTGTCACTAGCAGCTTAAAAAGGCGTCTCTCTCCAGCTAATAATGTGAAAGCCTTTGAATGCGGTAAGCAACTTATACTATAATCATCATTGAGTTGAGATTATGTTAATCCCTAGAGTCTTTATAATGACTTGCTAGCTAGCATGAGATTGCAATAGGATACCTAGATAATCTACATTGTTATCACAATTTTTTTTTCCGCATTAAAAAGGAGGCTAAAGTCTAAAAATGACTAAATCAGTATATTTTTAGGGTATGATACCCTCATAATATCATGTTCTAATTATGATTTAACACCCGATGAAAGTTAGTCAAGTCAAAACAAGCCTCCTGGTCCTTGTGCCGCCCAAGAAACTAAATAGTCCGCTACAATTTCTTTGAAATTAATCGTGTCTTATCAATAAAATGACCTCACGAATAATGTGTGACAAAAAGATTTTTTTGGACCGTTGAGGCAATGCTAGCCAAAATGCAAGAAGCTGCTGAGTGCATTAGTAAAAAATTAAAAATGGCTTGTACATGTTGATTGGCTCGAGTAAAATTTAGCTAAATACAAACCCTAACTATTCTTTCTATTTGATTCCATATTCATGGTGGATATATTTTTTGTGCTTGGAAGAGAAGGAAGAGATTGAAGGTAGGTGAGTAGACAGATAGATAGAGATTAGAGATGATATACAAACAATTGCCTGATACCATGTCTCATCATTGGGTTTGGTAGTGTCCTTATGTGAGTTTCCCTGAACTTCCTAGACTCATACTCCATCCCCCTCCATGTGCTCATCAAATTTTTTTTAATCAGATTTGAGTCCATGCAATGGATTTAGAAAACATCCAAATTCCATATATTCCCATCACTTGAAATAAACTGGAAGATGCTACTTTTATTGGACTCTTTCAACTGCCAAATTTTGCCCAATGTATTTTGATCAGTTAAAAAGACTATATCTTTACAACTTGTATAGCCCAAAAGAATCCTCTGTTTTGGCAAAATTTTTATTGCTACCATTTCTCCCCTATAAACACTATTGTATTCCTAGTCTTACTGTCAATGATTTTTTAGGCCAAAAAAATTATTCCTATCTGGTAGATTTGTTCAGTGTGAAGAACCCAAATTAAAGGATTTTTTTTTTTTTTTCTGCTTCCGCAACCACCATGTATCAGACAAAATATATATCATGCCATTAATCATATCAAACCCCTTCCTCCTTAATCCCCTCATTGAGCCCACAAACTAAGTTTGACCACTTTTCTTCTTCTCTGTTTGCACTGTGTGACTGTGTGCAAGTGCAAATTGCAATGGGAAATGTAGCATCTTGTGCTCCTTCAATCATCTCTTCTGGTGCTGTAAAGGTCTTGTTTGGCGATGGAAGATTGGTGATTTACACAAGGCCATTGAAGGCTGCTGAACTCATGCTGGAAAACCCGGGTCAATTCGTTTGTGATTCGGGTCATTTGAAAGTTGGGCACAGAATTGCAGGGCTATCAGCCGATGAAGACCTGGAACTCAGGCAAATTTATTATCTTCTTCCAATGGAAATGCTGTATTCGGTTCTCACTGTGGAGGAAATGAGCTATCTGAATGAGATTTCTTCTAAAGCGTTAAAACAGGGGAGCCTGAATTTTTCAAAGATTTTCCCAGTTTTTGGTGATTTCTGCTTGTTCCCAAATGCAGAATCCAGAAATGTAGACTCTGCAATAAAGGGTCCTGAGCCTACAGAAAGATACTCGAGACAAAGATCTTGGAAGCCTGCATTAGAAACCATCATGGAAGCTCCAACACCACCGTATGTATAGCTCTGTTTCATGATGGCTGTTTTTATTTTATTGGTTTTTTTTTCCAACTCTTATACTTTCAAATTCTTTTTACTTTTAACCTTTTTGCTATACCTTTTGGTGTTCAAATCGTGTAGTGTAATTAGATTTTGTGTGTGTGTAGGGTAAATCATGATTCATAAGTGTAGACTCTGTATAGAGATTATGGTGTTTTTACCTTCTTGATGAAGCAGAGCATCATGACTGTGAGATGTACGAGTTTTGCTTAATTTTTTCATATGGCAAACGTGAAATATTTCATGTAAATGGCAAATAATTAATAACCGTCAATGCCAATTTTAGTCCCTTGATATTTTTTGCTTTTCCAACTAAATGGAGAGAAGCTTATATACAAGTGCTGCATCAATTGATGTTTTCATGGGGATCATATATCTAATCTAATCATCTTCTTACACATTACCGCCAGATAAAATGATTAGGTTAAATAAATGTTGATTTATTGTAACATTCTGCCTTTGGTAAAGGGTTTAAAAAGTTATTGGGAATTAATCACACAAAGGAAGATTGAGAAATTTGCCACAACTTGGCCAAGGAAACAAAGGAAAAACTTTCCAACACGTGATTATGTATGGGATCATTGTCATCAAAACATCATAGACGAAATCTTCCATAAGTTGGCAAAAAGCATATTTGTTCATATGATCATATCCTTCATGTGATTCCCATTTCTCTTTCCTTAACGTGTTTGTGTCCCTTTTTCCCAAACAAGGAAGATCCTAAATCAAATAGCCAACCCTAGATATGCCTAATTATCGATTTATTATTTTCTTAAACCATAGTACCAAACCTAATATAGCTATAACACATTTGATATAACTCGATGTCTTGATCGATTGTCTTATTTGTACTTCTTCTTCCGTCCCAAAATTATTATTCAGTTCAGATGTTTATTTTTAATATAATTTAAACGAGACAATCATTTCAAGACGAAGAGAGTGTAAAAGTGATGTACCAATGAGAACAACAATAGACGGAGGGGATAGCACTAATGAAGCATCTATAGACTAAATTAACTGTGATTTTTGTCCAAACATACCATGATCATGACATTTGCCCAAATAATCCCAACATTTCCTTTTTCACAAATGTGTCATTTTCATTTTTTCAGTTCGATAGAATTGCAATTTCTAATGGCTGACAGAGTGACAATTGCCAACACTTAGTTAAAAAAAAGTAGCGCAAATTGGCAAAAAGAGCCAAACTTTTTCCCCACCCCTAAAGACCAAAGTAGCAAAGAATTGCCAACCAATTACAATAATTAAACCCAAAAAAAAAGGGTTTCATAGAACACTTTAATGTTTATAATGAGAAATTATTTTCATTTTTCTAAAAAACAGGAAAATTGAAATACGGAGAAAAATATTTGATCCTATCCAACACCACCGCCACTGCCACCACTACAGATGCCACTGAGCGACACCGCCGAGAATCTACACAAAACTCCGGCCGGGGATTCCGGTTCATCTGCATCCGCCGCCGCCGCCGGAGGCAAAACCCTCCCGTCGGCGAACAACATCCGCCCATTATTCGACTGATGAAAATCAGCTGCCCCGACCCCTTCCAGCTCCGCCGCCGCATTACTGAAAAGAGTTACGTCGCCGAACCGCCGTTCTACCTCCAAGAACTCCCCCAGTGACGATGGTCTACAATCGCACTCATCCCGGCAAAGACCCCACCACCTCCACCGTCTCCGCCGCCTCCTTTCATCCTCATCCGCCCCCACAACCGCTGACCTGTGCTTCTTCGACTTCTTATTTCGCCGGTTACAGTGGATCCCGGAGGCGTTTTCCGCGTCGGGAATCTGAATTTGGCGGTGTTGAGATTGAGTGCGAGACGGTGCTCTGAATGTAATTGCAGGGAAAGTGACGCCCATCAACGTCCCAAGCGTCGTGCTCCGGTCATGGAAAAATGAACCTGTAGACTGTTTGTCAAAATGCCCAAATGAGTATTTTCGTAATGGAAAAAAGATAGTTTCATGTGAAATGATAATTGTGCAAACTTATGCATTTTTTGGTGATTTACCTCAGTGTCGAAATCAGAAGAAGAAACGGAGGAAATGGTGGGAGATGACGGAGGCGGCAGTAGTTCATTTGCAGGATCCAACATCGCTGCTGACGATGATTTTCTTTACCTCTGAGACTGTCAGATTATGCTTCCTTAATGGTAAACGGTCTGCTTAGATTAAATCAAAAGCCATAGTGGTCTTTTCATGGGGCTGTGAGCTTTGATACTTCAGAGAAGAGGAGGATGAGAGATGCAGAGTGCAGAGTGGAGAAAAAAGATTGGTTCTTTCTATTGGGAATTCTATTGTTTTGTTTTTTTTTTTTTCTGGGTTTTTGTGAAAAGAAAATAAAAGATGAAAAGAAAAAAAAAAAACAAAAGAGGTTGCAGGAGGGCCAGGCCAACTGGAAAAATTCAGGGATTCACAGAGTTGTTTTTAGCTTTGGAAGAGTAGAAGAAGAAGAAGAAGAATTTTTCATGAGTGCGCTTGCACATTATGCAATCATATTCCCTCCCTTTGGTGAGATGAATGAAAAGAGGTAAATAAATAAAGTTAGAAAATGGAAGATGAAATTTTTTTTGGTCCCAACCCAAAAGCAATAAGGTGAGAAAATTTCTTTTTTTAAGGGAATGCCCCTGCTTAGTTTGTGGCTTTGTTGATCTGCTGAAGCTATTGTAGTTTGTGAGTTTTTTTTTTGTGGTCATATGAGAAAGACAGGTTACTACTATTAGTTTTATGGTATTGCAAAAATGTTTGAAACTTCATTGATTATACTTCTGAATTTGGACTAAGTGTTGATCTTACATCATATTATGTGCAATGAATTGGTCTCTGGAAAATGGTAGTAAGTGCAAAATTTGGAAGATGTTGCCGACACACTATCGACTACTATTCATTGCCAAGTGTTTCGTCATTTTACTCCTCCATCCCTCTCTATTTCTTTACATCTGTTGATGTATACGTAATTTGTTATTGAAAACACTTTAGAGAACCTTCTTCTTTTCATCTTTGATTTTTTTTTTTTGATCACAAATTCACATTAAAACTAATTAAAATTTATAATTCATAATTAAGATTATGGGGAGTGAGTAGTAAACACCAGGTGATCACTCGAAGAATCTTGTACCTGTTTTTCCTATTCAAACCACTACGTTTTTGCCTAAACTTTGATAATTGAAGATGGATGGAAAGTGGGCTGAAACTCATCATTACGATCTCTTTGCATTGTGCTTTTTTACGGGATTCTTTCTTCTCTCCTTTAGTTTTATATTTCTTTCTGTCGTGGTGCTAAATCCATGCAATTGTCTTCCCTAGGTCCAACAAGATCGAGCATTTTTCACTAGTGTTTTCTTTTTCTTTTTCTTTTTTTCTTTTCTTTTTTTTTTTTGGGGGAGGGATTTTCTTTCTTGAAATAACTTCAACTTATTATTATTATTATTATTATTATTATTATTATTATTTTTTACATATTACTCACCCATTCATCATTCAAAACTAATATCGTAGGAATCGAGTCGTGTTTTGATGATTAAGGCATTGTACCTTTAACCGCGAGATTAAGGGTTCGATTCGATTTCTATTCTAATGCATACGCGAAAATAGACAGCTGCGACACAGGTTGCAGGCAGCCAACAGAGAAAGCAAGTAATTGACTGAAGCAGCCTCATCAAGCAGGCTGGAGGTCTGTGCATCCTGACCTGGGAGGATCGGACATTCAAGCAAAAAGCGCACTCGAGTGGAGTCATTATCACCTCAATTGTAACAGCCTAGGTACCTTGTCAGCACCAACAGGTGCTAGGGTCTAAATAAAAAGAAAAAAAGAAAAGAAAATCCCAATTAGTCCAAGTTCGATGGGTTTAACATTTTCAACCTAGTTTTAACAGTTAACACTGAACATCTCCCTTTCCATTTCCTCGTGAAATATTACAATTAGTGTGTGGGCCTTAGTTACATTGGTGTAAGCTACAAAGCAGCAATATTTTTTATTTTCTGGATTAAATTGGACTAAATATTTCGGGCTTGATCTAGTAGACTAGCCCATCCCTCACATCCTCCTTTTCAAGTGGACTAGGAGTTGTGATACCCAAATTCTTCCACGGATATGTGGTCCAATACAAGCACCCAAAATTGAGCCAAATCCCATAAAATGAGAACAATAGTGAATCTCCAAGATTAAAAACAAAAAAAAATTCAGGATATTCAAAAAAAGTTCCAATTTTGTAACGATTTCCGTAACAATTGCATCAGTACAAATTTCAGAAGTTGTGTTGCAGGTGCCCTTTCTGCAGATTTAATATTGAAAAAAATGTATGGAACATATCTTTGGTTTTGTTAGTGTTCATGAAGTTTCGCATCTGCTTCTTATAACTTTGTTCTTCTTCAGACTGTTTTTGCCTGAAAATTGAAATGATCCAATCAACTGGTTTTTTTTTTTACCTTTCTTCCCTCTGGTCGTTATTATAAAACATTTTGATGCTTCGAATCAAATCTTCATATTTCCTTTTAGGGCGAAATGGGTTGCAAATTCAGAAAAATATTTACACAACATGGTGATGCATAATGCAAGCCAATCTCACATCGCAAAAGCTACTACGAATGTGACGAATCAATAACCATCCAAATTCAAAAACTTGCAAATTAATACTCCTTCATCCAAAAAAATTATTATATTAAAATTGAAAATCCAAATCAAATAATCATAATCATTTTACAGCGCAAAAACGTATTACTTCCGTCTTAAAATTATTGTCCAATTTGAGATTTCACTTTTAGTACAATTTAAACTAGAAATAAAAACTCAAACTGGATAATAATTATGGGACAGATGGAGTATATAAAGAGAAGGAGACAATTATGAAGATATTTTCCTGAGGAGCATATGCTAGGAATTGAATAGTGTGGGTCTTTTGTGCATTTAAGGTAATCCATAAATAAATCTGACAATATGCTCGTGGGACAAATTTATTCAGGCATGTCTGTCAAACTAGTTCTCTAGCTATAAAATTCAAACAAAAATCGAAATGTTTTATTTCGTTTTATTTAATAGATACAAATTTAAATTAACATATCTTGTAAATAAGATGAGAATAAACACTATACAAAGAAGTTTCTTATATTTTTCCTAGTTTTATTAAATTGCCTTTTGCTGCCAAACTCTGAAGCTTCACGTTCGAATTAAAAAAACCTCTAAGAAAAGATGGGTGGACAACTACATTTTACGTTGCTTTCTTTTGATGATGATAAGGTTAAGAGAAATACTACTATTTAGGAAGTTTCTGCTTTTAATTTTCTTTAATATGGTACAAATAATAATCTGCATAATAGTACTAGGCCCGGTTGGTCTGCAAAGATTAGTGTCACCTCCGTTAGGTGCCAGGTCTTGGCTGCAACATGATGTACTAGGGGTGGCACACCCCCGGAATGTAAGAATCTAGGCTTTTGCCTCCTTTTTCGTACCAAAAAAAATAATCTGCATAATAGTAGTATTTATTGTTTTGATACTTTCATTTGCACTTTTTCAACTTTCAGTAGTAATGAAAAAAAATGTGCTTTTTAACTACGTATTATCTTAATCGCACAATTCAATAAAGTAGATTATTTTTCAAACACCAAAGAAGTGTGAATTTAGTTAAGCTATTAATTTGTGCAATTGGTTGGCTGGCTGCTGAACATTGACATGCAAATTATTAATGTAGATAAGTTTATGGCTTGAATTTGGAAAAAAAAAGAAAGGAAAAAAAGAAGAGAAAATTATGCACGTAATAACTTCCCTTAAGAAAGGAAATTACTTAGTACTACTATATTCTTATCCTTTTAGACCGATCTTAGTCATAGCCACCTAGTGACCGACGTGGAATCGGGTCTACAGTGTTTGTTCCGATTGTTGTTTGCGGGTGCTAATCTCATGGTAATAATTTCATCAATCAATGTCTGAATATTTGAAATCTTTTTTCGTTCTAAAAAAAACCTCTAGTTCTTAATGTTAACACTAAGAGCATCTCCAACTAAGAATATTTGAAATTTGATGTTTTGGTGTAAAGTTTTCACTCTAACAAATACATTAAATCACTACACTATTTGGTGTAAATTGTCCGTTACACTATTTTTAGTGCACTATCTTTTTACTTAGATTTAAAGATATATTTGTTGTGCAATTAAACTTGTAAAACAAATTATGTTATAAAAATTATATCACATTAAATATTTTGTTGAGATCTTCTAAATAAGATCCATATTGAATATAAATTTTTTATTTTTTTAAAATAATTTTTAGTTATTATTAAAATTGAGTATGAAAAATAAGTAAAAAAATTTGATACTCCTACCATCAAATAAAAGCGATTATAAGGAACAAATTTCACAAAATTATCACCAAATTACATGATTTTAATTAACTACAAAAATAAAAGTTAAACTAAAACATTTAATAGGTAGACATTTTTGTGCATCAAAGTTGGAATGTAAAGAACTTTGGTATAAAAAGAGGCTTAGAATATTCAATTTGTCCACTAAATTTGGTGTAAATTATAGTGCAATGGTTGGAGATAGTCCGAGAGAGTAATATATGGGTATTTAAACACATTCGATAATTTTGATTTCATTTAGCTTTTGCCTTTCAGGGTATTTTTTAATAATTAGAGAATTCGGTATTCAAAAGAATCAGATTCCTTCATTATCCCAATATATTTTTATATGTTAGGTTAATACACTAATTAATGACATAATATCACCAACCGGGATTCTCTTCCCATCTGTCTTCTTTAATTGGTTTTGCGATTAGAAATAGGAACTAATCTGATTTTGATCACAAAATCAAAATGCAATAAATATAACAATCAAATCAATAGTATATATCCTATCATATTTTCGATTCAGTAAATTCTGTAAATGAAGTTATAGTACACAAGTGTATAGCATCCAATTTGGCACGATTGTCATGCCCAAATTGATCAGCAAACTGCGGGACCAAAGCAACTTTGAATCAAAGACGAAATTGGCTTTCCAAAACTAATCTGATTTTGGACGATGTGATTTCCATTTGGTAGGGTTACTCTGACATTGGTTTTCTTTACCAAAAGATGTCATTTCGTTGTAGGAAAAGTACAATAAAGGTTGCACATATGGATCGCACCATATGGTTCGATTTGGCAAATTGTCACACATTCTGTATTATGACGATATAAAGAAATTTTTTTGACAAGAATCCGATCAATTCCTATTTTCACCGGAATGATCAATCATTTCACAAAAAATGTCACAGAATATTTTATCCATTATATTCGATTTATGAATAGTTGTCGTTGCAATGTTTTGTCCCGAGAAAACAAACTACATCCTAATAGCGTAATTGATACAATTTTTTCGTCTCATTTTAATATTTGTTACTTTCGAATGGAAACAAATAAACTAAATACTGCTTCCCGTATTTAATATAGAATTATTTTTTTATTTTTCTTAGGTTTCATTTATTATATTTTTACAAAATCAAAAATAAAACCTTAAACATGTTTTTTATAAAAATAGGGAGAACACAATAAATATGAAATTCAAGAGGAATCAAAATATTTGATAGAAAGAGTAGTTAAAATGAAATGATGAATAATACTCCTAATAGATGTCACCTAAAAAACTGGCACGCATAAAACTAAATATTAAATTCTCTGGAATCTCTCCTATTTTGTCAACTACTGGATTAAGTCAGTCAGCACTCAGTACTTCTTTTGATCGCTGCTGGTAGCCTTTGCAATATTTTGCCGGGCTTCATTTTTTTTTTTCCTTTTTATAGTTCTTGATCAAGTTTAATTCTTTCTTGAACCTATACCCAACGAAGCATTTTTAGTACTCTCAGTTCTGCAAGTAGAGAAGTTCTGAGGACTCAAAAAGACAAAAAATGGTGTCTGAAGATCAAGGGGTTGTGGGTTTTCTTGGATTGGATGAAGTCAGTTTAGAATTGGCTGCTTCTCTTCTGAAGTCTGGTTATGACGTCCAAGTGTTTGAGGTTTTCTCTTTTTTAATGCCCCTTTACATCTTTTAGTTTCATGAAAGCTTACTGTTTTATTGGTCTGTTTGAAATGCATTATATACTCATTTTGGTGTTGGTCAATTTCTTGTTTGAAGCTAATGTTTCTGCATTGTTTTCTTTTGTTTAAGAATTTGAAGAGTGATTAGTACTTGTTAGTTGTTACCACAATTGAAATTCGGAGACGGTCGAATTAGATGATTGAGATTCATAATTTGAAAATGGATCTCTGAACCAAATGATCACATACATTTAGTAGCTTTTAGGAGGTTAATCGGTCATTGGAGGTTAACTTTTCTATAAATGGATAGGAAAAGATGTTTCTTTTTTCCGTTGTCAAACCAAAAGAGAGCCTTTGGTGACTTATTATGAGTGTGATCAATTGTGCTTCATGGTCGGCTTGATCAGATGTGCATGTAGTCGTAGTTAGGTTCTTTTGTCTTCTGATTTGAAACAGAGCCCTTTCACAATTTATGATGTTAAGTCAAAATTAACTACATTGGCAGACTTCAAGCCCTTTGGTGGATGAATTTTCTAAGCTCGGCGGTAGAAGATGTAGAAATGCTATGGAGATGGGCAAAGGTGAAACTTGTTAAATCATTGTCTTTTTTCCAAGTTTTTTAACTTTAGCTCTATGGACCTTTCCCATTTTAGTCTGCATTATTCTGATACTTCTTTTACACACGGCAGGTCTTGCAGCCTTGGTCATCTTAATATCTCATGATGATCAAATGAATGACATAATTCGAGAGCATGAAGGCATTTTGAAAGGTTACAGTTGTTTCTTAGTTTGCATTAGAAAACCATAGATGTCACACTATTGATCTTTTCATTTTAGGCAGCCTTACAATGATTTTTGTGGTGTTACAGGGTTGGAAAAAGATGCAACTATTATTTTCCATGCAGCTGGACCCCTTGTGGATCTGCATCAGTCAGAGAAGATTCTGGAAGGCATTTTTCTCTCTCTGTATATATTGGATTTGTCTTTCTTTGTAATTGGATGCCTTCCTTTAGCAGATTCTGATGACCATAGATAAGCAGAACTTCTAGTCTTTCGCTACCTGAAAAAAAGAGACATAAGTAACTCATGATGTGCTGGTCATAACTTGAGTAGTGACATAAGTGGGGATGAGTTTTTGCCTGCATCATTTATAATTATAGCTAGTTAGTACCATATCCCGCAACTTCTTATATTTTTAAACTGTCTATTGCAGCTAGTTATCATACACACCCCATTGTTGACATCTATGTTTCTAGAGCTGCGTCAGACAATTTGAATGGAAAATTGCTGGTAAGGATGGAAACTAGCTTCTGCTCTCTGATCTTATTTCTCCTCTCCTCATTGGGGATAAATGCTAAATATTGTCCTTCATAAATGTTCAGATAATTTCCTCAGGAAAGTCAGGGGACGCACACAGGGCAAAGCCAATACTTTCTGGTGCTGCAAAATTTCTCTTTATTTAGAATTAGATCTCCATGAAAAGTTATTTTTGATTCATTTCCCGTATGATAACAGACCCTATGGCATCTGATTTTCTTTACAATGTGCAGCTATGTGTGAAAAACTTTACCTCTTTGAAGGTGAGCTGGGAGCTGGAAGGTGTGTTTTCCTATTTTCTTGCTATGGCAAGTCTCTCCTTGGGAAATTATTCTGTTTAATGTGCATTTGAGCCTAGGAGTAGAGTTTTGCTAATATAGTCATTTTAACTGTTTGGTTTGTAAATATTGATGAACTCTTTGCCAATCTCCTTTTTCCAGTAAAGCTAAATTGGTGATTGAACTTCTCGAGGGGATTCATTTCATTGCTTCTGTCGAAGCCATTTCTCTTGGTACACAAGCTGGGATTCATCCATGGATACTTTACGATATTATTTCCAACGCAGCCGGAAATTCATGGTGATGCATTCATAGTAAATAAGATATCTTGTTTATAAGTCACTTAATCCCACTTGTTATGACTACTGGAAGTTGTCATGGAATAATGCAAAACTACCTGATTCATCGCTTTCTATATGCTCATAAAAGCTTTTTTAGTTTTTATTTATTTAATGAAATACACCAAGTTGGTTCATATAGGGACAATCAGCCATATTTAAATGGATATAGTATTTTATGCAAATCAGTAGAAAATTATGTTAAAGTTGATGCATTTTCTCAGAATTTCGGTGGTTTTTGGTATTTTAATCTTGTTTCTAGGTGGGCTTCTCTAAGTTGATTGTTATTAGGCTGATCAAATCATTTTTCAATTTGAAGTTTACTGTTTCACCACATTGTTGCTATTGTCCTTAGTTTTCTCCAAGATCATTTCATTTCTCTTACTTCTTCTCTTCTTGATTTCTCTCTGAACATTCAGGGTATTCAAGAATTATCTTCCCCAGTTGCTGAGGGGTAATCAAACCAAGCATCATTTTCTGAATGCTATGATTGAAAACATGGTAATGTTTCTATTTATCATTCTATAGTCTTCGACTGGGAGTGAGTGCTCTAGCAGGTCCAATGTAAAATCCATAAGGACAATTATCACTTTGAAAAGTTGCTACTTGGAGTATGTTTTAAGAAGTGTCACTTAGCAATTTAAATGTCCAGAATTGTTCCAGTGTATGGAAATGTTCACGTGGTTTTGTGCTGAAGGGATATGGCTTGTTATCTTGACTATCGTAATCTTATGTGTAAAAGAAGGCACAAATCTTTAGTAAATTGACTATGTATGATTACCTAGTTTTTCAGCATCATAATCAAGATTTAATGTTGTATGTAGGGGACGGTGTTGGCGAAGGCAAAATCACTTGTATTCCCTGTTCCACTTTTAACTGTGGCTTATCAGCAACTCATAGCAGGTCATTGTCATTGGTATTCAATATTAGATTGTTTGTAACAAACTGAATACCTGATGCTACTATCTCTTCACTTCAGGATTTTCCCATGGAACGAAAGATGATGATGATGATGATACCACATTGCTCAAGGTCATTAGTACATTCCACCTGCCAGCTTGTTGCTTACATTATTATTTTATTATATAATATTAGTAGTGATTTACTGAATGCCTACAGGTGTGTGAAGAGGTCTTTGGGGTCAGTATTGGTGATTCTGCTAATGCAAAAAGTTACAACCCTGAAGAAATAGCCCATCAAATTTCTGCAAAATCAGTAACTGTGAAGAGGGTTGGTTTCGTTGGTCTTGGAGCTATGGGATTTGGCATGGCAACTCACCTGCTGAAATCGAATTTCTCCGTCACTGGCTTTGATGTAATTTTTCAACCTGATTATACCTTGGCAGTGATTCCAGAACCTACTTTTTAGATAAAAACTTTCTGAATAGCATCTCCAGTTTATGTTTATCATGTCAGCAGTTATCCTTAAACTCAACGTGTAAACACATTGTTGATGCTAACTTCAATACTTTGATTCATCACATAAGGCAGTACTATAAGGAGTATATGTTATGGGGATAGGTTTATCTGGGTATGAAAAATAAGAATGTGGAAAAGAAATTTGGAAAGGAGCCTCACTGAATTTATCACATTCATTAATTCCTTGTTTTCTTAAATCTCATTGACTAATGGTAATCTATAATGGTGCATACATAAAAAAAAAGGACATTGAATAATGTGGTGAAGTTGATCATTTTGTGATATCTGTAGGTGTAGGTAAGGTGGTCTATTCCTTGGTATGTAATCTATCTTATCATAATGCACGAGTCCATTCAGAGGGGATCTTTTGGTTATGAAGTATTTTGTACTTTATTACAGATTTTGACACATCCCAATGGCTTACAAAAATGGTTGATGTCTCCTTTGTTTGGTTGTAGGTCTATAAACCAACACTGTCTCGATTTGCAGATGCAGGTGGCTTGATTGGAAGCTCTCCGGCAGAAGTATCACAAGGTAACTGCAACATCAACATATGTTTCCCTTGAAAAGCCTTCAACATTCTTATACTTCGTAAAGGAAGTTAGCTTGTCCATAGATCTGGCGTATGTGGAATTATTTTTAAATCCTTGTAATGGTTTTATTTTTCATCAGAATATGACCAGCTTGTTGGTTATAGGGCAGTTAACAAGTTTTGTGTGTGTCTCTGTGTGTGTGTGTGGGGGGGGGGGAGTGTTGGTAAAACAGTTGATTTTTTCGGGCAGCTTTGTTATTGTGAGGGCCTTTATGGTGTCATGTCGGGATGTAGGCTGTGTTTATAGCTTTACTTTTATGACGAGTTGTTATTCCTTAGTGTGAAATAAATTTAAATATTTTTTAAACTGATGGAATATGTCTCGATGAAAATCTGAGGGGGATGTAGACTTTTGGAATATAGTAGTTCAGATATGAATCTCAATATTGAACCTGATCACATGCTTCTAAGATGTTTCTGCCGTTCCTATGCTGTAGATGCGGATGTACTTGTGGTAATGGTTACAAATGAAGCTCAAGCTGAAGATGTTCTCTACGGTGATGGTAGAGCTGTGTCAGGTATGCCATCTTTTCGTCTCTCAGCCAAGTGTTTCAAACTAAAAAGTGTTTTGAACGAAAATGTGATTTACCGTTTGTTTCTTTAGCTCTTCCGTCTGGAGCTTCCATTATTCTTGCATCCACTGTTTCCCCTGCATTTGTCAGTCAGCTGGAGCGACGCTTGCAAAGTAAGTTGATTTATTGCTGTATCGAATCATTTCGAATAGATGAGTACTCAAAAACTTAACTTTCAATAGAATTTAGGGAATTCCTGTTTGTGTTCTAAGGTTACTTTGAGAGCTCCCCCTTCTTTAAAAAAATCTTTCATGCTTATTTTTTTGTTAACACTGTACATTGTAGCTGGGTTGTGTGAGTGATAAATTTGTTGTGTAGACATATTTTCTGCCGGATAAGAGAGACCCCTACCTGTTTGTATATTATGCCGAAACCATTTCAAAGGTACTGCAGTACATAGTAATCTAGCTACAATCATTGGGTGACGTAAAGTTATGATATCCTTTGTTGATTCTGTTATGGTGCCTTCACTTGACATCAATAGCATCTTGCATCTACCATGTTTTAGAAACTTTTTGTCTTAATATTATCAAATTCTTTGATAGGTGAAGGAAAAGATCTGAAATTGGTTGATTCTCCTGTATCCGGTGGGGTCAAGCGAGCCTCCGAAGGAACACTAACTGTGGGGAAATTTACCTTCTTAATTTCCATTTTGATAAGTTATTTGTATCTTCATGATTAACTTAGTGGAAAGTTCTTTTTGAAGAATGACTTGTGACTTAATTTCATGCTAGATTATGGCATCAGGGACGGATGAAGCCCTCTGCCATGCAGGTTCAGTTCTTTCTGGTAAGAACAAACAAGAATTTTACAGATTCAATACTTTCTTATTTTCGTTATTGAAATTCCTTGCAAAATGATGATTGACAATTTTTAATGCTCCTTTGATTTATTAATTCACAGCCCTGAGTGAGAAACTATATGTTATCAAGGGAGGTTGCGGGGCTGGAAGGTATTTTGCGGTAGCCCTCTTTTCATCCATCTTCAGTGTGATTGCATTCGTTATACACTTGGGGTCTTTTTTTTAAAATTTTAATCATTATAACACGTGCAAATCCAGCAAAAGTTTATTGAGCATTCCTGAATATCTGCTGATTTGGTTTTATACTTTTCATTATCTAGTGTTGTGAAGATGGTCAATCAACTGCTTGCTGGAGTCCATATTGCATCAGCAGCTGAGGCAATGGCATATGGAGCTAGACTAGGTCTAAATACTGGATTGTTATATGATGTGATTACAGACAGTAAAGGGACATCTTGGTATGTATAATTTTGCCCTTCAGGTTGTATTTCCTGTTAATAGTTACAGATCTGAATTTTGGTTTGATTCTCTGAAGCATTTGTGATGGATAGCAATTTCTTAGAGTGACTAAAACAGAACAATTTAATGGTACTGATGAATAGCTTTTATCTGGAAGTTTAAAACACCAAAACCGCGTTACGGGTTCTTTTCCCTTTAAATGATCCTAGCATCTGCACACTTTAAAGTGGCTGGTTAATTGACCTTGAAAATAAATCAATGCTGAAAGTTTCAACAAGGAAAAAGTTTGCCCATTTAGGCAGAAATATCTTTCCTAGAATTAATTAATTGGTTGCCTCTGAATTGGCATAAAAGAGTTGTTTATATTATGCACTATAACTTCAGAAGACTAGACTCATCTATCTCTTGAGACTTTGTACGTTGTTCTGAATCATATCTTGCATTGTTTGTCATTTTTCTTAGACATTTGAGACGGTTTTCCTCGTATCAGAAGCGATAAATGTATTCTGATGGTGCAGGATGTTTGAAAATCGTACTCCTCACATGTTGCAAAATGACTATACGCCATTGTCTGCATTGAATATCTTTGTGAAGGATCTGGTGAGTGATATCCTCTATGATAAACAACTTCAGTATCATTAGTGATCCTTTTCTCTAAAAGATACTATCTTTCTCTGTTATCAGGGAATTGTTTCTCGTGAGGCCGCATCGCGGCATGTTCCACTTCATGTTGCTAATGTTGCCCATCAGTTATTCTTGGCAGGTAAGCATCAAATGCATGTGAAATACTAATCCGACACAAACTTCTACTTTTCTTCATAGAGAGATGAGGAGGAGCAAAACTGTTATGTTTTTAATTAGATTGCCGACCTGTTTTTGTCATAAAGTAAAATATTTCAATGAGGAAATTCTAATTTAAGGTCCATTACAGATTGGCATCTATTCATCTGTTTTATCTATGCTTCTCAAATAGAAAAGCTTGTGATACATGGAGAGACAGAGACTAGTTTTTAAGATACAACAAAAAGAGGACTAACGGGTGCATTTTGCAGATGTAAGGGACCAAACAATTGTTCTAGAATTTAAAGGATTAAATATGTCATACTTCAACATAAAGGGACTGAAGCTGGAATTTTTATCTTTAGTGTCAATCATTTCAAACTATGCACCTTGTTATCTTTGCTTTCCTTCATTGTTCTCAGCTAAAAATTTCACCTTTTTAATGCTCAGGGTCCGCTGCAGGATGGGGTCGTCTTGATGATGCTTCTGTAGTGAAGGTCCAAAACTCTCTGATGCTTTCCTTTTAGATTTTCTTTTTTCCCCCTGACATTCTACTGCAGTTTCTTGTCACAGTTCCTTACTTTAAAGGAAAAATGAATTCAGATATGAGATCCTGGATGAAATAATAATCTACTTTCATATATAATAATAGCTGCTACAATGAGCCATATTTCAGAGTAAGATTAAACAGGCATTAGAGACTCTCAGTATGCTGCATTGATGTGAAATGCACATGTGAAATGAAGACTGGGGAATGGGGATAACATTGAGCTTCATGATATAGGTCTATGAGACACTTACTGGAGTGAAGGTGGAAGCCAATGTTCCAGTTATGAGTAAAGATTCAATATTGCAATCTCTTCCGCCTGAATGGCCCGTGGATCCAATTGATAGTATACGCAAACTAATTGAGAAGAGCACGAAGACTTTAATTGTGCTAGATGATGATCCAACTGGGACTCAAACTGTTCATGATATTGAGGTACTGACTGAATGGTGAGTTTTCTGCTTCAGTAGCACCCCTTTATTATCTTTTAGGACTGGTGTCTCTGACAAACTACTATATTTTACTATTCAACTAGTTTGAGGTTTTGCAATTGAGATGGCATGTTTGTAATTGCTGTAGTGTTAACTTAATATCTCAATAAGTAGAAATTTGGAAAGAATTCCTACATTGCTATTCTAATCATTACTTATATCTAATCGTTTTGTCTAATCTGAATTTCGTGTTTGATTGATTTAATTTTCTGACAGTATTATGCTAAAATTGACTGGTTTATTTAGCAGAAGAAACTTTTTCTTGATGTCTTTGATATCCAACTCTTGTTCCCTTCTATTCATTGCAGGAACGTTGAAGCACTTGTTCAGGAGTTCAAAAGGAGACCCAAATGCTTTTTTATTTTGACCAATTCCCGTTCGTTGAGCTCCGAAAAGGTGTGAACACTTCCTCTAAGATCACGTAATTGATGAATTTTGAGAGCATTCGTTTTCCACAAAATAAATGATATACTTGAACATCCTGAGATCCCCTCTGTGCAGGCGTATAAACTAATAGAAGACATATGTAAAAATGTTTCTACGGCATCCAAGACAGTAGATAACACGGACTACACAATAGTTCTGAGAGGTGATTCAACACTTCGTGGTCATTTTCCACAGGCAAGAACGGAAATCTCTTTGATCTAGTTTCCTGCAAAAGTCTTGTTCATAATAGCTTGATTGGTGTGAACTGGTGCTTATATGTTATTTCATGGCCAGGAAGCAGACGCAGCTGTTTCTGTACTGGGAGAAATGGATGCATGGATAATATGCCCATTTTTCCTTGAAGGAGGCCGCTACACCATCAATGATACACATTATGTCGCGGATGCTGATAGGTTTTACTCTGCTTTCTCCATATGTGTTACTATTGAGGTTACCTCACCACATACTGACTCCATCTCATGGTTTGGTGCACGTAGGCTTGTTCCTGCCGGAGAAACAGAATTCGCTAAAGATGCTTCTTTTGGTTATAAGGCATCTAACCTCCACGAGGTACTGAATCTTAACTCCCAGTTCGAAATAACTGTTGTTCCTTAACTAAACTTCAACTTCAAAATATTAGTGGGTAGAGGAGAAGACAGGTGGGCGTGTACCTGCTGGTAGTGTGGCTTCTATTTCCATCCAGCTGATTAGAAAAGGTGGACCTGATGCTGTTTGTGAACATCTATGCAATTTGAAGAAGGTTAGACATTTTTCTTGGAGAACTTGGCACACATGCTTCTCTCTTTGAACTCTGATCTTCAATTTGTTGGATACAATGTATATGAATCTACAATAAAGTACAACTCATAAAAGAGGGATGAACTGTAGTTTTCAATAACATTTGATGCATTACCAGTGTTACCGTCTTCTAAAAGTTTTACCTATTCATGTGAAACAGGGGTCAACTTGTATAGTTAATGCAGCTAGTGACAGAGACATGGCTGTTTTTGCTGCTGGAATGATTCAGGTCGTATTTCTGTAATGTTTTTCCCTGTTTTCGCTTTATCCTTATGACATTTATTGAAATTTTAGCTGGCTTAGTTGACTTAGATCTCATTTGCAGGCAGAATTAAAGGGAAAGAAGTTCCTATGCCGCACTGCTGCAAGCTTTGTTTCTGCGAGGGTTGGAATCATAAGAAAAGCTCCAATATTACCCAGTGATCTTGGCACCAACCAAGCTAGGAGGGGTGCACTCATTGTTGTCGGTTCTTATGTTCCAAAAACAACCAAACAGGTCACTTCATACTCTGATATTTTCTCTTGAAATTTCTTGAAATTTGATTTCTATAAGCAAATTATTTCTATCTTTAGGTTGAAGAACTCAAATTACAATGTGGCCACCTCATAAAGACTATTGAGGTAATATAAATACTGAGTAGTTGCTTTTGGTGGAAAAGAAACATCATCTTTTCTTCTTTTTTTTTTGGGCGTATTCTATGGTGGAAAAATAGAAGAAAAAGGATAGAGTTATTTATCCACCCATGCATCATCTGTTTTTAAATGAGATGATCTTAAATGTTTTGGCTTTAATTCTAGATCTCTGTTGATAAAGTAGCCATGAAGTCAATCGAAGACAGGGAGGATGAAATTGTTCGAGCAATAGAGATGGCAGATGTTTACCTTAGCAGTTGTAGAGACACTCTCATAATGACTAGTCGAAAACTTATAATTGGGAAAAGTGAGTTCCTTTCTAAATTCTGTAATCTTATACCTCTGGCATCCATCATACTTTTGACTATTTCCCTCCTTCCACTCCACTCTGCAATTAAGTTTACTTCTACTGACTAAAGAAATCCCGGATCTTTCTGTAAATGCATGCAGCCCCCAGTGAAAGTTTGGAGATCAACTCAAAGGTGAGCTCTGCCCTGGTGGAAATAGTTCAACGGATAACAACAAGACCTCGTTACATTCTTGCGAAGGTAATGTCTGTTTCTTCTTCTTTTGATGGAATCACAATGATACAACTTTGGCATTTATTCATCTGATGTGCCTTCATTAATTAGGCTGTCATAATATTTACTTTGCTTTGTCTGTAAAGGATCTCTTGCAGCTTCACCTTTTTGCCCTAAAGCATTAAAGAATATGCTACATCTCCTTTTTGAGTAGCTGATGTTTGCTGAAAGGGTTGTCTGTACTCTAGACTCGCGAATCATTTGTAATATTAAATCATGATTAATAAAATAACTAAAACTACCTTTGCAGGGAGGAATAACCTCATCAGACCTTGCTACAAAAGCTCTAGGTGCAAGATGTGCCAAAATACTTGGACAAGCTCTGCCTGGTGTTCCCTTGTGGCAACTAGGTTCCGAAAGCAAACACCCTGAAGTTCCATACATCGTTTTTCCAGGTAACTTCAAGACCTTATCTTTATATCATGAATTTGTTTCGGATCTTTAATATGAACTGATTATCTCCCAGGAAATGTTGGTGATGCTAATGCTTTAGCCGAAGTTGTTAAACGGTGGGCTCGTCCTGAAAGAACTACATCAACTAAGAACCTGCTCCTTGTAAGAGCTCTCCTTTCAACTAAACAGTTTGTCGATGTTTTCTATATCAGGAAATAATGAGATCTTTCACCTATAGAATGCAGAAAGAGGTGGATATGCCATTGGCTCCTTCAATGTATATAACTTGGAAGGAGTTGAGGCAGTAGTCGCTGCCGCAGAGGATGTAGGAAGTCCTGCTATTTTACAGGTTCGGATATGTTATTAGATATGTTAAATATTGGTAGAAACATTTGATTTGACATTCTATGGGATAAGTTTTTAAATTTGTTATCAACATGATCACAACTTTTGTATGCAACTATTTGTCACTCTCTAAAATTTAATTGTAACAATATCATTGGCACCATCTTATCAGGGAGAATATTTAGGTTTACACCATTTTTCCCCATAATTGAAGGATTAGAATACACTCATCTGAAGTTGAATGGTGAATTAGTAGCAAAGTTCTCAATGTATATGATGACTTTCACCTTTTACTTAATAATTTATTCCGTCTGACGTAAAACATAAGCTACTCTATTGCTAGATCAAGTTGAAGATATGTTTGAGTGCTTTTCGTCGATTTCGTATATCTATTCATACTGTTTATCATTCATAAAGTCATGGACAATTATTTTTGTAGATACATCCTAGTGCTTTGAAGGAGGGGGGAATTCCCCTGGTAGCTTGTTGCATTGCGGCAGCGAAACAAGCCAGTGTAAGTAGCATATCTTTTAAACCAATTTTGTACCTTTATTAGCTCATGTAGTCTCATACACATAGTTTCCCTAATGATATATCATTTGGCTGTTACATACTTTTTAATAGGTACCCATTACCGTTCACTTTGATCATGGAAACTCGAAACGTGAGCTGTTGGAGGTTCTTGAGTTGGTGAGCGCTGTGTTTTAATTTAATAGTGTTGTGGGTCTTGGGGATATTTGGTGAGAAAAAATCTGGTTATCATCTAGCAAAAATCTGAAACAAACTTTGATTTGCAGGGATTTGATTCAGTCATGGTAGATGGATCACACCTTCCTTTCAAGGACAATATCTCCTACACAAAATTCATTTCAGACTTGGCACATTCAAAAGATTTGTTGGTAGAAGCTGAACTGGGAAGATTGTCAGGCACTGAAGATGATCTAACAGTTGAAGATTACGAGGCCTTGCTCACTGATGTCACACAGGTTTTTTACCTATCTGCCACAACACTGTATCATAGAGAAGACGACCCAAAGTTGGGTAGTTATTTTTCATTAGAGACTTGATTCAATTTTTTGTATGCAACAGGCTAACGAGTTCATTGACACAACTAGTATAGATGCTTTGGCAGTCTGCATTGGAAATGTCCATGGAAAATACCCTCCAGGTGGCCCAAAGCTTAGACTTGATTTGCTGAAGGTCAAGAGTACTTCCCCTGTTCATTACTTGTCTTTACTCTCATGAGCTTGAGGTTGATAAAAAAAAGTCAACTAATATCATCCTCATTCTTTGAGTTATGAAATTTGAGTTGAAGAAAATTGGGTAGATCAAACACTTCATTATAATTTAGCCTCAAGTATACTTTATACTTGAATATCTGTTTTTCCTCCAGGATCTTTACGAATTGAGTTCAAAAAAAGGAGTTCATCTCGTGCTTCATGGCGCTTCAGGATTACCAAAGGAACTCATTGAGGTAATCTCATATGCTTGTTTGTGGAACTTAAACGCTGTCAGGCCTGGAAATGTCCTTCGAAACTTTACCACTTGCTTGGAAATCCTGTCAGTGCTGGTTGATAAATGTAACTTTTGGATGCATGATTTATCTCAGGAATGTATAAAGTTGGGAGTCAGGAAGTTCAATGTCAATACCGAAGTGCGGAAGGCTTACATGGATTCATTAAGCAGCTCAAAGAAAGATCTCATCCAAGTCATGAGCTCAGCAAAAGAAGCCATGAAGGCTGTTGTTGCAGAGAAGATGCGCCTCTTTGGCTCAGCTGGAAAAGCATAGTAATCATCTGGAATAGCTCGCGTTAGCAACGAATAAAACCCATGTCCCGTGTAGTTAACTGCATCTTTTTCACTTCGCTTTTCTCAGCACCAAATTGCCATGAAGACAGGATTAACACCATTGTTTGATCGAAACTGAATGACAAATCCGAATACCCATCAATTTCTTAGCTGATTCATGTTTGTACATAGTAAGATTGGTTCTGCCCATTTATTTCTAATAATGTGCTCGATGGAAGGCTTTAACTCATCTATAATTAACTCCATATTTTTTTTGAAAAATGATCCGAACAATATGACTCTTATCATGAAAGGGAAAAAGATGAAGAAAAAGAAGAAGGAGAAGATGTCATATTTAGGCAAAATATAACACAAGTGAGAAAAGGGGCTGATCCGAGGACTTTAGCTCTGCCCTTTTGACTCAATGGAATGATAAAGATTATTTCTCAATCTCAAATTCTTTCCAATCTTATTGGATGACCCGAAGAGACAACCGATTTAATCTTTCACCATAGTTCGCAATAACGCGATCATAAGCAAGATTGATTTGTGGTCACATTATCCATCATCATCGTATATGTAAACAATAACACAAACTGTGAAATCAATCCATGTAGGAGAGAAAACTCAACAAAATTTTATTATTTCAAAAACACAAATTGTTCACAAAATGTCTAGTGGTAGCACCTCAACGATATAAATCCAATAAGATAGACACAAACACAAGTTTTAAACAGAACAAAAGTCTCGACATATTCGAAGGCCTCGTACCATGTCGCCTCATCCTCGCCACATCGACGACCATCATTCTGCAAAGTTCCATTAGCAATCTCTTTCACTTGATTGTTGTTCATATCACAAGATATTACTTTACCAGAAGTTGATAACAATAATTCAGGTTGTTTTTTCTTCTCGTGGAGAATACAATTAAGCACAAAGAATCTACATTCTCCATCACAAGAATAAGCATTCATCCCCACTTCATCTGCTTCTTCATTCGAGTATTCATCATCCCCTTCATCTGGCTCCCCTTCATCTAACTCTGCTTCTTCATCCGAGTATTCATCATCCACTTCATCCGGTTCTTCCGCCATTGATGGAACGAAGTAGCCAGATGAGAAAGATTCAAACAAGACATCACATTCCAGATTGAATAGTCCAATGTCATCTTGTAAACACCAAACAACAACAATGGATAATCAGACTTCTTTGGGACAAGAAGACATAAATCTATCACCACACCACCCAAAAAAGAAAATTCCCAGCGGTTGTGAATAGGAACCAACATCTACCGGAGGCAAAGCCAAAACTTCTCTGTGACATTCATTCTCTAAATCCAAACAGAGAATATCCCAACTAGCATCAATCCAATGAAAATTTCCATTCCAAACTATTCCTTTCTCATAATAAATTGGAGGTTCCATCATCAGGGTCCTCGTCTATCAAAGTAATCCAACTGCTCTCTCTCCAAACCTGAGTATCAGATGCATAGATAGCGCGTCTACAGTGACAACTGTAATCAGACATTTCATCAACCCATATGTACACCAATTATAATGATCAGATTGTGAATGATCAAATACGATATTCAAACCACAAAAATAATCAGAACGTTGAGGACAATAACTCGGTAGACTAGGATCAGGCTCGTGATCAACGAGTTGATGAGCATACAGGTTTTGTTGCACAAGTCTATGTTGATGAGTAGTCGGATTATACACAAATATATCAATCAGATAAGGAAGATCCGAACTAGCACAAACTGCCATTGCCACTAACCCATTGCACATATGAAATGACAAGATTTTTTACTAGAACCAAAAGAAGTATCAAGTTGAAGAGAGGGCTACCAATTGGATTTATACGGTTGTCATCATCGTCATTGCAGAGGGAAATGAAATCAATTTGGTCCCCGGTATCATTTCCACGGTGAAACAAAAAGTGTCCAGCCCTCTGTTTTATACGGCGCCGACGAAGTCCTCGGAAATAAGAATCCGAAATGACTGAAAGCCATTGTTTACTCACTGATTGAAACCGGGCGAGTGGCTTCGGCGGCAAATGAATCAATATCTGCTCCAAAATGTATTGATTCTCCGTAATCTTTTCTCCCGAAAGCGAAATTTTTGTGGATGATGAGTTGCTTCGGAGCCGAGGACGAAGACGGCGAGGAGTACGACTCGACCGCCGTGTGGAGATTGCGCTCATGATTGGGTTTAGGAAAGATTTTGAGGTTGATGATGATGATGATGAATCATGGTTCGGTTGTTTCGGTACGTCGATGGGTGTGAGTAACACCCCTCGCTGAATTGTAGGCAGACACTTCAATGGGTGGTACAGCTGACTAAAGTATTTAAGCGAAATTCGAATCATCGACCTATACTAAGGTAAAGGAGTTCCTTCCACTTCACCACAACCATATTGGTTTATAAGTCCTACTCTAAAAAGCTCGAGTTTTGCATTTCTTTATTCAAGCCCAAAAAGGAAAGTCAGAAAGCCCAATCATTTTCCAAAATGGAGGGGGCTCACATCCTCTTCCGACGAGAAGAGGACAGTGGTGGTGCACCGGTTCAGCCGGAATTTCCCCTAAGGGGTTATCCCGATGGCCGGAGAGTTAATCAGAAATCTGTGGTTCACCAGATATATTATTACTTTATCTTGAATCATAGCTACAAACTCTCAACCATCAGAACAATAAAGATATCATATCCAAGTTTGAGAATTAAAAGTTAAAACCATTTTAGGCAAGAAAAAAGAAACTAGATCATTCATCATTGTACTACTAATAACTTTGCTACACAAAGGAACAAGCTTTCCATTGCAGCGGCAACAACAAGTCAACAACAACTAGAACAGCATTGAAATTTCCAGAAAAACAACAAGAAGAAGAAGAAGAGAAAAGGAAGACTAATTATTTTGGTCGTTCGCCTTTTGTCTTTTGTCTTTGTTTTTCACATACGCTCATTCTTTACTCTGATTTTGTGTCTTTAATTTTTTGGTCTTTGTGTTTGGTCTTTGGTCTTTGGTCCTTACACACGCTCGCTTTTCACTTTGATATTTGGTCTTTTGGTTTTTTGTCTTTACTCATTGGTTTTCGCTTTTTGGTCTTTGGCCTTTGGTCTTTGGTGTTTACTCTAGGTCTTGGTCTTAAAAGACACAAGTAAGAGCATAGCATCTTTTAAGAAGACCAAGGCAACTACATGAATTTTTTAAAGGTTCGAAAAACATATTTATGATGGATTTTGTTGGATAGATCTCATCGAGTACTATCAAAATAATATAAGACACTTGGTCTAGTTCATTACGGATTAAGAAATAAAATCATTTGAAGATAAAAGAAATTTTTAAAACCCACTTCCTAAAATTAAGGAAGAGTGGTGCGTGTGTTTCACTTAACTCATAAAGACTTGCATGTTTAATTCTACTTTCCTATACTAATTACCAAATAAGGGTCTATGTGTACCTAGTTACATGCACTTAATGTGCATGGTATAATTTTCGCTCTCATAGTATGGATCGTTTCTTTAGCGATAATAATGTTGTCAACTATGCTTCTTCTGAAGACAATGTTGGATTTTGTTGGGAGAACGAGTTTTGGTATAATTAGCCTAAGCATGATTGCTATTACTCCTTTGGAAATGATTTTTGAATTAGGCTAATTGGACTAAAATTCTGGCATCTTTCTGGATTCTTGATCATTGGAGTAGTAGATAATTGTACTAATAATTTTTCTGCAAAGAAATTTTGCATTGCAACAACAACAGAGGTAGAAATTAAAATAATTTTTTTTTTAAAAAAAAGATAAAAGGGACACAATTAAGCCCTGGCGCAATAATTCATTTTCACAATCTTGCACTCAAAATCCAAGGTAACCCATCCCACTGTTGAATTTTTCCGATGACAGCGAAATCCTATCCTTTAGGTGATGGAGCAAATGGTAAACAGTAGATTCTTCGAGAAAAATCCACAAGAATGAACACTTGGTGGCTTTGCACTGTCACGGTTTTCTCTTTATCTTCACCGGATTTTTCTTCAGCAGAGAAGATGAAGGCAATACTCGGAATGAAAATTCCGGGGGTTTTGACCTTGCTAAGATCGTAGCAGGTGTTGAAGAAGACGACGTTGTTGTTGTTGTCGTTGTCAATGGATGGATGAATTGTCAAAGTCACATTGGGCTCCCATCTCAAAACCAATTTGCTATGAGTGGGTTAACCTTTGGCACTTATAAATATGTGACAGATCTCTCACGATATCGATGTGAAATCTTTTGTCCCAACACCCTCCCTCAAGCCTAATGGGGTATTTAGCCCATTTGGGTTGCACAACACAACATAATTCACCATTTATACTACTGGATCAGTCCACAACTTCGGATATATTGCCGGATATATTGCCGGGTCAGTCAACAAGCCCGTACACAAGGGTACATACTCCTGATATACTGCTGGGTCAGTCCACAAGCTCGCACACACGGGTTCATAGTTATTACAGGTCCACAGATCGTGGGCTCTGATACCATGAAAAGATTGACGAGTTGACAAACGTAAAACATGTGTATTGATCAAGGCCGAAAATCGGCTATATATATAAGTTATACAAACTAGGGTTAGGGTTAGGGTTTTCCGGAACCTTCCGGAATACAACATACAAAGACATTTTTTAACCCTACCGTAATATACTCTAACACTTCCCCCCTCAAGTTGGAGCATGTAAGTTACAAATGCCTAACTTGGACAAAAGAAAACGAAACTGTTGAAGACCTAAAGCCTTGGTGAAGAGATTTGCCAATTGAGATTGAGAAGGAACATAACTTGGCGCAATAACAGTCAACCTCAATATGTTTGGTACGCTCATGAAAAACTGGATTAGCCACGAGATGGAAGACAGATTGACTATCACAATAGAGGCGTATAGGACGAGAATGGCCAATGCCAAAATTACACAAGAGGGACTTCAACCACTTCAACTCACAAACAGTATTAGTCATGGCACGATACTCAGCCTCGGCAGAAGAACGAGAAATAACAGCCTGTTTCCTTGTATGCCAGGAAATGGGAGAATGACCAAGAGTGATGAACCAACCAGTAAGAGAACGACAAGAGAGAGGCCAACAGGCCCAGTCCGAATCACACCGCCCATATAACTGGAGATCACTGTCAGTATGAAAAAAAATCCCTTGACCAGGACTAGACTTCAAATAACGAACCACACGAAGCGCAGTATCCAATGAGCCTGACGAGGAGCCTGCATAAATTGTGCCAATAGATGTACACTGTATGAAAGATCAGGGTGAGTGACAGCTAAATAAATCAAGTGACCGATCAAACGACGATAACGTTCAGGATCATCAAACAGAGGACCCTCATCCAACGGAAGATGATGATTTTGTTCCATAAGAAAAGAAGCAGGTTTGCTACCCAACATGAATGGGCTCTCATCTCAAAACCAATTGGCTATGAGTGGGGTAATCTTTGGTACTTATAACCAGGTGACAGATCCTTTACAACACCGATTTAAGATTCTCTTGTCCCAACATAAATTACAAGAGGATACTGGATCATCCGCCTCCGGAAAGCATCCCGGAATTTAGCGTACATCGCCGGCGGGAACGTCGTGAATGGCGTCTCCGAATCGAGCTTGGCCAGAATCCATGAACCCCTTTGAACCCATTTCCATGGTAATCCCATCATGACCTCCCACGAATTTGCCATGGACAATAACTCCCTTGAGTGGGACAGAGGTGTAGAATGACCCAGACTCACAATTCTGGATGACAAGAAAACAGAGCAAGACGATCAAAGTACTGAAACCCCTCATTTTTTTCTTTTTTTATTTTTGATACTCTGTTTTCTTTTTCTTATTAGAAGACTTCAACAGGACTCTGGTTCAAGAGCAGCGGAAAGATGCAGAAAGAATGGAGTGGAAGAAATAATTCAGGGGTTTTGGGATTGTATATTATACACACTCCATTAATTACTGATCCATAAAAACCTGGAAAAGTGTGTTTACTAGGTGAGGTTCAAGGTAGGTGGAAAACCATTTTAATGCCAGAGAATAAGGAGGAACTTAGTACTACTAGTACAACAATTCCAGTTTCGAGTTCAGTTTAGCATTCGTTATTTGCAAGGATTATCTTTAAGTTGGACCAACCTACTCATTCGTTTGCTACCTTCAAAGAAACAATCCGCATAAAATTGGTATTGCCCAACAAAAAACAGAGAATTGAAAGAGAGACACCAGAGCCCAGCTAGGAAAAAAAAAAGAACCCCAAAATCACCCGTTTGGTTTTTTTCCTCTTTATTCAACTCATGACTTGGTTGCAGATCATCCAAAACCAGCCCTCCAATCATACTCAAAAGAAGTTCCGACTCGTTTGGTGATGAATTGAGAAGCAATAGATAGATTGCAATATACGTATATTGTTCATACTTGATTAGATATCGTTGGAAGTTTTGTAGAATTGGCGAAATATGTATATTGTTGAATGTATTTAAACTAGATAGGTTGCAAATATATTATCAAAATAGTTACGGTTCAGATGAGTTAATTATCGGTCCAATACAAAATTAACCCCATAATTTTGAACAGCAAAGAGAATGAGACTGTCAAAAAAGACAACAATTAAGAAAATGGCTAATATGAACACACAAACATCAATAACCGAACAAGAAAGAAATAAAAGACATCAGATCATTAAAACCCAAATGGATAAGAAAGCACTAAGCAGTAGAGCATTGTAGTAGTAATTCTTCTGCATAATAAAGGGGGAAAAAGGGACTAATAATAATTAAACTCAACCCATTCTGTCAGTTTTCATCTCAGATAATCCATGTTGAATGCTTTCGATAACAGCGAAATCGAGTCCCTTTTCCTAAGGTGTTGGACCAAACGCCAAGCAGTAGATTACCCGAAGAACATCCGAAACGATTAACACTTGGTTGGGTTGCAATTTTACAATTTCTTCTTTACCGGATTTTCCACCAGAGAAGATGAAGGAAACGCTGAGAATGTGAATGATCGGACCTTCAACCTTGCTGCTGAGATCATAGCAGGTGTCCAAGACGACGCCGGCGCTGGCGCCGCTGTTGTTAAACACCGCTGGAACTTCTGCCAAAGGATACTGAGCCATCTTACTCCGGAAAGCGTCCCGGAATCTGGCGTACATCGCCGGCGGGAACGTTGTTATCAGCTCCTCCATATCGATCTTTGACGGAATCTAGTCCTCTGAGTCTGAACCCTCCATTCCCTGTCTTATTCCATCGTGAATTCCCACAAAATCGTCGGCCAGTAGAACCCCCTTCAGTGGGACGGTGACGTACAGCTCACAGTTCATTTTCATGGGGTAATGGACAGTGATGTGCTGCAACTCAGTGTTTTGGATCATTGGGTAAATTACAAGAACCATGAACAGGGAGACCATCAACATGGAAGCCCTCATTTTTGTTTGTGTTTTTTGGGTAGGTTTTCTGGTTTCGTTCAGCGTCGAAAGAAAGGCAAAAATGCAGGGGAAGGAGGAGTAGGGTTTCTTGAAGTGTATTTATATACACAAACACTCACATTAAAAGAAAGCAAAAGTGTGTGTTTAAAAGTCATGATCAAGGTTAATAATGTGTTTTCTGTGATCATTCATCAAAATGCAGAGAGTAGGTAGGGAGTACAATTCAATTCTGAGTTCAGATTAGTCATTCAGTTTTGGCTTTGTTCATCTAAACCAGCCCTCTGTACTAAAAAAGTTTGGCTACTTATGTGAATGTGATGAATAATAATAGGAATGTAGTACTAGGCTATTTTTGTTTCTTTCTATTCAAATGTTTTTTTTTTTTTTTTTTTTTTTACACTTGTAAAGATTGGAAACTAGGAAGCAATAGACAAATGCCAATGTTCCTAAGGTAGGAAACACCATACTTTATCCAATGATTTCATTATCCAAACTCCAAACGATAAAGACAAAGTCCACAGAACAACTTTTGTTCATATTTTGAAGCTCACATTGGCCTTATTACACAAAAGCCCAAAACTCACTCCCATGTTATAGTTATACCCTTCCCTTCGTAGTTTACTAGATATTAAACTCGCATGATGTGCGGGATTTATACATATACATCTATTAAAATATATTTTTAAATTTTAAATGTAATTAATATAAATAAAGTAACTGGTTTGTAATAATAAATATATGATTAAAATTAAATTAGATCGTGATAAGTAAAATTGTTATATATACTTTGAAATGACAACATTTTATAAATTGTATGCCAAAAATGTAATTAAATAATAGAATATGTATAAAGATTATATACAAATAAAAGTAAAAAAGACCACCAAAATAATAAATCAGATGTTACATGTGATATAAATCAAAGCAATTTATGCCTATACAGTTGAAAACGCATGTTAATCAAGATTGCAAACAATTGGAGAAAGAGACACCTTACATGTTAAATAAAACATGATCGGCGTGAGGTCGTCGCCGCAAAGATGTTTTGTAAAGTATATAAGATGCTTCGCTTCAGTGTTTCACCGGTTGTCATTGTACACATTAGAGTTAGACCGAAGTGGATATTTATAGTGAATGTCTGAATGAGATATCATAACCAGTCACTAAAGTAAAATTCATAACTATAGAATAAAGATGATAATGTCACGTTGATTAAGGGATAAGATTGGTAGGGAAATGACTTCCATTGCATTAATGTTGATTAGTCTTTTTCAATTAAATTTGATTAGTTTTTAATCACTAAAGAATTTCCCACTTTCCCGCACGTTGAACTTAGGTTTTAAATCAATCAAGTAGTGATTTTAGGGATTATTTTGTAGAGGGATTTTTTTTATTCGAATTGGCTGGGGTAAAAAATCCCGATTAATCAATGTTGAAAATAACAAATGCCTTATCCCTTTGAACTTACAATTTAAATCAATCAATTAATACTAATTGGGATTATTTTTTAGAGGGAATAATTCTGGTGCATCAATGTTCATTAATCCTGCCCATTAAATTTAATTAATTTTTATTTTTCTATTTTAAACTATAGTTTTAAATGCCATTTGATAAAACTTTATTTACATAAAATTTGAAGTACTATTAGTATAATTGTTGTAAATATTTTTTGACTCAACCATTAGAAAAATGACACATAGGATTTTATCCTATGTGGCACCTTTAGAATTTTTTTTTTTTTTTTTTTCTCTCTCTGGTTTCTCTCTTAGTATAATACGATAGATAGTTTCTACACTAAATCACTAATTACACAACAGATTCTCAATCACCAGATCCAAGGGAGCAATTTGACTTGGGATTTGGTAGCTAGAGAATTGAGGCAAAACCGTAGAAGTGGATCATTTAAGTATAGTCCATGTGATTATTTATAACCACTAACTTATTATACTATATATATAATAAATTATTGTTGTCGACAACAGACATCCTGTAAATATAAAAAAAAAACTATTGGAGAATGATTAAGGGACTATAAGAAGTCAATATTAAGCACATCTATAGAGAAGTTAATAGATGATTCATGATTGGTTTCAATCCAGGTGGTCTTATTAGGATTCTCCGCCTCCACAAATTGAATTTTGGTTAACAAAATATTGTAGGAGTAGTCTACCTCTATCCTCGTAATATTGTAAGTCCATAAGTTTGAATTCAACTATAGTTATAAAAACAAAAAAGCAAAAATTCACAAAAAAAAACTCAAGGATCACAGAAATTAGGAATTTCATCAAGCAATTTTCCTTGGTTACCAAAAGAACTCTTAATTTATAAACTTGCAAAGTGTCCAACTCTGTTGGTTCATCCAGTTCTTTTTGCGTGTTATTGTAATATTTCCAGCAAATTTAACTTTCTTTGTAGAGATTTTAATTAAGAGTAGTGATAGATATAGGAAAAAATTATAAGGAATGATGTATCAATCATCAAAATTATGTCATAATCTTAAATGCTTAAACTCTGAATAAAAAGTTTAAAAAATGAATGGTCATAATTAATTTCTTGTCATTTTTTCTTGTCATTTTTTCCTTGTACTAATCATTATTCTTTAATTAATTCATGTCTATCTGTGACTCTTATTACGTATTTTCCTCATTTCCTTTTACATTATTCATAATGACAACTTGGTAATCTCTTTTATATACCCTATTAAAGCAGAAAACAGGATGTTGATGTGGCAATTTCTTATTAAAAGGTTTTGGCTCCAAATGCACCATATTGCATAAACCATTCTGGCACGTGTCACCCCCTTTTAAAAACAAAAAATATATTTACAATATTAACGAAGAGATCAGATGGCCCTGTTCATTCAAATTTTAAATTTGACAGTGAATGAAATTTTCCTTTTCCACTTATTTAGGACTTTCGAAAAAATTAATTTTCGATCAATCAATTATCTTCATCAAAAACTAAATTTATTCATAATTAGTTTTGATTATTTACATATTAATTTATTATATGGGAGCCCTCGGGCAGGCAAGCATCTAGTGTCATGTCAAGACTCAAACTGAGACAAACAAAGCCGATAGACTTCTCTTACTCCGACTAAAGACGCGAATTTTCCTTCATTTCTGTTTCAATACCTATGGACTATATTTCCGATTTTCAATACTCTACTCCATATTCACTGTAAAGCCATGTTCTCCGTGGCTGGGAGTTGTAGTTCTTAACAAATGCTACGTTTGATAGCAACTCATAAGGTTCGTTATAATTCCATTCTCTGATTCTCTTTCCCCCCTTTTGTATTCAATTATAAGGGGTTAGTTTAAAATCGCCAAATAAATAATGCAGAGGGTCACTTCGAAGAAGTGCTTAGCTCTCTGCAGGAATTGCCCTTTGCCCTATTTCTCAATTCATGAGCCATCGAAAAAGATTCATCTTTATTCCACATTTTCCGATCTGGGTTCGCCCCGGAGCTCTGTAAAGTCCCATTCTTTGAGTGAAACAAGAAGAGGGCATGATCTAATCCGCCTTAATATTGAACCGGAAAGCTTCAGGGATTGTAAGGGGCGTGATGAATTTTCCGCTGATGTTGAAAAGGTATATAGAATATTAAGGAAATTTCATTCTAGAGTTCCAAAGTTGGAACTTGCTTTGAAAGAATCAGGTGTTGAGGTGAGGTCAGGCTTGACCGAAAGAGTGTTGAATCGCTGTGGCGATGCTGGAAATTTAGGGTATCGATTTTTTGTGTGGGCTTCCAAACAGCCCGGTTATAGACATAGTTATGATGTGTATAAGGCAATGGTCAAGAGTTTAGGTAAAATGAGACAATTTGGAACTGTTTGGGCTCTAATTGAGGAGATGAGGAATGAGAATCCTCAGATGTTAACGGCCGAGGTTTTCATTGTTTTGATGAGGAGATTTGCTTCAGTAAAAATGGTGAAGAAAGCCATTGAAGTGTTGGATGAGATGCCAAAGTATGGGTGTGAACCCGATGAGTATGTTTTTGGTTGTTTGTTGGATGCTTTGTGCAAGAATGGGAGTGTCAAAGAAGCCGCGTTGCTTTTTGAGGATATGAAGCTGAGGTTTACGCCTACCATAAAGCATTTTACTTCACTTTTGTATGGTTGGTGCAAGGAAGGGAAACTAATGGAGGCAAAATTTGTGTTGGTGAAAATGAAGGAAGCTGGTATTGAGCCTGACATTGTGGTTTACAACAATTTGCTCCATGGGTATGCTGTTGCTGAAAAAATGATAGATGCATTCGATCTTTTGGACGAGATGAAAATGAAGGGTTGTGGACCTAATGCGACATCGTTCACCATTGTGATTCAGGCCCTTTGTGGCAGGGAAAAATTGGACGAAGCATTGCAGGTCTTCTGGGATATGGAGAGGACGGGTTGTGAGGCTGATGTTGTGACATATACTACCTTGATTAGTGGATTTTGCAAATGGGGCAAGATCGATAAGGGTTATGATCTCTTGGATCATATGATACAGAAAGGTCACATCCCTGCTCAGGCTACTTACTTGCCCATTATGCTAGCCCATGAAAAGAAGGAAGAACTGGAGGAGTGTGTGGAACTTGTGGAGGAGATGCAAAAGATTGGATTGGTTCCTGATCTCAGTATTTATAATACATTAATTAGACTGGCGTTGAAGTTGGGGGAGACTAAGGAGTGTAATAAATTCTGGAACAAGATTGAAGCAAGTGGCGTTAGCCCTGGTGTTGACACTTTTGTCATTATGATAAATGGCTTGGTTGAGTTGGGATTTTTAGATGAAGCTTGTGATTACTTCAAAGATATGATCTTGAGAGGTCTGTTGTCTGCTCCTCAATATGGTACTCTGAAGGATCTTTTAAATGCTGTACTCAGAGCAGATAAACTCGAATTAGGTAAAGATGTGTGGGGTTGCATTATGTCTAAAGGATGCGAGCTTAATGTATACGCATGGACAATTTGGATTCATGCACTCTTCTCGAGAGGGCATGTAAAGGAAGCATGCTCATACTGTTTGGATATGTTGGATGCTGGTGTAATGCCACAGCCTGACACCTTTGCAAAGCTGATGCGCGGCTTAAAGAAATTGTATAATAGACACCTTGCTGTAGAAATCACGGAGAAGGTTCGGCAAATGGCTGCTGAAAGGCAGGTGACTTTCAAGATGTATAAGCGCCGTGGTGAGAGGGACTTGAAGGAGAAGGCTAAGGCGAAAATTGATGGAAGGAAAAGAAGAGCCCGTCGGCGTCGATGGGGCAAGACACGCAAAGAAGCAGGAATATAGAGATACATGTGATTTCACTCTGTAAAATCCAATTTGAGCACCATGGCGGATTCTGTAAGTTCGCTGCTGCATCTGTTTTCCGTTCCTCATCCATAAAACTGATGGATCAGTTTAGGTACCTTCACTTCAAATTTATTCTCGAGACTAGAAGAAGAAAAGGCTATTGTATTGATCTTTTTTAGTAGAATTGGGCAGAGTGTGACCAAAAGCTTTGTAGGGACTAAGTTTTCCCAATAACTTCTAGTTGTGATTCTTGCAGAGAGATTTAGATTAGTTTCAAATGCTTGATGAACTATGCAAAAGTATGCCCTTTTCAAGACGGTAAGCTTAATGCACCTCTGGTTGCTATGAAGATTACAATGGACGTATTGAAGATGGATTTCAGAATGGAAGGGAGATTGAGTGCATAGCTTCTGCAATAGCTTAGGATCATAATCCATCATTCATGGGTTCACTGTACTATATCCTAAATACTAATTAATCTTACGGTACATTTTTAGACACCGGTAATCAAGTTGAATGAGCCTTTTATACAAAGAGAAGTTTTTTTGTGAATGGTGCATGAAAAGTGTCCATTCTCATTTTCTGATTCTACTTTGTGTCTGTGACTTTGATAGTGGTAGAATGTTGAGTCCTTCGGTGGATGAGATCTCTGAGCTTAGTGGTGGAAGATGTAGAATGCTTTGGAGAAGGAATAAAGGTGAAACTCGTTGTTGCTTTTATTGTCTAATGTCTGAACCTATGCACTTTTCAGTCACAACTTCTCAAATAATCGGTGACATAAAGAACTTGATTTTTTGTGTTTGCTTTCCTACTTGAGTCTGTATTCAGAGACATCGTTTACTGCCTGCAGGTCCTGCAGCTTTGGTCAGTTTAATGTCTCATGGTGAACACATGAATGGAAAAAATTTTAGAGGACGCGGCTATTGTAGAAGGTTGTCATGACTTCTTTGTTTGAAGCTGCAAACCATAGGTATCATGTCTTTTGAGCTTTCCTATATTCGTACTCACTTGTTTTTCGGTTGTTCCTGTGAGTCCTGTAAACTGCTTCTATTTTCGATAGTCTCCTATGACTTGTCATGGTTTTATAGCTGTAAGAAAGGCAGCAAACTTCATTACTGAAGTGGTCATCTCCAATTCCTGATTATTTTTTGAGATATTTTTTGATAGTATTACTGTTACCTTTTAAGTTTGCTGTTCGTCATACTATGATCCTTCCTTTAACAGTTTTTCACATCAAACTTAAGGGCACTCCCCCGGGGAGGGGGTGTTTGAATGAAGATTTGAACAGTAATCAAATCTGATATTTGAGTCTGCATTTTGCTGTAAAGTTGCACATTCACAGGAGAGAGCTAGCATGTTATCTAGTAAAGGAGAACATGTATTTATGAAACGAAAACAAATATTACACGAGATTGCTTTAAATAACCATGGCTTTGCTATGTTTATTGCTTTTAGATACTACTATTTCCTTTATTTTGGCTTACAGAAATGGTACTTCTTTGTTCCTTCCTGGCTTTTATTTGATGAGATATTAAATTGTCTGCTAATGTCTTGGTCTTGAGCTTGTGGATGTTCTCCACAAGCAGGCGTTTGTTCTTGAATTCATTTCCTTTGACCTTCAAGTACATATCATGATACGTATGCCGATCAATTTTGTTGCAATCCCGGTATCTTTGTAAAAGATGCCGTAATGTCCTTGTCCTTCTCATCCATAGTACTTTTGTAGGTAGCCGTGCTTCCCTTGTTCCCTTCCTCTTTCCATAACCTGAATGCCTACCCTTCCTTTTTGCCTCCATGACATCTCTAGCTCTTGATCTTGAATGGATTACTCCGGGTCTTTTTATTATCAATCCATCTTTTACGAGCATTCTTATAAACATTCCTGCAGAAAAGAGAAACCTGTTAATGCAACATGATTTATCAAGAAATTCATAGTACAGAAAGCACTCTTTTCACTTCAATATGGGCTGTCATCTTCAAAAACTTGTAAAAGGTATCACAATCTTTGGTTGTTCCTTCTCGCGTTTCTTTCTCCTCTCCCTTTTTGGTGCATCATGTTTGATTTGATCTTCTTCAACCATAATTGCATATTCAGTCACTGTAACATTATTCTGCACTAGATCTGGAATCTGAAATGTTTTCTCTAGTGTACTAATGTCTTTGGCCAGCTGAGACATTTGGGTTTGTCTGCTGAAACTAGCATTTGTGCTAGTTTGACAAGACTTTGATTGCTTTTCTAAACTTTTTACCAGTTCTTCCAACGATATCTCTGGCTCTAGTGGTGGAGCTAAAAGCATTCAAGTTGAAACACAGCAAAATACGAGAATTGCAAAATCAAAGCAAAGCATAGCACAAATCCTGCCACAAAAAAAAAAATATTCCGTGCCAATACCAACGATAAATGCTTTTGCAAACTTCAAAGCTAGATGCCACGGTTAACGTTGGTCGATTAAATGTAAGGCATTAGTCATTATATGGTAAAGCTCTTGTGCAGTTGAAACTTGAATAATGGACTAAATATTTGAAAGAGATACACATTTCTTAGAAGGCCTCAGGGAATGATTTTCATCTAATTTAATAAAAAACTCAGACGATGTAGGCAAATACTTCAAAACACATCATCGGCCTTCTCAGCAAGAGCAGTGCTGCAAGAAATGGTGAACCAACAATATGATAAATATATAACTGTTGGAACAAAGTTTTGTTTTCATAAAGACTTGAATGCATGTCAAAGGAAGTATAAAATTTTATTTTGCATACTCGAGTTTGCCATGGAAATATCGTCGGTCTCGCCGGGGTCAAGCCAGACTTTTCCTTTTCCACATTTCAGGATGCTGGCCGCTAGCCTCTTCTGCAGCCTCAGTGACACCATGGTTGTCTCCTGCTATTATCTCCTCAAGTTTTTCCGACCTCACAAAATTTGAACCTTAGCCGCTTCTTCTGATCTTTCAAAGCTTTCAACTTTAGCTTCGCCTGTTAGAATGGTTTGTAAATCACTTTTGTTCCCCTTATATAGATGTCCAAGCCTGTCAATGTCATTACTCAGGCATTGGATTTTTGTTTTCTTGGAAGCCAAGTATGTCTTATCTTTGTGCTGGTTTGACTCTGTGTTATTTCAAGACTCGAAGTGTGAAACTTTTTTAGCTGTTCTTTTCCTTGGCAGCCAAGTTCTGGAAATGATTGGGGCCATTCATGCTCATAGCGAGTCTTCAAAACTGGAGGCGCTGTCCTATCTTTGCAAATGGAATGGCTTTTGCAATCAACTGGAGGCCTGTTTCTGTAGAACTTTGGGCCTTTTGGCATCTACAAGGATTGGTGGACAATTGTAACCACTGAAGAAGATACAAAGGTCTGGCCCGTCTGGGTAAATCTATTGTGTGTCTCTCCTTGGAGTATGGGAATGACAAGAAGTTACACATTTTTTTAGTGTGTGTGTGTGTGTGTTTTTTTTAATTGAGAATGTAAAGTAGGTGTGATGGTGTATTGAGGAGATTAGAATGTACAAAACAGAATAAAATTTTGGAAAAACATCTAAACTAGTATTTGACAAATGCAGATATTTGCTGAATTACATCCTCCCTTACTGCCTCATAATGCAGCTAACATTCTCATCTCCAACTATCTCAATTTGCCACTAGCATAATTTAACATGCAAAACATCTCAACTTTTCAATTGCTACACAGCTAATTTCAAGAACATGTTAAAAGAGTTTTAGTAATCCTTAAAATAAGAACTTCTATAAACTGAAAGAAAGAGTTCTGTTTTGACATTTGAGTATGCAACAACATAAATTGTACTCCCTCTGTCTCAAACTTATTGTCCAGTTTAAAATTTCACTTTTAATACAATTTAAACTAAAACTGAAAACTAAAACTGAACAATAATTATGGGACGGAGGGAGTACTTTTTTTTTTTTTTTTCATAATGAAAATTGGGGTTGCACTAGAATATTTGAAGCAAAAAAAAAAAAAATGGTAAAGATAAACAAAATCTTTATGGTTTGTTTATTTATTTATTTTCTTATATACTCCGTCCGATCTTTAATATAAGTTATTTTGATTTTGTCTTAGGTTTCACTTAGTATGTATTTTTAATTAATAAAAAAATCTTAAAAATATATTTTTATATTTTTTGTATTCTCTTTATTGTTATGAAATATTTTTAAGGTTTTTTTGTCGATTAAAAATATGTATTAGGTTAAACCTAGGATCACTCAAAAGACACGGTAGAAAACAAGAAATCAGGATTTTGTTTTTTAATTTTTTGAGGATAATTGGATAAGTACTAGAACTACAAAATTAAAATCTTCGTATGATTACGTAATCTCTGCACCAGAATCCGATTCATCTGACAACAACCTTAAACTCTCCCCTATTTCTACTTTGAGTTGACAGCCGTGCTTACTAGCTCTATTCTGATCTAACCACCGTTTCTTCTCATTTCCCCTGCAATTCAGCTCATCAATCAACAATGGCTGAAGCGAAGCTCTTTGAACTCAACAATGGCACCATGCATCTCAAGGTCTCTAACTTCGGTTGCACCATCACCTCATTGTCGGTTCCTGATCGAGTTGGTAATTGCTTAATCCCCTTTTTTATCCTTCTTGAAATAGATCATCATTCCGATTATTTTTGGCCAAATTATTGACGGGATTGTGGGGTTTTCGACGATTTGTGCAGGGAAATTGGCTGATGTTGTTTTGGGATTTGACACTCTCGAGCCGTATTTGGTGAGTCCATTTTTTAATTCTATCACAGTGGAGCTTTTTAGTCTAGTGTATCATTATTCCTTTGGTCAATTGGGTTCCACCTGATTGGGGGGGGAGGGGGGAGGAAACAAAAGGCCTTGATTTGTCAATTTTTAGTAATGTTAAAGGATCCTTGTGCTGTTTATCTTTTAGTATTCTATTGTCGATAATCTAAGGGATCATTTTTTTTTTGATGTTTGTACTTATTCCAGAAAGGGGCTGCACCGTACTTTGGCTGCATTGTTGGCCGAGTGGCGAACAGGATCAAAGATGGGAAATTTACACTCGATGGTGTTGAATATACTTTGCCTGTAAACAAGCCTCCGAACAGCCTCCATGGTATTTTCTTTTTGTATACTATTGAAATCTTATTCATCGTTCCTAGTTTCTCCTAGTTAATGAGTCTATATGGGAGCAAGTTGTGTGATTATGCTGTTTTTGTAATGATTATTGGTGTAGTAAAACAGCATTTTGCCCCAAAGCTCTGAACTTTTTAGTGAATCTCATGGGCTAATGAGTTATTTTTTGGGTAAAAAGTACCTGTATATTAAAGAATCCATAGACTATGACATTGCATTTTATAATAAACAATATTATGAACTTCCGAAACATCCGATCGAGGAACTTTAATCAGTTCACAATATGCAAAAGAGTTTATAATATCAGATAACTCATTAGCCCATTTTATAATAAGTTTATGGGGGCTAATGAGTTAAATGCCAAAGCTGATCAGATGATTCGGTTCATCACAATTCACGTATGAGAATCCTGAACATTAAGCATTTGAGTCTTTGTGTCACATGATTGCCTAATTTACATGTTCATGTTTGTATTGTTACTCATCTGATTAGGAAGTAGGAAGATACCCAGTTGCCAGCATTAGCTAATAAGTACCGCTCGATCTCAGTCTTGGCCATAGTTAGTAAACACAATATTTGTTTTGTCAACCCAAATTGATGTCTGAGATTGTTCCTCATCTATTCTCTTGCTGGCATTGTACTTCCTGATGTCCTGAGTGTAGAGCTTATTGGTTCCTCTACTGTAGGGGCACTTAATCTTGTTTGTATAATCTTTCATGGAACACGACATAGATCCAGTCAGTGGTGTTTGCTTTGCTCTTCTAATCTTTTTATCAGATTTGTGATTGTGTATAATTACAATTCTTCACTTGGTACTGGATTGGAACCAGCTGGCCTTTCCTTTCTCCTTGTCTTAATGCTCCTCTGATCTTGTTCTACAGAAGGGTTGCTCTTTATGGAAATTCCCATTTTTATTTTCAATCAGCATCCTTGTGTCAGTTTACATTCTTCCTTCTCCATTCCTTGAATTGGATTGGTACTTGATACCTTCTGTTCGTCTACTGGATACTTATTCTTGGGGAAAAAAAATTTATGCTTTATGGTTTGATTTATGGTAAACCTCCTTGCCTGATTTCTTTTACTGATTTCTTCTGCATGTCTGCATACTAGATCATGGTTGCTAGCCTTTTACGTGTTGATTTTCATGCTTTAGCTTTCTCTATTAAATGGTAATCTCAGTTTTGTTCACTCTAGACCTATTCTTAGTATAGTTGACATAAATTTTGTGTTTGAAATTCTTCAAGGTGGCCACAAGGGCTATGACAAGGTTATCTGGGAAGTTGTTGAACAAAAGCAAGGTGATACTCCATCTATTACATTCAAGTACAACAGCCATGATGGAGAGGAAGGTAGTAGACTTGTCTATTGATTTAATCTACAGTACTTACATTTGGGTCACAAGACTCACAAGTTGCAATCTCCTGTTTCTCTTGGGAATAGGTTATCCTGGAGATCTAATTGTCACTGCTACTTACACTCTCACCTCTGCAACAACACTAAGGCTTGATATGGAAGCTGTGCCTGTAAATAAACCAACCCCAGTCAGTTTGGCTCAGCATACTTACTGGAACTTAGGAGGCCATGATTCGGGAAATGTACTTGATCATTCTATCCAGATATGGGCAAAGCATGTCACGCCGGTGGACCAAAACACAATCCCAACAGGAGAAATCATGCCTGTCAAAGACACTGCATTTGACTTCACAACCGAGCAGAAGATTGGCAGTCGCATCAATGTGGTTGGAATAGGCTATGATCACAACTATGTGCTTGATTGTGGGGACGAAAAGCTGGGGTTGAAGCATGCAGTGAAATTGAAGGATCCTCGCAGCTCACGTGTTCTAAACCTATGGACAAATGCGCCTGGCATGCAGTTTTATACTGCAAACTACGTAAATGGAGTCGTGGGTAAAGGAGGGGCAGTGTATGAAAAACATTCAGGTGCTTGCCTGGAAACTCAAGGATTCCCGAATGCCATCAATCAACCAAACTTCCCTTCTGTTGTGGTTCGACCTGGAGAGAAATATGAGCACAGCATGCTGTTTGAGTTTTCAGTAGAGTAAAGAAATAGTTGTTGGTACATGAATAAGTGCAGAAAATAAAGTGATGATACTTGATTTGCTTAGAAATCTTCTTCTTTTTTCTTTTCTGTTTCCTTTGTAACCTGGATCAAACTTCTTAGATCAACAAGATCAAATCTCAACATTTGTTCTTAGTTCTTCTGTTTCTTAGATCGACAATAGTTTCAAATGCTCTCCAAAATCAGGGAAGCTAGGACTTAATCAAAATGATTTGCATCCGCATTCCTTCCTAATCGAAGCGCAAGTAGTAATTTCTTTAAGAAAGTTGAAATCTATGTTTAGGAAGTGTTTTTGATTACTAAAATCGGTAGAAATCATGTTCAGAAAAGAAGAATTTGCAGATCAATTTAACATCAAATCAAATCCTTAGGTTAGTAACGACTCCAATCTTTACTTAATATTTTCCCAAGCTTATGAATTTAATTTTAACGTGAGGGAAAACTGTACGAGAATGGTAACCTTTACTAGGCATCTCACTTACAAATTTCATAAGCAATCCTTTATTTATTTCCAACTTTCATCTTAAGCTCTCTCCTCAGCCTTTCTAATTAGAAAGACTGGAAAAATCTAAGTCACCATGGCTAAATTTATTCTCACCGTCACAAGATAAGAGTCGTGTTCATTAAACTAAAATATACACAAGAAACAAAACTCTCACAATCAAACCGAACCTCTGATAACCCGAAAAGAGCCACAAAATTGCAGAATAATTACAAGATATCATCAATTTGCTAGAGATATCCTGTCAATCAAACTTAATTAATTGTTCAATATTTCGCTTTCGAGTCGCGCAGGAGTGCACTGCAACATTCATTTGGCGCTCATGCATGAAAATGAAAGAACTTTCAACTCTTTCTGGTTGCAAACATCTTGGAGGTTCAAGTTTCAGCCCTATGAATCCTTGAATAAATAAAATAAACCAAAAACAAAATCAAGTTGCATAAAATTTGTGGCTCCTGATCAAGATCTTTCAACATAAAGAAAACTAATTATCATGGAACTCCAAAACATGCTATTCTAGAATCTAAACAATCAGCGTGCCCTTCTAGGACATTATTCCAAATACTATCAAATAAGTTCAATATGTGACATCTTCACGAGAGTCGTTTCAAATTCCCATAAATTTTATGCTTTTTCATTATCAATCTGACAACTTGACGAGAGTCGGTTCAGCTTCGCTAATCGCCTTTTTGTTTCCTTGGACAAGGAGCTTGAGGGCTTTATAATGATCTTTTCAAGGACCGGTCCGTGTTGCAAAAAGTATGTCACTATGACAAAGTCTTCTTCATTACCCAGAGTCACAGAATCCTTGCATCCTGATTTGTTTTAGATTGGCATTTAAACAATGTGGCTCATTTTCTGGGGGGAATTGGAATCATATCATGTCCCTGGCACAATAGATAGAAAAAAAACAATGGCATAAAATGGAACATTCATTCACATACTATAAAATGGAGTAAGGACATTAATGAAAACAATGTGGCCTATCTTCTAGTTTCTTTCGAATTTTTGCTGGTTTACCCATGCCAGATTATGGTATTCTGTTCGATGGAGGGGACCTTTATCTTGCTAAGGACCTATATTTATCCCTAGTGTTATCGCCTAATTATAGGGATATGATGGTTATGATTTATAGTGATATGATTTGATTTAATGATAGTGTATATGTAAGCTGACTTAATTTATAGGGATATGATTAGCATATATATAATGATATTATTATGATTAATAGATTAGGAAGGGAAGCCTATCTCCTACGTATAAACAGATCACTGTTCATTCAGATTCAATAAAGATACAATTTTCCACCCATGGTTCTTCTAGTTCTGATCCTGTCCAAATCCAGCATCAATGCATCATGGAAGGCCTAGATTAAATTGGGAGAATAATTAACATATTTGTATATTTGGGAAGGATGAATGAATCCTTAAGTCCCATTTTGAAAGCAAAAACAATGTTACTCAAAATCTGATCAACGAAGTTCAGAGCGCAGGAAAGCGTCCATCAATTTTGGAAGTAAGCTTTTTGGCCCCTTAGAAATGGAATACAATGGCTAACAAACTACAAAGGCAGTCACACAGAAGTGCCAGTAACACAGCTTCTGCTCTTTACTACTCTCACAACTGCTGCATCTCACTCAACTCAATATGTTTTTCTTCCAGAAAATATATGTATGTTCACTGCTACGACCTAATGCAACCTTGAAAGTTGATCAATGTCAACTTACATCCCCTCTACCACCACAGCTTCAGTAAAGGTAGCTAGTTCGTCTTAAGTGATGCCCCATCTGTGAAGAAAACGAAGATGTTTTGGACCTATTTAAGGATCTAATTTGACCGTCTCTCTCCCATATAAGATTCCGAGAAAATATTCGATGACACAGGAGCATTGTGGGTGCATTGAATTCCACCAATTGCCAACAATTGATGAAGTCAGAAATCTGCATGGCAGATCTGTTACCTTAAAGAGAAACGAGTCAAATTAGAATGAAACAATGCTGATCAAGAATGCAAAGCTGGGGCCAAACCAAATACAGTAATCTTTCAGAAAGAGTAAGAGCACTCACTGATGATGTGAACATGGAAAGTATATGCACATATACAGTCATTTTACCTAACTACTGTCAGCATTAGTAAGATGGTCTAAGAAAAGAATCAGAAAGTTACCTCAAATAGTTCACTTTGTCCTGACCAATTCCAATGGAACACTTTCCAGGGCCATCTAAATTCCCATCATGAGATATTTTAGACTCAGAAGGATGGTATAAATTACAAACAATTTGATGTGTTTGCTTACCCATGGCTGTGGGTATTTCGGATCAAATTTTTTTTGTGCCTTGGTCTGTTCCGATTGAAAGGTAATCACAATGGTAATTTTGAACTCTATGGAAAATGGCCTGCACCCAAAAGGTGATGGTTAAGTGAATATCTAATGAATTTACATTCAGTTTCCCCACAATAAGATATATCAAATATAGACCATCCTAGAAAAGGCTGAAAAACAATCGGATGAAAATCTGTCCTAAGATACCAAAGGATTGCCAGGCATGGATATAAAAATAAAAAGTCGAGTATGCCTAATCATGTACCCACCCAGCATAAATCGTTGGGCATGTCAGAAGACGTGGAAGTATAACATAAATGGGCAGGGCCAAACCACGGCATACGTCTCCATCTGCAATCTAGTTGAAAGTTTTCAAAAGAAAATCAGCCATATTATGACGTCAAAGTAAAACCTGGAGCTGCAGATACCAAATAGCAAAAGGCTAACTTGCCTGTGTTGTTTGCACAATAGAGGCCTCTGTGGCTACATGGTCTCCAACCAATATTGATTCTACCCTAAACAAATGAATATCAATGGATTGAATAGGTGTTCCAGATGCTTCAATTGTTAACTCGCCGGTAAGGGGATCCAGCACAGAACATTGGGAACACACTCTACCACTTATTCGAAAACCACCTGCAGTAGCATATCTACAGTTTATAAGTCACCTTAAAGCATATCTTCAATTATAAAAGAATGACATGCTATCTACTTTTATGTCATAAAAAAGAGTAAGGTTAGATACACAGGCCTCCCCACCTCCCTCCCTTCCCAGTTTGAAAGTCATATATCGCATCTTGAACTTTAAAATAAGAAGTTGAAAAATGAGAAGACAGATGGCAAGAGAGAGGAAAACTACCTGATTTTAGTTCAGGAAGTAATGTGTGTCTTTGGGTGTCCTGAGTTATATAAAAGAGAATCGTTTCAGGAGAAATAGGTTTCTCAGGAAGACTGTCTGGAAAATAATAAACACAAGAGCAAACCTCAGTGCTTTTAACAAATTGGCAAAGCATTATTGAGAATCACAAGGAAATGTCACACCTTTTTCACTTTCAATTATGAACTCCAGGGCAGCAGACAAAGATTTATGGAGGTATCCTCTTGCAACATCTACAGTCACCAAATACTAAGAGGCATTTATAGACAGAAAACCATGACGACAGTAGAATCATACTACATCACAAACAGTAGAAAGCGCCACAAATTGCATATCACTAACAAGTATATACCTGTACACTGATATTTCCTCCATGAAATGTTTCATAAAATTTTTCCTGGTCCTCTTTTCCTTTATCTTTCAGGATTATGGAAAATGGTATCTGGGAATGACAGCAAAAGCATTCAGCCAAGTCACCACATATTATCAGCAATCCCCGATAAACAGAAAAGAAAAACAAAACCCAAACTAATTTTGACAAATTATCACCAATCCCCGATAAACAGTAAAATATTTTTTGTAGGCAAGAAAAAGTCGCGTAACGATCAATCATCCAATGTTGTATCATGCACGACAAAGCCATTAGTAACACACCTCTGTGACACCAGAGCCAATCTTTCCTGAAGGTTGGACAACAATGGTCTTTTTCCTGACATAGAAACAGAAAGAAAAAATAAAAATATTGGTAGTTGCCACATTAATAACACTTAACATAAGTCACTTGATATTAAAAACTGACTATGGAGGCAACAGCTAGAAAGCTTCCTGTATCAAGGACCCTAAGATTCAAAATATTTAAAATTTCCCTTCGATACAATGATCATCAATTCAGAACACGATCGAAAGATAAACTCAAAAATATCATAACGAATATGGATCACAAATGCTGCATAGATTCTAGCAAAAATGTTATGAATCAACTAAGAGAAGAGGGGAACCTACACAATTGGAATAGGCTTGACAACACCATATACCGATTCTATCAGTCCAGCTGATCCTCCACGAACCTAAAACAAATTTCAATTTTACAAATAATGACTATCTGTAGACATAACTACGTGAACCAATTAAAATGTTAGAAAAACGAAGGAAAATTTAGCTAAAATACCTGCAAATTGACTGAGCCATTGATGGTAAGTCGAATTCCTTGGTGAGACACTGAAGATGAAATTTTCGCCACGATTTTCCCTTCCAGAGCTTCCTAACATATACCCCACAAAGATCACTCAGTTCATCAACCAAAGATTTCTAACTTGGAAAATTCAGAATAACAGAAAAGAAAACACAGGTACAAGTATGTGTTTTTACATTTGGCCGATAAATCCGATGTGAACGGGAGAGTTTGATCTCTAGCGACATGATTTCACAGCCACTCCGACGACCGCCGGCGACGGTGGAATTCTCTTCTATAATAAAAGCTTCAAAACGATGACTAAATAAATTCTAATTTCTCAGGAGGAACGATGAAAACAAAAGACGATGACGTGGCGTCGTGTAAATGGTGGAGTTTCGCAACGTTGACGTGGCAAAAATTAAAAAGTAAAAAAGAGAAGCTTAATTACAAATATCTCCCTGTAACTCCCGCTTTATATCCCAACTACCCTCATCCTTTTCTTTCTTCTTCTTCTTCTTCTTCTTCAAATCTCCGTGGAAAAAGAAAATTCGAACAAATTCTCGGCTGATACTGTGATTGTGTCTGATCGGACGATGAGAAATCGGCTGCTTTTAGGGTTAAGCTGTGTTCTTCTTCTTCTCGGAGTTTTCACTGTCTCTGCAATTGCCCGGCCATTCGTCCTGGTGCTGTCTCAGGAAGACCTCAACCTCAAAGACCCGGCAACGGAAGGGGCTTCTGATGCGGACTCAACCGAATCCGACTTCGACGACTTTATTGATTCCGAAGCCAAACCAGATTATGAGCTCGACCCAGGTTCATGGAGCCCGATATTCGAACCGGGGAATAGTAACAAGAATTCCCCGTACTTCAATTCCTCTGAGGAGGAAGGTGCTGGGGAGAGCACTAATTACGATTTGATATATTATCTGGCTGTGAAGAAGATGGCGAGGGCTGCGAGCAGGGGTGACGAGAGGGCTATGGCTGAGGCTGCGGCGGAGATCGAGGCTGCTGGTGCAGCGGGCCACTCTCACTCGCAGTCGGTTATGGGTTTTCTGTACGGTATGGGGATAATGAGGGAGAGGAGTAAAGCTAAGGCCTTTCTGCAGCATTATTTTGCGGCAGAGGGTGGTAATATGCAGTCCAAGATGGTTCTTGCTTACACCTACTATCGCCAAGAAGTAAGCTTCCTTTTTTACTCCTTTTGAATTAGGAGTTAGTAAGTTTGTATCCAATTTTTGATATTGAGGAAGTTGGTTTGGAAAGGCTTGATGCTGTTTGTGGATTTTGCTCATATGTTTCAACAACAAATACAATTGTTTGAAGGGGGGTGTTGGATTGAGAATTGGGAGAGTACTTATTTTAGAGCAGTTTGATCACATTCGATGAAATGTATGATGGATCTGGTGAAGTTTCAAGAACTTGAATTGATTTGGTTTGTGGAGTTAGAGTTTAAACAATGAAAAATTATTCAGTGTTAGCTATTAATGTACAAAAGCAACCAGGAACAAGGTGTCTGCAATCTGTTTGTCGGATTCATTGTCTTTATTGCTATTTTAAGTACCTTCTCTTTTCCTCTATCTAGCTTTATTTGATAGAGGTTGTCGGGATACTTATTACTTTAGCTCAGGTTGTTTTAACCTTCCCCATTGGGATTTTCTAATGTTTTGACTCCGTTTATTTGGTTGCAGATGCATGAGAAAGCAGTTAAGCTTTATGCTGAATTGGCAGAGACAGCTGTGAATAGTTTTCTTATTTCGAAGGACTCGCCTGTGTTAGAACCTGTTAGGATTCATAGTGGGGCTGAGGAAAACAAAGAGGCACTGAGAAAATCTCGAGGTGAAGAGGATGAGGATTTTCAGATTTTGGAATACCAAGCACTGAAAGGGAATGCAGGAGCAATGTACAAAATTGGAGTGTTTTATTACTTTGGATTGAGGGGAGTGAGGCGTGACCATGCCAAGGCGTTATTGTGGTTCTTGAGGGCTGTAGAGAAAGGTGAACCAAGGTCAATGGAACTTCTCGGGGAGATTTATGCTAGGGGTGCTGGAGTTGAAAGGAACTACACCAAAGCTCTGGAGTGGTTAACACTCGCCTCAAAGCAACAGCTTTTTTCAGCTTACAATGGGATGGGCTATCTTTATGTTAAGGGTTATGGAGTGGAGAAAAAAAATTACACAAAGGTAAACATCACTGCTAATCTCTGTAGTTCCCTTCCTTTCATTCCTTCGCAAAACTCATTGTTTCCCCTCCTATATCTTAAAAGCATCTATGAGTTCACTATCAAAATCATCCAGTTACAAATTCTTTCTTTCTGAACGAAACTGTCTTTCATTTTTGCACAAGCACACTGGACTTCATGTTTGTTACTATATCTAGACTGTAAAGCACATTCTTTTTTTTAGGCAGCAATGAATCTAATAATGTGGCTGGGAAATTATGATGGTTGCATAGTTCCACTGGATCATGGATGCATTTATGAGTTTATATTGATTTGCTGATCATGAAAACCCTGTGTTTTTTCCATCGAAGTTATTTTCCTGCTCAAAATATGTTGCTGAATTATGTTGGAACTTCTTTGTCACAGGCTAAAGAGTACTTTGAGAAGGCTGCTGACAATGAGGAAGCTGGTGGCTATTACAACCTCGGTGTGATTTACCTGAAGGGCATTGGTGTGAAGAGGGATTTGAGGCTAGCATGCAACTACTTTATAGCGGCTGCTAATGCTGGTCAACCAAAGGCTTTTTATCAATTGGCAAAGATGTTCCAAACTGGTGTTGGCCTTAAGAAAAATCTTCCCATGGTATATCATTATTTATTTATTATTATTTTTTTTTTTTGTGAACAATGTTCTGTGATCATGTTTCTGTTTCAGATAATGTCAGTTTTGTGGCACACCAATTGAATATTGGATCGCTAAGTGTTTTCTGAGTCTATGTTTCTCTTTTATTGGTTCATTTGGTTGGAATCTGGATTGTGAATGCTCTAAGTTGCATCTAGTTACGATTTGCACATTGATTGTTTCAGGCCACAGCTCTTTACAAATTAGTTGCAGAGCGTGGACCATGGAGTTCTTTGTCTAGATGGGCATTAGAATCGTATCTAAAGGGTGATGTAGGCAAGGCCTTCCTCCTGTATTCGAGAATGGCAGAGTTAGGGTATGAGGTAGCACAAAGTAATGCTGCATGGATTCTAGACAAATATGGAGAAAATAGTATGTGCATCGGAGAATCGGGTATCTGCAGGGATGTAGAGAGGCATCAGAGGTCTCATGCTCTGTGGTGGCAAGCATCTGAACAGGGGAATGAACATGCTGCTTTGCTAATAGGGGATGCTTATTATTATGGCCGGGTATGTTCATTAGATGCAATCGCATCAAGGTCAATGGTGTTACTTTTTGTTGCCACCTTTTATTTATTCGAGGAAGTGTGTTACTTTCACTCCATTGAACTCATTTCATTCCACCACGATTGGTGTGTTATCTTAGGTTCATAGCTTTATGTACTAGCTAGAAATGAGATGAATGATTGTTTTCTTTCCTTGGGTGGGTAGGGAGGGTTGGAAGAAGGCACTGTAATAGCTATTCTAAACCTTCATTTTCTCTGTTTTCTTGTTTACTTCTGCAGGGGACTGAACGAGATTACGATCGTGCAGCAGAAGCTTATATGCATGCGAAGTCTCAGTCCAATGCTCAAGCTATGTTTAACCTAGGTTATATGCATGAACATGGTCAAGGACTACCCCTTGACCTTTACCTTGCCAAGCGATATTATGATCAAGCATTGGAAATTGATCCAGCTGCAAAACTGCCAGTGACTTTAGCTCTTGCAAGCTTGTGGTTACGCATGAACCACGCGGATAGTTTCATGGTTGGTATTTGTTTATGTCAATGTCTTTCTTCATATCTCTTATTTTCATATGTTAACTTTCCCTTTCTGAATTCGATTCTAGGTGGGCATCATTGATTCACTGCCTGATATATACCCGAAAGTGGAGACATGGGTGGAGGATGTGATCATGGAGGAAGGAAATGCCACAATTCTAACCCTTTTTGTGTGCCTCCTTACTGTTCTTTACCTCCGTGAGCGCCAGCGTCGCCAGGCCGGTGCTGTTGCTGTTGCCGGTGAAGTAGCTCCTCCTGAGCAACCTTTTGGCCACGGCGCTGTTGCTGTTCATTGAACCGGTATATAAAACAGTGAAAAAACATGAAACTGTATACTCCGTCCATGAAGCATGAAGTGGCAAAATTCGTGGCAGCATAGTGTACACTGTACAGGGTTATTAAAACTTCTTACTTGAGCGAAGGAAAACTGCCATTCATTTTGGCCAGATGCGACTTGGACAAGTTAGACTTAGAGCAACAAATTCTCCCTCATTGGTGGAGATAACCAACTTGTATGTATGATTAGATTTTGCAAGTCGTAGAACTTTTTGGTTGGGGCTTACATGTCAACTGGATCGGTGTATTCTTATTTGTTGGATTAGAAATGAATACAGAGGTGATATCATCTTAACCTTTTGTTCTGACTTTTTGGAGGATATTTTTATTCTGATCGCTTTTGGAACTCTTAAATCCAACTTGAGTGAAAGGACTTGGACTAACGAAAGGTCGCAACAAGAGACATTAGGTTATGCTCTCATTCACCGTATTCAAAAATGTAGTTACTACGACAAGGATTGCGGAAGCTAATTTACATTACCATCACTGTTCACGGCGTGACAGATATATGGACTTCTACAGCGTCCACCAAATATCACAATATTTACAGAACACCAGAACAAAATGGCAATTCACAAGACAGTTACCTAGCTAGAAAGCCCTTTGAACTTCGTTGAAAACACGCGATAATTCCTACTTCCCCATTCATCGGCTTTATCGATGTAATAGGATTTCAGGCAACACAGGACCCATGGTGGATTCCTAGAAACAGGCTCCCTTCCATCATCACTTTCTGCAATGCCCAGCAAAATGTTTCGCATCCTTGTCATTACATGAGCGGGGTGATAACCACCAAAAAATGTTGTCTGTTATACGGAAACAAGAGTTGATGAGAGGCAGAAAACATACATACAAAATAATGCAAAGCACCACACTATTTTTTACCGCGTCATCTGCATACAGAAAAGCATGCAATCGAGCAGTTGGATCCTCAAGCATCAATGTGATCCGATAAGTCCCACGTGGACAACGGAACTCCTCGGCCCTCCACGGAAACATTGATACTACTCGAACTACACATCTAAATTTAGCAGTAACCTGAAAAGTTTTGAAGCCTGGTGATTTTTACTGTGACTGGCTTCAATGCAATTGAGACACCAAATAAGCAAGGAACCTCCGGCATTTCACATTCCTCAAAACACCAATACAAGGATCGGTAAAGTTTAACAGATGAATAAGCACAACAAGAAAACAGCAATTTAAACTACATAGAGTAAACCTCTGGATAAGTGAGCACATCCATCAAAGTTACAAATGGTACGTTTGGATGATCAGTTTCTGAAAGATTAGAATATTAACAAGTGTCAGAAACAGCTTTGTTAAGCAACAAGACGAGAGCCAAGATGATGAGAAGGATACTACACCTGTAAGACTCGAAGGCCAAGGGAAACCTGACAAAGGCATCCTTCCCCACTTGGATGAAACTCGTTCATTATAGTCCCTGTGAACTTTTCAAATCAGATGGAATTTCTTTCGTAACATTGTAAGTTATTAAATGCATGAGCAGAACGTATCAACCAACAGACCTTAGGCGCTGTAAGACAAGTTCATCATCATCAGACAAATAGCAAATTCTTGTGAAGGGCATTATACAAGCGCACCAGAGGCCAGCACGATATTCGCATTTTAAGTTGACAAGTTTAAACCATCTACCAGTTTTGATGACGTTAAGTCCAAGCTTATCATTTGCTCCACTGATAGCCACCCTTAAGACAGTCCCAACAGCTGGAAAGCTACATAAAATGTCTCGTGGCAAAGGCACTGGTTCCAATTGTAAAGGGAGAGGATTTTCTCTTTCATCCTCTAGTCTGTAACACAAGAACAAAATTACTATAAGTGGAAACTATATGTTTTGTTAAGAACACAATCAACATGTGTAACACAGAAAATAGGTAACCCATCCAGGAAAACAATAATAAAGAAATGGAAATTATCGCTAGGAACAAAATTAGCGTATGGGAAATTGAAAATACTTCCATGAGTCAATGGCTGCAAGAGGTCTACAAAACATAATCATTGGGAAGTTTCACTGCAATAAAGAGCAGTCACTTGACTACATCCACAAAAGGGCTAGAGGAAGTTAAACAGTTTTTTCTTTTAACAGTTTCCATAAGTCATGGACGATAAAAAAGAGAAGAAAGATAAAAATATCACTTTGTTTCAATAGCCAATGGTGGAGTGTCAGTTCCATCCCAAACAAAGAGCAAGGGTTTGTCCTTTTCGACTTCAGACAGATGAAGAATCTGGTGTAAGAAGATAGTGAAAAAGATAGGAATTAACAGTCAACCTCTGCATTTCTTGTTACTAACTAGCGAATGAAACTGTCAACAAAAGATATTTTAATAACCTTGCAAGCTAAATTGAAGTACTCCCCTTTACTGATCTCCTTCAGCGATTGTGATCCACGAGAACCTTGCAAGTTTCAAGTAATTGGATCAAACAACAAAGAACAAAAGAAAATGCAATAAACAACGCATAAGTACCTTAATTTAGCCAAACTTCAAAAATAAAGTGATAGCAGGAGACCTTTTATTCCTAAGAGGTGTGCATTCCAGACAATTGGAATTAAGAATGCTCCATAACTTCATGGCAAGTTATATAAATAAACTCCCAAGTTTCTAGAACAGGAAACTTTCAAGGTCAACATTTTGACAACTATCAACTGAGGCAGACTAATAAAAACCTCTAACCAATCAAAGCACCTAATTACAATAGTTCAAAAAGTATTCAGGATTCTATGCTTCTAATCCGAGCTACTATTGATACAGGATAAACGCAACAATGGAAGTTCATTCTAGTCGTTCGTATAGGCTTAAATTCCACTCCCGAATACATACTTCGCGAAGATGTGACATAGCAAGCAGAGTCAGAGACATAAGTAGATACTTTCACTCACATCCCCATCTACAGTCTATAACCCACCGAGATTAACACCTCAGAGACCAAAAGCACTACTATACACCTTTCTCAAATAATTACAAGGCTCATACGTTCTTGGTAAAGGAGGAAACAGGAAGGCATCAAAGAGATTACCAGTTTCACTTGGGTGTGCAAGCAACCACTTTTGTAGTTCCATTAAGATTATTTCGTCTTCCTCTCGAGCACGGTAAGTAGAAGAAAACTGGTATGGCTTCAAGCTTGACCCATGCTTTCCTTCAAATAGAGCAAATGAAGAGAATTTCTTGTGGTAGACACCATATACCTCAGAGCCATGAGTTTTAATCTGAATAGCATGCAACTCTAATTTGAGTAATCATTAAAACCATGAAGTTCCAACTATTTACATGCAAAGGTCATCCACAAAGTACATGAAACAAAAAAATAATCAAGAAATCAAGTGCTCCAACTCTGATTGTCGTCAATTGAAATTTCACGCTTAAGGAAACCATATGCATGAATCTAACACCAAAAAAAACCTACGGAAAAATTAAACCAGTATCAAGCAGTCAAGCTTGTTACATTCTTTTTACCGAACTATTGAACGCATTTCAACCATAAAAGGAAAGATTGTTACATTTAAACGGAAAAGGGAAACCACATAAACAGAAGCTGAGAGTAATTGATGAATGTTAAACTTAATCACAAAACCATAACCAGAAAAAGATCACCAGAAACCATACTCATAGCTCCATCAACAAAACTTTAGCTCATGCACACGGATTTATCACCATCAGTTGCCCGCATTATCCATGCATACACCGTAACATTATTATTAAGACTGGAACTTTTATGGTAAAAAAATGTAAACGCAGCCACAGACAAACAAAAGAAAAAAAAAATTAAGAAAAAATAAAAACTAAGCACATACGAGGAGGCGGGTGAGCAGAATGATGTCGCCTGCAGACTGAACATGAGGAAGCTTCTCAATAGTTTCAGCAAAAATATTGACAGGAATTCCAGGGCTTGATTTGGAGTCGTCCACAATTTTAACTACGCAGAAACAATCTGCACAAAAAATTATAAACGAGTTCTCAGCTAATCAAAGTGCAAAATTACGAACTGAATTAAAAAAATAAATTAGGCTTTTTCTTTTCGTGCTTCATGATTACCGGTTCCCCTGGATTGTTTAGGAATGCTAAACTCGGAGACGATTCCGATGAGATTGACCTTCTGATGAATGGCGGAAACTGCATCACTTAGTGGCAGAAATTTGTAATCGTCCAAACTCCGCCTCATCTTTCTTCCTCTTCCTTCTCCTTCTTTCTCTCCAGCGGCAGAGCTTTTGAGTTCAATTTCATCAGTTTTTAGTCACTCTTAGTCACGCCACTACCAAGTTGTAATCGCCATTTTCCCTCCCAAAAAAGCTGGGCAAAGGAGAAATCGTGTCGAGAAAGCTAAAAAGCGCCAATTACTACTTTAGTGGTGATGGTTTTCCGAATCATTACATATATATATTAAAGAAAAGAAAGATAATGGACACCTAATTGAGACCATCAAACATCACTTTTAACTTATTATTATTTTAACCGTTAAAGTTTTATTTATGTGCTACTTTGTCTTTAATTTTATCAATTTTATATTTTTAAGAACGATTAATTGTGTCTAATCCCCAAAGTCCTCTTGCCTATAAATAAGCCATATGCATCTATACATAATTTACGTATTTTTTAATATATTTTTTAATCCAAACATAACATTAATTAGTGGTGACAATTTTTATTATACAACTTTTCAAAATTTTTGTTGTAATATTTTTGACCAGATCTTACAACTATACATCTCATAAATAATATCAATACCTCTCATTTTAATCTAAAATTGATTAACCAAAAAAATTTTACGGTTTTAAGAAATATTAATAACTATATTATCTAATTAATTCTTTTGGAAGATAAATTTTCAACATTGACAAACCCGCGCAAAGCAGGGACACATAATAGTTAAAAATGAGACGAAAGAATATTTTAAAAATAATACTGTATAATTAGAGACTCAAAGTAATTAATAATTTTTTAGGTTTTACCTTTTCTGATGTAAAAAAAAAAAGAAAAAGAAAAATGGTGTATGTAATTGTTTTTAATTTTGTTAATCGATATGTGTATGTTGTATGAAAAAAAAATTATTCTTTGGTGTATCCAAAAAAAAAAAAAAAAGCATTCTTTTGTATGAAGAGATTTTAGGGTCTTTGGACATTTTTTTTGCCTTATTATTTTTTATATCAAAAATGTTTTTTACAAGTTCAATATAATATAGCTCTTTTAAAAAAAATAGAAAAAAAATTGGCGAAGATAAAGATGATCTATTTAACAGAGAGAGAGACAGAGAGACGGGATTTGCATTTGCAGAAAGAACAAAATAAAAATGTAGAAGTGAGGCCCAAGCAAGAAAAGTAGAAACCATAAAATGGATACAACACAAGTTTACTGATGTCAATGTAGCTTTTGGACAACGTTTAATTTTTCATTTGGATTTGGAAAGAGATTTAAAATGTAGTTTCGTGACAATTTTTGGAATATATTATAGTATAGTGACCATTTTTTTAAAATAAGATAATATAGTGACCAAACTTAAAACTTTACAATAGTTTAGTGACCAAATTTAAAACGACAAACAAAAAAAACCTATATACTCTCTTCGTTTTGTCTCATTAATAGGGATCATTACAAAGAGGGACATGTTTGTTTCCCAATAAAACAATGTTACTATCATACATGTTGCATTTGCAGATACTCTTTGTATATTACCATTTGACATTAGCAGATTCCGATCGAAATTCAAGAGAAGTTAAAACCAATTTTGTAATTTACATCGTAAGCCCGCAGCTCGCAACAAATCCCTACAAAAAGAAGCTAGGTTGGAATGCTCATGGGAATTTAGCCGGAAGAAAGTAGAGTTCCCGACCTAAAACAACTAAAACTACAAAAGCCACTAGCCTTGCTGTCTGCCTCCTCGAACTGAAGATTTCCATCAACACGATGCAACTGTACCATGTTTCCCCATGCTATTGAAGTATCCGAGGATGTTTCAGCTGCCCAGTGGTGATGATGGTTTTTTCCATGTCTGAAGGTACGGTGTCTCTGATTCTTCTGGGCGCCCTTGGTTGCATTTCTTGCACGAAAGATTCGCTCTAAAGTTATGGAAACGACATCTGTACAAGGCAAAAAACAACATTAATACAAAAAAAAAAATATCCAGAGAATTCTAAGATGAGAATGCATCAACATATTTGTGAATATGGACTTACGATGGGCACTCCCAATCTCCTGGTTTCATTTCCATCTTCGGCCGTTCAATATGGCAACGTTTACATCGGACATTGCTGGCAAAGTTCATGAATCCACACCTGCATGATCCACCCATGACACTAATAAACATCTGGTGTTTCTGTTCACTAAAAACAGCTACAACAAGAGCTAAACAAAGTTGTCACAAGAATGGTGATGGTTCTCGTAAAGAAAAGTTTGGACGCCTCTTGGCAGCCAAGACCCCATGACTTTGGGCCATCTTCTTCACCTTCTTAGTCTATAAGCTTGAGTTTCAACAACATGGAGCATAGAAAGAACACCAATTGGACACAGATCTGATCTCATCCTGATCAGCTTCTTTCCAATCATAGTCTATTTAGTTAGGATAAAGAGAAGAGGAAGTCGCAACAGGGAGAAAATGGACCTAGATTTCCAGTTGATGTTGACAAAATATGAGAGTTAATATGAGAGCAAAGAAGAGTAGTTGTTTAAGACAGAACAATACCTAATCTGAAACATCATTTTTTTTCCTAATCATACAGTTAAATTTCTAGTGCAATTGTGAAGTGAACACAGCTCAAGACACAACTCAAACCAGTTGACATCATTCTCAAATCAAAGTCGAAACTCAATCTCCTCCTTCCTCAAATATAATTGAGAAGGGAGAAGGATCATAAATAAATCAACAAGAAAAATGTTTAACCTCTTCAATTATATGGCAGCTACCGTATACCGGTATCTGACACTAGAGGTTAAATAGACTTACGATGAACAGTTCCAATCACCCTTTTTCATTTCAATCTCCACAGCTGGAACCCTGGCAGGCCCTTCTGTTTTGCATTGCAAGCATCTTACATTTCTAGCAAAGTTCATAAAGTTGCATCTGCAGCAAATTAACAGTGGTACAATCAGCCGCACAGGATATCTGGAATCTATTACATTTCAGATTGCAAGAAGAAAACATGCCGAAAGTTACAAAAATGCAGGCATTTTAGGATAAAAGTTGTGTGATTATCTGAGCTAAACAGTTCCATTACCTCAAAGATAACATGAGTAAAAGAATCACAAGAAATAAGTTTATTACACATTCAATATATGAGATACTGAAGGAGCTCCATAGTATGAGAAATTTCACATGGCCGCATGCATACTGTTGGGGAGAGGGGTAGATAAAAGTAGAACAATACATAAAGAGGTACTATATTTATCAGAATTAAGTCTCACAATGATCAAAACTGATTGAAAACTTACTGGGTACAAATCCAATCTCCCTTCTTCATCTCAACATTACTTGGACTAGTGGCCGTAGGTCCATCTTCTCCACAATCTCGGCATCTAACGTTTCTTGAAAAATTCATGAAATTGCATCTGAGATGAAAAAGCAATGTGTCAGATCAGGAGCTCTTAGCAGTCATCTGAAATTACGAATGCAGTAGACAGGAAATAGAATGGCGCAAATATAGGGAATGTGCAAAAGCGATATGACAGGGAGTCCCTGCGTTCGGAAAATTCTAAGTTGCAGGTAAAATGCCAGGGAATCAGATGAAATATTTTAAGAACTTAAGTTAAATATACTCTTCCCAGTTTTTGCCAAAAGAACCTGACAGTTCGTATCTTATGCTCTAGACCAAAATTTTAGAAAATGATGCAGTCAAGTAAGAACAAAAGATAGTGATCCTTCATAATCTTCTACACGCCAGATAGCAACCATTTGAACAGGTAAAGAGTAAACAACATAATCAAACAAAAAAAGAAACAACCGCTACATACTTTGAACAAACCCAATCTCCTCTTTTCATTTCAACATCAGAGGAAACGCCATCCCTTACAAAGCTAACAGACTTCTTTTTCAGAGTAACTTTGACAGGAGGCTCGGGGACATCAGGTGGAGGAATTGTTTCGCTTAGTGCAGTCAACTCCCATAGCAAGTTTCTTGCAGACACTTCAACCAACTTTCTGTCTTCGTACTTTGTTCCCCCATTTATAACAAGCGGATCTAAGGCATAGAGCAACAAGAGACGGACAAGATCAGCAGTTCTTGCTGCACCTTCAGATTCGTTCAATGTTAAATTAGCTCTATCACATGATCCTCGAAGAACACAGGCACTGCATACCTGCAGTCAAGCACTTCTTCAAGCTCAACGGCACAAAACTTAATTTTAAACTGAAGCAATTCAACAATCTGGAACAAAAACTCAACATTTAATCGAAATGGACTTCATAGTCAGTACTAGATACCAGTTCCCAGGAATATCCAGAAATGAGTTGACAGTAGACATACTGATTTACATTTTGACACCAACACAAACTTACTTGTCCTTCATCAAGTCCCAGATATGCTCGCAACCGTTTGGCTGAATTCACCCCCTTCCTGAGAAGATTAGGACAACCCTTTCCTACGAGACTCTGCATTTCCTCTCGACCTAACAACCTGCCGACACAAAGTATAACTTTCTAAAGCCAACATATTTACCTTAACAAAACATAATTTGAAATTCGAAGACTAAATTATCTCCAAAATTTCTAAAACTTCTAGTCACTGGACCCCAAAAAACTTTCAAAGTAGCTTGCATAGAGAGGAAAACAAAACTGCCCCATTGAGTGTATCTTCCTCATGAAGGAAGTTTTTCTTTCTCTAACATCATCAACGAATGAAAATTCTAAATATTTAATCAATTTTGTAAATCAAATAACACTCGCAATCCAAAATCATATGCAGTTCCATCGGCAAATAACTTAAACATAGAATTGACTATATCATACTTGATAATATCATAACGGTGACGAGCAAAGTGGAGGCAAGCATCCTTCAATATATTCATGTCGGTATAAAGAACTCCTCCAGCACCGCTACCGCCAGCACCAGCACCATCATCATCACTGCCGGCATTTTCCTCCGCCGCAGATACTCCGTGGGAAATGTACCCTTTCGACTTCAACCTATCAACAAAGGCAACCCATTCAGGCCATGGGTGGGAATTTGAATTCAGAGTCGATTCCAGGACGGAGGCGGTTGTCGCACTGTCTTCAACGACGGGAGCAGAAGAACAGCACCGGTGGAACCGTAGAGATGCAGAAGAAGGAAAGGGTGTGAGGACTCGAAAAGTAGCTGCTGAAGTGAAGAATCTCGGACCGGTGGGACTGTGGATTCGGAAGAATGAAGAAGAAGAAGAAGAACCCAGAAGATTGAGCAAGCGCAAAGTAGACATTTCTTCAACCCACTGCTTCTTCGGCTTGAGGAGAGATTTAAAACCCCAAGTGTTTTTTCTTCTCTAGGAAGATTTCTGGGGGTTTAAGCTTCTTCGGATAAGGGTTTTAGACTGTCTCCGCTTTTTCTTTTTTCTTTCCCCCTTTTATTAATAAATATACTCCATCCCATTATTACATTTTTTTATTATTATTATTATCAAATGTAAAACGATCAAAAAAGAGAAATTTAACATTTTGTGTAGCTTTCTTAAAAAAAATAACAAATACACAATTCACAAATTGTATTGTAGGCTATTTTTCTAGGACGGATGAAGTAATAATAAAATTTCTTGCAAATTTTTAAGAGTGCAATTTATCTACAACAAATGAATGAGAGGAAATAAAAAAAATTTAGCATCATGCTTATGAACAAATATGAGGTGAAAAAAGGAAGAAAAAAAGGAGAGAGGGAAAAGACAGTCACAGTCAATTTAGTGTCAAGTGATAAACAGATTACTTTTTGCATACAATTATAAACTAATCAAACACAGATCTAAATAATCTGTAGTTAATAGTTTATAATGCTTATAATTTAATAAAGACATGTTAATGGTAAAAATAATCCAAAGAATTGAGGAAATGCATCAAGGTCAAAACTTTTTTAACTCATATGGAGTTACATTCAAAATTAATAAATAAGTGAGACCAAAATCGCGCCCATACTTACAAACTCATGGAGTGGTAATTACCTAAACTGTGCCAAAATCCAACAAAAACTGCTCACCCGCCAAATGCCCTCAACCACACACCCCCAATATTAGTAGTACACCGATCATTTCTCGCCCCCTGGACACTTGTGAGCTATGATAATAAACAAAACATTTCACTTGTACTCCCCCATTGTGTGTAAGGTGATGTCTATCCCCAACCTTCTTAAATCCTAACTACATCCTTAAAACTTTCATTGAAACATTGTCCTTAATCTCTCAGCGGACTGCGCTGCTCTCTTGTTGTTGGGCTCTAGCACAAGTGCGTATCTGAAATCTGCAATTTTGACGCCAGCGGTAAGTAAAAAATGTGAGGAAAGGCAAAGTTTCCAAAAGTATATTCTAACATGGCGGCAAAGGAAACGCCTTTTAATCTCATGGGGTCCTAAATAAAGAGATATTGACTTTCCAAACCACATTCATCTCATGATTCTTGTGTGTGATCATGGACATAGCACCAGAAAAGACAGATGAAAAGACGCTCACCTTCAACTGCTTCTCTGTAATAGCCTAGCATTTCCCGTGCTGTACCTCTCCGTAAATATGCCTTCACATTCTGTAGAACATGGCAATCAGAAAATGTCAGCCACTACTTGTGAACTTCTTCTTAGTGGTCTAATCAGGTACTTAAATCACAGCTTCATTAGAAGTTAACCGCTTGCAAAAGATAAAATAAACAAAAATTACCAACAAAATTTCACAAAGCAACAAGAAAGAAAGACAAGAAGGTAGAGGGGAAATATTTTTGGTGGAAATGTCCTGCTTTTCAAGCACACAGGTGATGCATTTATCCAGGTAGAAAAGCAAATAAAAATACCTTCCTGTCAAGATCTATGGCCCTGGTACAATCTTCCTCGGCCTTGTTGAAGCTGAATATAACAAATAGTTAAACCAAGAAAGAAGAGAATACTGATGAACCAAAGTACCAAACCAATTCTCAGAGAGGAGTTACCTTCCAAATTCCAAATATGCAGCAGCTCTGTTACTGTAGTATGTAGCATTTTTACTATTTAGCTTGATAGCTTCAGAGTAGAAACCAATTGCCCTCTGAAACTGCTTCTCCTTGAATGCCTGGTTGCCCTGACAAAAAGTTCCCAGCAACATTATCAGATGCCATAACCATACGGCATTTATTGAGGATAGAATTGACAGAATAACAATCGAAAGAATACTGCTCTTCTTGATGACAATCCATAACTAGATTTTAGTGATCAAATTAGACTCCTAACAAACAAAATTCTTAACAAACCTTCTCTTTTGCTATCTCAGCTGCTTCCTGGTTAAGAGTTTCTTTAGATGGTTTTACAGTTGCGGCCATACTAGCCTGTTCCTGGAGAACACCATACATCGTATGAACTGTATCGAGTAAGAAACGATCGCCCCCATGTTTTGCTATCAAGGAAACTGAAACTGGACATTTGTCATGCAACCCCAATGGCACAACCACCTGTTAGATCAGAAGAAAGGAGGAAAGGGAAGAACCAAAGAAGGGAAAGAAGGGAAAAGCATAAAGGTAATATAAGTTGACTCTCACACTTATAAAGTAAAATCATAAATGCCATTGGTATATTATATATGCTAACCTGGCAGCAACCGGACATGCTCGCTAAGCTTGTTAGGGTCAATGTGCGCAACTGGTAATCCTCAGACAAAACTTCCTTTGCACCAGCTTTCGGAGGAGGCTCAGAAGTCGTTGGAATCACCAATATCCCGTCATCCTATTCAAATCAAGCACCAAAAAGAGAGGAAGGTTAAACAAATGGTAGTACTACAAAACAGAATCAAACAGATTACAGTCGCAAAAGATAAAACACACCCAATTTAGGGCTGAATAAATAAAAATAAGCACTATCTACGCGGCAGCTACTAGAAGAAACTATTATAGTAGCTCTAAAAAAAAATATAAACTCGACATTATGAACCACCTACTAGCAAGGTAATTAAGTTCGCATATAAGCAACTGAAGTCGTGAAGGAAACTGCAATCGTGGAAAGCAATTTACAGCAAAACAAGATTTAACCATCCAACTTTGCAGTAATATGCGTCCAAAGTTACAAACCATGCTCAATCATGCAAACCAAAAAGCTAAAAAAACCTAGAAGTTCAATAGCTTGTAAGTAGATTACATGACAAGGAGATGTTCAAGGAATCGAGGTACTTTTTACTGGCTTCTTCACTGACTGACGTAGTGTAAATCTTCTTTTTCCGTAGGTATAATCACTACAAGTGAAGAATCTTTACCAATTATGAGTTTTAACCATTTGTAGTAACATGCGTGAAATTTGCAAACAAAAGATGCGAAGAAACAGCAAAAAATACCATTCCTATGTGAATTCACATAATCATAATCACTAATCAGCATAAGTTAATTGTGAAAATCACAAAGGACATAGAAAGGAAACAAAAGAGGAGACAAGCATCGGGAACGGTTCAAAATGTCAAATGTAATCACATGAAAGACAGGACCAAGAATCATCGACTAGAGAAAAGAGAGGCACGGAAGAAGGCACGGATACAAGCTGAATGATGAAAACCTTAAGCATCAAGCAAATGGAATCAGAGTCATGGGTAGTAAATGAAAAGGGTGCACATGATGAATCAATCAATAAATAGATGACAACTGCGGAGTTATATTTCAACACCAACACTTCTTAATGACTGATGAAACAAAGAAACCTTCAAAAGGAGACTCAGAGCTGTTCGAATTTCACTCCTCAGAGCATGGCAGTTATCGATCTCAGTTTCCATAGTGCATGAATCTTGGCTTAACTGAGCCAAAATGATAGGATCTAGAGTAGGCTTCACTGAGTTGATCCAGTCCAAATGATTTTGTTTAAACTCATACCTGGGTTCACAAATAGATCAAACATAAATAAAGGAATTCAAAATGGTTTGCCATGATGCTAAAGAAAAATTATTAACTCACTCAACTTTAATGCTAATAAGGGGAGAGAGGGGTGAGAAGAATGGGGCAGACGAAAGCAATGGCTACATATATTCTGCTTCAAAGAGTGGAGCATAAAACTCACCGCCGCAGCATCTGCATGACATCAGCTAACTGCCGCAAAAAGGAGGACTTCAGTTCACCGTTGGACTTTTCCCTCTGAAAAGCTTTCAAGCTTGGAACCTTAGAACGCAAATAGTCACCGAGATTCTCACGCTTTAGCACTTGTCCTAAAAGAAGAATATAATTAAGAACATGATCACCAAACACTAACAGTACTGACAAACAAACAAATATAATAATAAAAAAGAAAGAGACATACTTCCAAACTTCTCCTCAATGGATTTTACCACAGCCCGTGTAATCCGATCAGCTGAGGAACTTAATAAGGAAAAACAATCATCAGCTACTATGAAGTTCCTGGGATTACGCTGGGCAGCAAAAGGAACCTGAAGCAGCACATGTCCCACCAGGCGTAATACATTTGGATCTTTTGCAAACCAGCCTAGAAAGAGATAACTGACATCATCAATCATCACACCAGTTTTGCATCAAGAAAAATTAACCAATCACCACATATTTTTTAGCTAAACACCCAAATTTAAGATTTACCAACACCTCAATACAGTATATACATGCATTTCACGGATAAAAAAGGTGCAAAATGCTTATTATCTTTTAGCATAAGAAAAGGCTTCATGGGCCATGGTGTAAAAATCGAGGGGATGATCATCCAAAAAAGAATATAACTTGAGCAGCGAAACATGATGCTCGAATGCAAGAAATTGGCAGCTAAATCACAACAAATGGCAAAAATATATTGTGTAATAATAACACAAAATCATTCCAGAACAGAATAATATTCAAGAAACTGAAAAGAGGATCATACCAATGGTGTCAAGACTAGAAGCGACAGGAATTACTCCCAATTGAGGAATGGTCCCATAGGAGGGCCTAAATCCTAAAATTCCACAATACGCAGCAGGAATTCTCACACCACCAACTGTGTCTATGCCTGCAAGAAGGAAGTTGAACATGAAGAGCTACATAACAGAGTAAATATATAGTAATGCAAGTAGTCAACATCAATCCACGCCCAATAAACACACCCCGTGCAGCAGTTAAATATATGGCTCAGAGCAGAGGGAAAAAATTTTGAAACAACAATGAACTCACCCAATGCAAAATCAACAAAACTAGCAGCAACTGCTACAGCAGCACCGCTAGAGGATCCTCCAGGAAATCTTGCAGGAGCAGTGGGATTTGTTGGTGCTTCATAATGCTTATTATCTCCACTGATGCTGCAAAATAAAATGCCAAAAAGAACATTAAACTAAAACCACAACTTCACAATTTACAGAATTGACAAAATATTCTTTCATGCAATTGAATGTCAAGACTGGAAAAATTATCCACATGAAAGCTAACCCAGGTCTTATGAATCTATAGTGGAGGCTGCTCACAGGACAAAGAAAGTCATATATACTCATCCATAAACCAGCAAATCCATTCTACCCATGTTACTTTTGCAAGTTCTGGATGCCATAGAATATCTTAAATCTAACAGACCCAGAAAAATTAACCAAGATAGTCCCACTAAACTCAAGAAAAATTCTCAGAGCTTAAAACTTAGTTTTGAACAATTTAAAAAAACATTGTTACTTCTCAATCTGGAATCTACATACGAATTACTTACTGTATGTAACAGACCAACCATAAGACCTATTCCTACTCAATCTGAGCAGATATTTGTTTTATCCTAAATAAATTTTCATTCTTCATATGGTTTCTTTACCAATAGGCGAATGCAATGAAAGTTTGTTACCACAGGGTTCTACGTCCACATTTCATCTTCAGCATTTTATATGCAGCACATACACTTACAGTTCAAATAACTCTAAGAACTAACATATTTTAGCATATTGTACTGACCCGAATGCCATGTCATCTATGACTGTTTTGCCAGTACACGAGGCACCTCCTTCAACCAGAGCAGTTACAGAAGAAGATGTCCGGGATGCAGGCTCATGCGTCTTTGCCCAGTCCAAATTGCCAAATCCAGTTATGGAGCCCTCAATATCAAACCTGGAAAGTAAAAAAGGACCATAAAAAACCTCAGGGTGGGCTGCAAATTTCCAACAGAAATATTTTTTTATCGCAGGAAAAAACTAATCCAAATTGATTCAAGAGCAGATTGATTTAAGATATGAACAGAAACAGATTATCTAAGTAACGAAAAGAAGGCTATTAGGATGCAATTATTTATGTATGTGTTTGGGAGAGAGGGGGGGGGTGTTTTAAAACAAAAGAAGAAACTCCAATATGACGCAAGCTAATCGAAAACCATTGCAAACCTTTGTGGCAAGCCTACTCCTTAAGCAGAGTATTGCAGAAGAAAGAGAACAAGGAGCAACTCTCTTTAGTCCTTCCACAAGATATTAAACAATCCTTCATAACACTTGCAAAATAACCAATTTCTGAAACACTATAATGCATTAAATCTTGCCCTACTTTAATTTCTTTAAACTAAGAATTCCAAATATTCAATACATTTTCAATCACTTAGTATTTCAAATTTCAACAATAAATGAACGGGGATTATAGCTAATTAAGACTTGTATAACACAAGAAATAACCATGACCTGAAAAACGAAACCAGGAAAAAGCCCAAATTAGAACTAACAAAGAGTATCATTGACCTTATTACTCATGGAACATCATGCACCAACCTAATTTCACAATGCATTCCCTTAACAGGTAAGATGATACTAGAATTATGCTTTCAACAGACTAAGAACTTCCAGTTCAAATAAGCATCCAAAATTGTTGTCTCATATCAAACCATCAACCCCCAAAACACAAACAAACGAACAAAAAAATATTCACTACAATTTAGGCGACACTTTATTCTCTTTTCCAACAGAGATAAAAAGAAATGACACAAGAAAAAATCCAGCTCTGACAGTAATAACAACTAAGAGAACCCAGAAGCTCACACGTCAGACACGGCGAAGGTCAGGCCGGTGAGCGGATGAGGGGCCTTGGGAGGAGGAGGAGGAGGTGGCGGCAAAAGCTGTAGCCTCCCAACAAAAGCCCCGAAATCCGGTTTCACAGCCTTTTTCAGCTTCTTGGTGATTAGCAGTATCCCAGCTATTCCCAAACCCAACAAAACGAACAAATTTCCCGGACCATTAGCCATTTTTTACAAACAAAAACTAGCCCAGGCGAGTGGTTTCTCTTGAACAACTTCCTGTTGCAATCTAACAGTTCGAAATTCTGCTGTTGCACTGAGTATTACTGGATAACTTGCAGCTAAAAATTGGAACTTTTTTTTAAGGAGCCCCAAATTGATATGATAAACAATAGGATTCTTTCCGAGTTGTATAGAGAGGTAGAGAGGGTGATTTTTCCTTGCTTCTTCCCCAGAATTCTGTGGGGTTTGGAGTTTGAGGTTTTGGGGAAAGGATAGAATCACAGAACTATGAAACGAACTAGGTAACCTAAATATGAGTGTAGAGAAAATCGGAAAAGTCTAAATTTAATTATCGAAAGGGGCTTCACGTTATGGAAAAGTTTACTTCAATCCCAATTTATTTATTATATTACAGATATTCCCAGTTTTATTTTTTCCCCTTGTTTTTTATGTTACACTATACTTTGTATTCAAATACAGTTCTTGACTAATTGTATTCATATTTACTTATTAAAGATGTTTCTTAGTTCGATGAAATTTTCGTATGTATATCATTTTCTTATCTGACCAATGATTATAATTTTGATTTTTCATATCACTATGATTTAGACTTGATATTACGCTCAAATCATTTTCCCCCATCCTAATCGAGAACTTAATCTATTGTTAGCTTGTTCATCTTATCACTAGGTTAGCTCATGAGCCTGACATACATACAATGGTGTCTATACATCAAGGTTTGGCAAGTATGTTCATGGCATTTAGTAATGCTTGAAGCTGCAAAGTTTGCCTGTTTCTATTGACTTACCCCAAGGGCTGAAGCCCTTCAAATTGAAGGATCAATAAGCTCAAATTTTCCAGCCTCTGGGGCAACATTTGGTTATAGTCGACTACAGAAAATGCAAAAAATGAACCTCATTTACAACCTCGCCTCCCCTCTATTTACGATTCTTACTGAACTATAAAATGAGTAAATGACTAATCACTGCACCAGAAGCCTTTAGAAGAATGAGCGATCGTCCTCATCATGGCCGGCAAAAAGTTCCTCCAGCTGTTCATCAGTCCACAATGGAAGAGAAGCAGTGAACGGCTTCTTTTGCTTTTCATTTCTGCAGTCTTCTTGAATTTCAACGTGGTCTGCTGTCAAACATTTTGCAGCTTCATCCCTGAACCTCTTTTTTGGAATCCCAGCTTTGGGCCCTCTATCAATGCCTTGTGAAAACACATGCTGATCACCAGCTTTCTCTGACAGTGTTTCTTCCACCAATCCTTCACCAGCATCTTGTGACAAGATTGACGGTTCTTTACCAACAATATTATCATTTAAAGTGCATCTGCTGCTGCCTGTTAAACATTCAGGAACTTGATCTCCTTTTTGTGAGTGATGATTACTTTCCAATCTCTGTCTGTCATCAATCGGTTGTTCCATCCCATCTAAGACCTCAAAACTCCCTTCTGGAACCATCATCTTTTCTGGTGATCCAACTTTCTCTGCGAACTCTAGAAGATCAAAGCATAATTAGAAATATGTAAATCTTAGAAATCCTTGCTGAGAACTGTAGAGAGATGGAGTGCATTTGACAGTATATCATAAGACCTATTGGCCTCCTTGAAAATCACTGAGTTCACATTCTGGAAAACCCAAAGCCTACAGTAGCAATCAAAAGTAAAGACTGACCCACCTTCACGAGGAGCAACATATTTGACAGAATGTGCACGAGTTTGATGTTCAGTTGAAAGATCATCTTTCTTGAATACCTGCAAGTGATTACACTTCAGCAACATCAACTATGAGCTGTCTAAAAACTTACTTAGAATTAACATTAGTTTGAACACACAGTAACACAAATTTAAGATAAAACTGGAGTTTCTTGATCATCTGTGGAGCTACACATAAGCCTCATGTAGACAATTAATCATCAAGAGAAAGGAAAGATAGATATAAACTGATTTGTGAACTGGCAACATGTGCCTAAAGATAGCAACAAGAACATGGTTACATTTAAATCCTGTTGCAGATTGTTACCCATCAAATTTCAGAACTTGGAGATTCCAAAACATGTCTAGGTGAACTTTACTTTTACCTTAAAAAGCAAAAGCACTCTATATATGCTGACTGAAATTTAAGACACAAATTTTAATTGGAAAAAAGCACATAAGCGCTTATATATTAAGAAGAAAATGAACAACTCTACAATTACAGAAAATTCAGGCAACAACATGAGAAATGTTGCAGACCTTCACAAGATTCTTAGGCGTTATGTTGAGATAGTATACTGATTTGGAAGGCGAGAATGTGGCAACCTGAAATACCAATTTCTTGTATTAGTATGAAGTCAGGCTCATATAACAACACCACCAATTACTTATAAACAGAACAGGATATTAATGCAGCACCAATAATATAAAGACAAGGTACAGCACAACCTTCTCCAGTATCAGGACTGAACCAATGACAAAATCCTGTGAAAATTGACTTTCACTTAAAAGTTTATGATGAACTGCAGCCCCAATTGTACCGGTTGGATCCTACAACCAAAAACAGAAAATACTGACTGGTATCCTCCCACCAGGAACAAGATACAAACTGGTAGCCAAGCACATATTGTCAGATCAGAAACTATCAGCTTACACACCTTTAGAGTCACCATCAAACCACCAAGAATAATGGGGGCCCGAGATTTGATAACCGCCACAACCTAATCATACAACAAAACTCCTATAGTGAACAAAACCTTCCACATATTTACAATCATATGCTAACTAAACTAACTGATAGATCACAACATGTTTTTGAACAAGCTTCTGAATTTATAGGAATAAAGCTTCAATCATTTTGCATTTCCATATACCATTTCGAAGTAGAAAAATCATCTTCCATTAATCTGGCCCATCTATCACAAAGTCAAATTCATGCTCCATCTGTCTAATGTCTTCAGCCTCTTTTGGGTGCCCTAAATTTTGTGTTTCTTATTGAATATTCATTTAAAAAAAAAAATACCCAAAAAACAAAGGAATCAATACCCGGTCGACTTTGCCAAAATTCCCGCACTCACTGAAAGAGCTCAAAGGGACACTCGGAACAACACCATCCACCGTACCTAAATACACCAAATTCAGATAAACAGTTCAAAGAGTGGAAAAAAAAATTATGAACCCAGAAAGAACAATTACTGTCAATGTTTATATGCAATTCATACCAATGAATTGAAGGGCTGAAAGCCATGGATTCCCGCTAAAGTCATCATCGAATTCCGGGACATCTTCGACGGCTCTCCTTATATACTCTTGGGTAGATACTGGATTGAAATGAATGCTTTCAGAACCAAGAATATTCTCCTTCTCTCGATCTCGAGCTTTCTGTAACATCGCGGATTGTACAGCTCCGGCGGGCCCAGGAATGATTCTGCGTTTCGGTTCCGAGGGTTCTTGTTGATCTTCTTCTACTACTAGGGTTGGAGAAGAACGGCGAGAGCAAGGCCTGAGGAACGGTCCAGCCGGTGAAGCGGTGGAAATCGAAATAGGGTTTTCTTGGCGGTGGAGACGCTTACAAGGGCGGAGGAGGGAAGGGATGTCGGAATCGTCAATGTCGAGAGCTTCCCATGGCTCCATTTTCGGGTTTTGGGGATTTCGTTTTGGAGGGAAAAATACACACATTCAAGAAGCTTCTTCGGTTGTAGGGATAATAATGGGCTTCTACCCAAAGGATTTGGGAATCCAAGTTTAGAGCTCCTAGTGGATCCGGCCCGTGAAGTGCCCTGTCCCTAAGACTTCTATTTTTTTATTTTATTTTTTTTTTACAAATAAGACTTCTACTTAGTACTCCTTTCCGATATTATGAGCTTGCTCTTTGAATTTTCAGTGAACAATAATTTCAGGATAGAGGTGGTATATTCTTTGAAGACATAAGAGATGTTACGTATAAAATTAACTATTTTCTGTTCCAAAATTATTCTTCAGTTTAAATTTCTAACTACACGTCACAGATGAGTAGATGTGGCAAAATAACTCCTTGTGTAGTGTGTTTTATCAATGATCACTTGTCAAATTCTCTTCATCCCTTCTATAATTCCTTAGAGTATATCATCATTGTGGATATGATCCTATATATATTTATTTATATAGTGGCAGAACTCTTAAGGGGCTCGGGGGTACGAGCCCCTCCGACCGGCCGGAAAGCCCCTTAAAAGTAGTTACGGTTAATCTTACGTTATATATTTTTGACCATCGATCTTGATTATATATATATATATATAGTCAGTCCCTCTAAATCTGAGTTGCCGACTCCGCCACTATTTATATACACAACCACAAAATGACACGAATCAACATTTTAATTATCAACCTCACTATCGACCTTCTATTCTCAATATCGTATTTTTATACCATATCCAATGGTCGTTATGAACTCTTGTTGTTACTTTCCAGAGTTATTCCTAAATATTTTAAAGCACCAATAGAGTTAAATATTTTAAAGAAATATGGTTAACAAATTGATTACCATTGATGAACTTTCTTATCAAGAAAATGCAAAACCAGCTAAGATAGAAAAGCGACTACATATTTTAGTTTATTCGTTCATTCATAACAAACTCATTTGTCAGGGTGTTGGGGACCTCAAATCATATTACTAAATTGGTCGGAATCACCCTTATGGCTTCATAAATACATTTTTCAAATCACACTACAACTTAGTTGTTAGGGACTTGGAACCTGAATCCCCACATTAAAAATTGGTCGGTAACACCCTTATGGCTTCATAAGTGCTCTTTCCAAGTCTAAGGTCATTCGACATTTTGATTTCGTCTTAAATTTAACCTATGATGTCTTTTTAATTTAGAAAAAAAATTAAAAATATATTTTTACATTCCTAGATTTAACTTAGGATGTCTTTTTAATTGAGAAAAAAAGTTTAAAAATATATTTTCACATTCATTGCGTTCTTCTAATTATTATGAAATGTTTTTAAGATTTTTATTTCAATTAAAAAGACATCATAGGTTAAACTTATGACGAAATCAAAATGCCTTATAATACTCCCTCCGTCCCATAATTATTGTCCAGTTTGAGTTTTCATTTCTAGTTGAATTTGTACTAAAAGTGAAATCTCAAAGTGGACAATAATATTGAGACAAAGAGAGTAATAAGAACAGGAGGGAGTACTACATTTTTATTTTTGTTTTGGTACAAGAGTACTACATTTTTCAAATCATAATAACAACCTCTTTTTCTGTCCTTTTTTTTTTAATATATAGAAGAATAGCATTAGCAACCCATTAGAATCAAAATGAAAAAAGAAAAATCCCTTGTGTTATCAGTTCCAACTTTACATGACCAAACATTACCTTTTTTTCATTACGGATAAATAAAAAGAAAAGAAAAGTTTCATAATACTATCATGTAAAATGTATGGTAGAAATTTTTAATTCAATGATTTATAATAAACCATTCAGTCGCGATTATATATATTATTACTCCTTGAAGATAAAGTTCACATTCTCAAATTTCTACATCGTAAAACAGGTATACTTTTACAACCCATAAAGATGTGAAATGGGACTATAGGAGGTCCTCTTCAAACAAGAAAGGGGGAAAAAAAAAAAAAGAAGAAGAAAAAGGGATGAAGAACAAGTAAAGTTGAAATTGATGAATGAGACCAACTAGAATGAGGCCGTCACGTTGCATGGCTACCATTTATTAACGCAGATTATAAATAAGGTTCGCACACGTAATTGAAAAGCCAATCAGTTTTCTCCTCAATTACCGCTTTCTTTAATCTTCATTGGCGGATCGAACCAAAAAAAAAAAACTCAAGAAAATGTTCATTTTCTCCAATATCTGCATTCTTCAATTTCTTTAGCCAACAACCAAAAAAAAAAAGAAAAATTTATAAGAAACAATTTGATTTTTGGTTCTGGGCATTGACCCATTTGTTGGAAGAACAAATCCATTCCTTGATAAATCAAAAGGTATTTCTATTGGTAGTGGTTAAGCAAGCATTCATTAGGAAAGTTTCAATCTTTGCATCATTTTGAATCACTGTTCATTTTGTTAGTTTTGATTTGATCATCTTACTGAGGTAATTGTCATCTGGGCATTCAAAGTCAATGTAGATTTTTGCCTGATATTTTTTTGTTCTTGGTGGGGTGCGTTTGATTAGGACAGAGTTTGACTTCAAATACGAGGGGTGCCAACGAAGAAGAAAGAAAGAATATGGTTGCAATAATAAATTATTAATAGGTGGTGGACAACTAATTAAAGGAGAAAGAAAGCGATTGGGATTTCTTCATCTGCCGTTATAAAAAGGAGTTGAAAGGCTTTTATAATGGATTCCCCAACTTCTTCTCCAAGGTTATCAAAACCCCCTTCCAAGACAGCCAACATGGATCACTTGTTGGGTCTTCTCAGAATTAGAGTTAAAAGGGGAGTCAATCTCGCCGTTCGTGATGTCCGTACCAGTGATCCTTACGTTGTTGTCAAGATGGGTAAACAGGTATGTAAATTTGTGTTCTTGGCTAAACAGAGTTTGATTACTTTCTGGGCTTTGGGCTTAAAAGTTGCATGGTTGACTTTCCTTTTCTAAATTGGCGCTAATTGTAATCAGGGTTCAGGATTTTGGTGGATTTTATGTGTTTAATTTTCCATATCTGATGGATATTAATGATGAATGCAGTGTTGACTGCCTTTGGGCTTAACTTTTTGGTTGGGCAGAGCCCTTCTCTGTTATGTGTTATGAAATTAACAGCAAAGTCTATGTATGATTTCCATTTGATCATCCCAGGAGTTCTGTTGTTCTTATTATTATTGTGATTATAACTCAGAAAAAGAAATTGTCATTTCTGATCCCTGAAGATCCAATTTTCTGTTTATTAGTCAGTAAGAGGAGAAGCTTGTTGAAGTCATGGAATTATTGGTTCTACTGTAGCACTGTGAACCACATAATTTTTAGGGTCATCCCCGCGTGACACTAGAAGTCGTCCCCATTCTGGTTGAATTTGATGGAATCAGGTTCTCCTGATAATCATGATCAATTAAATTCCAGTTCACTTGGTGAATGCAACAGTTAACTGATGGAAATGATAGTTTATTGTGGAAATGATTGACCATAAGCTGCCGCAACATGTATTGCTTTAGCAATTTGAGGGGTTTTGTTGCTTCTGAAAGAGAGGAAGTCAAATTTTGATTTTGCCTATTGAGGATGTCTTCAGACAGTGTTTAGAATGTAACATGTACGAAGTTAATTCTCATGTTGCCTAGAAATTTGAACATATCTTTTATGTTGACCTTGAAGAAACGAGTGTAGCAATATTTTGGAGGAGGTATGTGCTGTCAGTGCCAAGAAAAATGAAGAAACCATGAAAGAAACTTTTTGGTAGGAGAAGAAACATAGTGTGGTTTCACATGTTTTATTTCTATGAATTATGGACTCAGAACCATAGTAGTTTGATAGTTACAAGATGCAGGAGGAATTTGCGCTTCTAACAGATTCATATCCTAAAACTTAATTAGTAAATTCCTTATTTAGAGCACCAGACAAAAATAAAGTTACATAAATGTCTCCCCTGTATTCTTCTCTTGTTTTTTTCATTCTAAATGTGACCTATTGGCTGAAAGGGAGCCTCGACCCTCGGGTTAGCAGTACGAGTTGTTGTCATGTATCATTTACCAAGTTTCAGAACAGCTTGTAGATCTAAGTGAAGCTTTAGTGATCCAAACCTTCTGTGCCCTGATTAGTTAAGAGTTCTTGAGTGTAGACATCATTGTAAATGTTTGTATTGCCAGTGATTGATTATGCTATTTGCAACCTCTAATACCATACTGATTATGGCTACTTGTTTGCAGAAATTGAAGACGCGTGTCATAAATAAGGATGTTAACCCCGAGTGGAATGAAGATTTGACTCTTTCAGTGTCTGATCCCAGTCATCCTATCAAGCTGGTAAGTTTTGTTTAATCAATTTTGAGCATAAAACAAAAAACAAAAAAGCAGAGGAGAGGTTATACTTTTACCTTGAAGTTAGCAACTTCTGTCCTCATTGCAAGAAGCTTGGCAAAATTACCTTTAATCTTATGAATTTTGCTTGTGAGAAAGAACAAATTTCTAGTCCATTAAAGGAACTTCATGGCATGTTTAATTCTCATCAATGCCTTGCATATTTCTAGATTTATGATGAAATTATTTTGATATGAATTTGCTTACTAGAGGAATCTGTCTGAACCTTCCAGTTGAAAAACAAGTTTCTTTTGCTGAGTTATCAGGCTGAACGATGTGGCGGATTTGAAATTAACTTTTGGTCTACCAGTTTGGTCTACCCTTTAGTTTGAAATTAACTTTTGGATCCAGCCGTAGCTTCTCTTTTTAGAAAAAAAAAATACAAATCTTCCAGTGAAATTCTATAGTGTGGTTGATTAATGCACCTGATTATTTGGTTCTGAAGTAACATATATATTAACTGTTCAATTTTTCAAACACGGGAAGGTTGTGGTGCTTCACCCGATTAAAACTGGAATAAAAACATTTCCGCGTCCGAAGTAATTACTACTTGTTTCCAATGTACCCAGTTTCAGCTATATTAACTGCAAAACACTGCTCTGATAGACTTCTTTTGCATAGGTTCATCATGGTAGATTATTGATAAGCATTCCTTAGGCATTAGGGTATCTCCCACAGTTTGGTCAACCATCAGTAGCAATATTCACTGGCTTCAATCTTATTTAAATGTGGAGGATTTCATATTGTTATGCAAAATCTATATGGCAGAACTTGTTATGCAAAATCTATAGGATTTACGTCTTTCTTTGATCTTGAAACCTTTCTTATCTCAAAAGAAATTTTTATCTTTCGGCACAGTTTCTGTTGAAATTCTGAGATCTCTTCCACTGTTTCTTTCAAATTGATTTAATTCGTCAATAGCTATACTGAAATTTTAGCAGTAGTGTTGTACTTCCACAGAGCCACTCGTGTTTCCATTGTAATTGTCTTTTAGATTTCATCATTCGTCTTTGTTTCTGATTCATTTCATTTTGCATGGTGATGGATCACTTTCTCATTATAGTTATGCTTGTGTATCATTTCAGACTGTGTATGATCATGACATGTTCAGCATGGATGACAAAATGGGAGATGCAGAATTCGACATGAAGGCATTTGTAGAAGCTTTGAAGATGAAATTGGATGGTCTCCCAAATGGCACCATCATTACAAGGGTGCCACCATTAAGGACAAACTGCTTATCTGAAGAGAGTTGTGTCATGTGGAAAGACGGCAAGATTATTCAAGATATGTGTCTAAGACTACGAAATGTTGAATGTGGGGAAGTCGAAATCCAACTTCAATGGATCGATCTTCCAGGTTCCAAAGGTTTGTAAAATGTTGTAAATGTCTTGAGCCGTTCGGTTCTTCAACAAGCTTGTATGCTTTTCGGCCTTGTTCAATAAATAAACCCTCTCTTGTGTCTACCTATCTGTACCAGAATTGTAGCTCAATGATCGTACAGTTTTGGTTGCCATTTCACCTTTTAGTTATTATTAATCTTAGAGGCTTTTTTATATTGCCGTGTCCGAATTCATTGCTTTAACTAATCTGGATTCGAGCCTGACTTTTGCATTACTTTAAGTTAACTAAAAGTATTAACTTCTGATAGAGCTTTGTTGCCTGCTTTCAGTTAGTGGTATGCAATAAGTATTTCCTTTGTCCTCTCCTCTTTGAGTGATGAATGATCAAGTTCTAATAGTGACATTTGGTGTCGGTTCTAAGATATGTTAGAAACGAGATTATTTCACTAACAAGTCATGATTCAATAAGTGGAACGAATAATCTCACCGTAACCCATTTGCCCGCATATCTAAGTGATGAAACTCTGAAATATACTAGCCACCGTGACACCTTAAAAATTCTCTCCTCGCAGAACAAAACCAGAGGAAACCATCAGTTCATTCAAGGTGTGACAAACAGCATTTTGTCTGAATTAAACCCTACAGACTTCACAGCAAAAATGCAGAAAAGGGGACAAGAGACAGCCTAAACGAAAACAAAACATTCATTAGAAGTAGCAAACACTAGGGTTAGTAAAAATCTCGACTTTTTGTGGATGATTCTGTGAACACAGTAAAAACACATTAGTTACATACAATGAACTTCCATTATCCAAAAGATATTAAGCATGTCAACTGTCAAGCATGCGGTGCTTATATAATAAAAAAAGAAGAAGCAGAATTACAGACATATTTAATCACAGGAACGAGAGTTTGTAATGAAATTGTTATCCTAAAGTTTTTGATTGGTTGGCTTGTCTTCTAAATTTAACAAACAAATTGGAGTCACGACAAAAGACAAACTTTTGAGCCCTCCAAGGTTTTTTTTTTTTTTTTAACAAAAATCAAAAGAGGCGGTTGTAAAAAGATTTTTTTTTTTTGTTTCAGGCACAGAAAGTGAATACCCTCCATTTTGAAATATATGCCGTTTTAAGATTTGATAAATTTTTTTAAATTTACGTCGTTTTCACAAATCGAGGCATATTTGATTATTTTTTACCAATATTATTCTTGTATTGAAAATAAACAGTATTTATAATGAATTTCTATTGATTTATGATGAATTATATAGACAATAAATTTAGAGTATCTTTGTATTATAACTATATTAATTAATATTGTTTTTAGTTTTGATAATTTCTATAGAAAACATACAAAAAATGAGGGAGTAACTCTCTTTGGGGTCAATTAAATTATCGCCTGACATCTTAACCCTTTTTATCCTCGCATGTAATGTAACAAAGCACGAAATTTTGTGGTGCTAGAGAAAAGATTATCTTTTGACGAATCGAAAAGGGGGGAACCAGAATTCAAAGGGGCTAAGAGACAAAAATTAGGACCTTAAACTAATCAAAAATCTATTGCAAAACGTGCAAATTAAACATTGTGTTTGGGAGTTTTGAAGTTCAAGACAAGAGTTGTGACCCAATTTTTTTGCCGATTTGCCCTCTCTCACTCTCATCATTCATTCCCAAGCATGCTTCTTCCTCCTTCAGAGTTTGCTTCTATCATTTCTAGGAACAAAATTTTAGCATATCTTTGAATTGTTGGCTCTCTCCTCCAATGTGCTTTCTACCCTAGGTTTTCTGAAACTCTAGAACCGCCACCAATCAACTTTTAACATCTTCCATTATCCCACAGACTAATAACCATAAAAATATTCCCAAAGAATGCAAGAATTAATTAGTACAATCTCTATATATGTTCAAATAAAGTGGCTATGACTGATAAAATAACACTCTACGATTGGTTTTATACTCTTTCCGCCTTATATTAATGTTCTATTTAGTTGAGATCAAATTATGTCTAAAGTTCGATGATGTGTATCCATGTAAGTCCTTTATCTCTCTCTTACACTTAAACATACATATAGCCCAACTCGATACAAAGTAAACACTCCCTCCATTTTGAAATATATATCGTTTTAAGGTTTGGTGAATTTTTTTAAATATATGTCGTCTTCACAAATCGAGACACATTTGACCACTTTTTACTAATGTTACCCCTACACTGGAAATGAGACCATATTTATAATGAATTTCTATTTGTTTATGATGAATTCTATAGAAGATAAATAAAGATATTTTTATATTTTCAATGCATTATTTAAATTTTTTTTAGTTTTAATGAATTCTCTAGAAATACATATAAAAAAAATAGAGGGGTAATGAAAGTTACAATCGTTGAGTGACTTTTAGAGTTTAAACACCACCTTAATGAAAATTCATTAAGACGTGTACTTTTTTACTTAATGCGTTCCCTACTCTCATTCCAAAGTGAACAGAGGATTATGAATTTAATTCATCTGTAAATTTTATAACCCTTTTTTAAATCAAAGGAAGGGTCCTACATAAACAAATGCAGAGGTACAGAAAGAATATCCCATGAAAATGTAACATCTTGGCATGCCTTCTTTACACCTCGAAAAGGAGGAAACACAAAAGTGTCTGAAAAGTATGGTTTTTTTTTAATTAAAAAAAAATAATAATAATAATAAAAGAAAAAGGATACTATGATTCCAGCTGATTTTTGCCATCAAAATGTGACTAGAAAAAACATCTTTATGGTACAAATTTGATTGCAGTCAAGATTTTAATGTTTCATGGACTGGAAATAATGACTAAATCAACATGTTCTTTGCAAGCTTTCATCATGGGTAAATTTTGTGTGTTTTTGTTTTTCACCTGTTTTGAGGTTTGACCACTGTAATTTTCTCTCATGATTGAAAAAGAAATCATGCATGATTCATACTGTACTAATTGTTTTGCTAGGTTGAAATGGAGCATGAAAAGTTGGAAACCCCTGTGACCAGAAATTACTACTAGTAGTAACTAACACATAATTAATGATAATTAAATTTATATTGATTGTGATTCCTTCTTGGCGTGGTTTAGAAAAAGGGCAAAATAATGAAATAAAAAGAAATAAAAACAAATGTTTGTCGTCAGAATGTCGAGAAAATAGGACCCCCTCTCTGCAGTTTTTATCTCAAAAGAATCTGTTTGATACCTTGTCTTCCTCGTTACTTTAACAGTCCAATCTTGCTTATTTGTCACCCAAGACTTTTTCTTTTTTTCTTCATAATATATATATATATATATATATTATGTTTATTGTTCGGACATATTTAGTTAGGGAATCAACATTATGTACGATTTTGATACTCTCATCTTGCTTAATGCTTTTACCTTATTTCACCATTGTTCGATTTTCGTCGAAGTTATTTTGATGTAAATTCAGACAGATTGGTCGAATACGTAATTAGTGATAATTAATAACAGACTGGGTTAAACAGATGTAACCCTTGGAGTATATAAAATCAAGAGCAAGATGTGCATTTGCGGTCTAAAAGTATGATCTATAAATTCTTTTTATTATTATGATGGTTAGTATTTTCTGTTCAATTTTTAAGGAGGGGAAAAAAAAATCTACATCAACACAGAAGAAGCCCCAAAAAAAAAAAAAAAAATGAACAGCCCACGAACCGAAAAGCGAATCCAAGAAGAAAAGTTGAGAAAAGGGAGCTTCAAAAAAGCTCTCTAAAAACAGGTAGAAATCGCAGACATTAAACACCGCTTCCAACTAAAATGCTTTTTTTTCCCACTTTCTGTTTCTTCTGCACACGAAAAAGAAAAATATTTTAACAAAAATTTATTGAAAATTGAGCCAATACGAATATCCTACTTCATCAACCCAATGGTAAAAGTATGATATCCGTATTTATCTTCAATTTTTATGCGCAAATTCATCCAATTTTCAAAACATCCCTTCTGTCTTAAATACATCCAATTATTGACAACTTTTTTTTCTAGCACAATTACTAGAAATACAGAGAATGAACACTTTTTCTTATTCGAAAAGATGATTTTATTTCTCGTGACCATAATTTTAGGATGGAAAGAATATTTTGTTTGTTCGTATGGTGTACCTCGCTAAATAACAAGTTACATTACAAATTTCCAGCCATTACTGCAACTTTTTAATTTTCATCTGCTCTGCTTTATTAGTTAGTAAAAATAAACAAAATGCTCTGTTATAAATAGTACTGCTAGGCCATCAGAAAAGGTCCAGCAGCATTATGGCAGTAGCAATACTTTTAACTCCCCCCAAGCTCTCTTCCATATAAATCCATTGCTCAAAACAGAGAGACTGCAAAAATAATATACTCTTTCTGCTTTGGAGTTGGAGTCTCTCTGCAAGAGTGCAACTCTCAAAGCTCTTTCTCTCTATATATATTCTTCTTCTATCGAAAGTGCCAAAAGAAAAAAGAAAATATTTCTTCTTTACTGTAGAAAAACCACAGACCCATAAACCCCAAAGGCCAAAAAACACATGCTCAACTACTTCTTCCTTCACTTGTTTGCACAATTCCTCCATCATACCATCACAACTTTCTTCCTTCCCTTTATTTCTCGAGTTCATCTTTGGTTCACTTTTCATCACTTTAGCCCTCCTTGTATGCTTGCTTAATCTGGGCTTGGTGGGGGGATTTTGAAGTTTTAGTTTTTAAGAGTTAGTAGTAAGAAAAGATGATCACTTTGTCAGATTTCTACCATGTTATGACTGCTGTGGTTCCACTCTACGTGGCCATGATTTTAGCTTATGGCTCTGTGAAATGGTGGAAAATCTTCACCCCTGATCAGTGTTCTGGAATCAACCGTTTTGTGGCCCTCTTTGCGGTTCCCCTGCTTTCGTTCCACTTCATTTCAAGCAACAATCCTTATGCCATGAACCTTAGGTTCATTGCTGCTGACACCCTTCAAAAGATCATTGTTTTGGTGGTTCTTGCTATTTGGACTAAAGTGAGCAAAAGGGGTTGTTTGGAATGGACTATTACATTGTTTTCCTTGTCCACTCTGCCCAATACTCTGGTCATGGGTATCCCTCTGCTTAAAGGGATGTACGGTGGATTCTCTGGGAGTTTGATGGTTCAGATTGTTGTTCTACAGTGTATCATTTGGTACACTTTGATGCTGTTCTTGTTTGAGTTCAGAGGTGCAAGGATGTTGATTTCTGAGCAGTTCCCAGACACTGCTGGCTCCATTGTGTCCATTCATGTTGATTCTGATGTCATGTCATTGGATGGAAGACAGCCGCTTGAAACAGAAGCAGAGATTAAAGAAGATGGGAAATTGCATATTACTGTTAGGAAATCCAATGCTTCCAGGTCTGATATTTACTCCAGAAGATCACAGGGGTTATCATCAAACACACCAAGGCCATCAAATTTAACCAATGCAGAAATTTACTCTTTACAGTCATCCAGAAATCCAACTCCCAGAGGGTCCAGTTTCAACCACACAGATTTCTATTCCATGGTGGCTGGTGGAAGGAACTCAAACTTTGGTGCTAATGATGTTTATGGACTGAGTGCTTCAAGAGGGCCAACTCCAAGGCCTTCAAACTTTGAAGAAGAGACTGGAAACAATGCAAACAAGTCCAGGTTCCATCATTACCCTGCAGGAGCAGCACCAGGAGGAAATGCTAATCATTATCCAGCTCCTAACCCTGGCATGTTTTCACCTACTGGTTCCAAAGCATTGGGAGCTGCCAATGCAGCAGCTAAAAAGCCTAATGGCCAACACAAGGAAGAAGGTGGTAAGGATCTCCATATGTTTGTTTGGAGTTCAAGTGCTTCTCCTGTTTCTGATGTCTTTGGAGGAGGTGGCCATGACTATGGAACTTTGGACCAACCAGCAAAAGAAGTTAGAGTTGCTGTGTCTCCTAACAAAGGTACTAAATTCTTCAATCATGTTTTTCACATTTCTCAAATTTTTCGGGTTCATTACTTCTGCAAATTCTCATTCATTTGTCTCTTGTTTATCTTTTTCAGTGGATGCTCATAGGGATAACCAAGAGGATTACATGGTGGAAAGGGATGATTTTAGCTTCGGAAACAAGGGCATGGGTGACCACCATGATGATGAGAAAATGGGTGATAAACAAGTCAAAACTCTGCCTCCAACCAGTGTAATGACAAGGCTCATCTTGATTATGGTTTGGAGGAAACTCATCCGGAACCCAAACACATATTCCAGCTTAATTGGAATCATTTGGTCTTTAGTTTCATTCAGGTTTGTGTGATATGTCACTGTCAAAGTTTTAATCTTTCTTAACTGCTCATAGTACATATATTCAGTTCTACATTGATATTTTACTGCTGTTCTGAAAATTTTTTTTTCAATGTTTTTCTTGCTGCAGGTGGCATATTCAGATGCCTGCAATCATAGCTCAGTCCATTGCCATATTATCTGATGCTGGGCTTGGGATGGCCATGTTCAGTCTAGGTAATTAAAACACCATCTGAAATATTTTCGATCTTTGCAAACAAAAGCTAGCTCCTTTTTTCTGCTGTGATAATGATGAAACCCACAACGTATAGATTACAAAATAGGTTTTTTGAAATTGGGAAAAAAAAAAGCATGCTCAAACTAAAAAGCAGAGTAGTTTCAGAAAAGAAAACATCCCAACAGTGTGGTCATCATCATAGCATGTCTGCTTGCTTTAGACAAACTTTTTATTTCTCTCTGGCACAAATGTTTAGCATTCATTCATTCATTCTCAGCATGCCATGATTAGTAGTAAGTACTATACTATAGTTTTTGTAACAGAGTTGGCAGAGTCATCACTGTGTGACTGTGTGTAAGTAAGTAGTAACTTTGGTGGTGGTAGTGATGATAATGAAAATGAAAGGTTCTTTAGCATAAAAATTGTTTCAAACTCTGTTAAGCGATGACTGAAATTCTGACAAAAGAGAAAAAATTTAAAGCAGTCTGCTAAAAATTTCTTTCTTTCTTTAATTTATTACACAGGTCTGTTCATGGCTTTGCAACCGAGGATCATAGCATGTGGGAATTCAATAGCAACTTTTGCAATGGCCGTGAGATTCCTTGCAGGACCAGCTGTCATGGCAGCTGCTTCCATTGCTGTTGGACTTCGTGGAGTTCTCTTACATGTTGCTATTGTACAGGTCATTCTCCCCTTTCACTCTTTTTTTTCCCCTTCTTTTTGGCCATCTTTTTGATATTGAACTAGTTTGGACTTTGGAGTTTAGACTAAAAATTCAGTTGTCCTATTTGGTATCCACCCATCATTATTCACTTGTATTTAAACCTTGTGGAATGCTAAAGATTCAATTTTGGCCCATGAAAATGACCAAAAGTAAATTAGCCAAGCATAAAAATGAACACTTTTTGTTTACGGTTCATCACTTCCAATTTAATAAGGTTGAAGGGGGTGGGCAGTGTGATCCCTTTTAGTCTATAAGCAGACAAATATATAAACTTAATAAAATACTAGGAATTTGTCAGTCAAACACGTGAATCCAAGTTTGTTACTTTACATAATGACATTAAAATATGTTAGCAAATCCTATGATGATAATCAATTAATTGTAAAGGGGGTATATATGTTTGGTGAATTAAGAAATATATTTTGATTTGGATTTGACGATTTTGGATTGTGGACACACGTGATTGTAGAATTAAACAATTTTAATTTTCTTTTTGGGATTAAAACAGGCTGCTCTACCTCAAGGAATAGTTCCATTTGTGTTTGCGAAGGAGTACAATGTTCATCCTGATATTCTCAGCACAGGGTGAGTATATATACATTTTTTATTTTGAATAATTATATATAAATTTTTTTTAAGTAGTATTTTTATATACTTTTTGATCATTTTATGGATTAAAAATGTTGCAGGGTGATATTTGGGATGCTGATCGCCTTGCCTATAACTCTAGTATACTACATTTTGTTGGGAATCTGAAGAGGGCAGAAGAGGAAGGTGATGATTATTAGATGATATTTTGCTGAAGTACATTGGAAGAAAGGGCTTTTAGCTAATTACAGAACGAAGTAAGGGTTAATAATTAGCTTAGTTTTGAAATTAAAAAGAAAAGAAAGAAGTTCAAACAGCCCCTCATGGAATTGCAGAGAAGAAAAGGAGCTACTAATCCAGATTGTCCCCCTTAGATTAGTCTTCATGGATCATCTTTTGTAGCTATTTAAGCTGTATAATCTCGTCTGTAGGACAATTAAATTATCAGAATGAAAAGAAAAAAAAAAAGAGATCTCGAGCTTAGATTAGTTTTATCATATCTGATGCCTTCTTTCTCTAATTTTACTTCATTACATATTCCCTTGTGTTGTTCATTCTTGAAGTTTACAGAACCTAATTTACTAGCTAATCTCTATATTTCATTAATGTAACACGATTACTCAAAAGGGAGTTTTCATTCTCGGCATAAACTACTTGCATTATTAAGGAGAAAATGTAACGGCCTGGCTGCATTTGTAAAGTTTATTAGCTTTGGCTATAAGTAGTCATTGGATGAGCATCTTTTTTAGAGAGTTCACTTTACCATATTAATGGTACCTTTGAAAGAGGAAAAGCGTTAGAAATGAAGATATGTATTGTTCCTTGGAGAAAAGAATGGCTGGCTTCTGATCCTGTGGGGAAAGAAAGAAAAAGAGGAGGAGAAAATTCCAGGTTAAGATGTGACAAACAGCCATCATTTCCGCTATATATATTCGCTGTAAATGCGGCAATTTTATGCCCAAAGGTTTTGGAGAGGGAAAAAAGTTGTTGGAAGTGTGACAGGCAGCATATTTCTCACCCCACCCCCAGAACGACTCCTTTTTCCCAAAGGATTTCTTAAAAGAAATGACAAGTGAAAGCAATGGCGCTTGTTCTTTTGGGATTTTTTTTTCCTCGGTTTATAATCACGATTGACAACCAAAGATTTTGAGTTCTAGGTTTGAGTATGTATGGCACGTGTTTGCAATTGAATCAATGGAATTCGGATCATTGAGAAACATCAAAGGGTTTTAGGTATATTGTAGTAAGTTCTTCCTATGTACGATATAAATGCCGGCATTTATTTGCATGGAGATGTATTAACACGAAATCATTCATCGTGACATGATGTTCAATTTCTTTGCTATTGATCCATTGTATTGATTACGGAGTTTTTGTTGCTCTCTCTCCCGAAATACTTTTTCAACGATAACAGTAAACCAAGTCTAGACTATCATTTTGGAACGAAAAGATCCAGCAATTAATAATTCAGGAGTGTGTGTCTTTCTTTCTTGTGTGGTGGTAGTCTTTGCACTAAAGATGTGAAAGTTGAATTGGTACACTAGTTTTGGAAATTCCTGGCCAAGACAGACAAGGCACGCGGAGAGGTGGGAATCATTCCCTTCAGTGCAATGTTTTGATTATTATTCCGGGTAATGATCACCCCTTGAGAAAATCTTTGAATCCTGTTTATTAATATCAAACGATAGATATACAGAGCTACTGGAGAGGCATATATAAATGCAGTCTGACAAAATCATGATTATCGTCTTATTGAGCCCAGCGCTTATTTGAGCGTGTTTAAAGCCAAACAAACAACTAATAACACTGTAATACATATATACAAGTGTAACATCACAAGACTTATTCTCAATGTTTTTTCTCTAGGAAAATATACTTGCATTGCTCATTGCACGCACTCGTATGAACAAATGTATTTTATTTTTTTTAAATCAAGTTTAATTTCTGGGGAGAAAAACCGTAGTAGGAGTTAATTGATCGCAAGAGACTAGCATATTTAAATTATTAAAAAGGTTTGCTTAACTTAATCTCATTTTGAGTATAAAATAATCCTAAATCTTTTTCAGTTGTTACACAGTTCTTCAAAGTGCACACTGCTCATCAAATGAATTAGTAATCAATATGTTTGGTATCGAATTACTTACAAATTCTTTAAAACAATTATTCATTGTTGTCGATGATATACAATATCGTTCAAAATAGGAGGAGAAGAGGCCCGAAAGATTTAAAGGGGAAGCAAAATGGAAGTAGTAGTAGTACTATGGATGAGTCCAAGAAAAAACAGAAATCAGAGTTTGTCTTTTGCTAGAACTATATAAACTCTTTTACGGGGGGGTGGGGGTGTGGGCGGGGAGGGGAATTGCAACTCCCCAGAGGGTATATGGAGGGGCTTTGAAATGAGGGGAGGGGAATAAGGATTGAGATGGAGACCATAATGTCTCCCACTATCCCTTGCTGGGTCGGCCCTTTCCTCGACAATCTTTTCTGCCCTCTGTCCCCACTTATAGACTCCACCCCCTCCCCTCCGTATTTCCGTTAATTAGATTATTTTTTTTAAACGTGAAAAAAAAAATTTCATCTTTACTACAAAAATAATCCACATCGAATTTGAATTTTATAAGTAAATTTTGTACTTACAAAATTCAAAATTCAATATGGACTATTTTTGTGGGCGGAAGTAGTATTATATAATATGATGACTTATATTATTGTGTATAGTAATCAGTACTAATGATATTTGATCCTAAAATCCTTGCCGCAATTTGATTCATTTCTTATTTTACCGGATTCTTGATTGAAAAATACATATGTGGATGATGAATTTAATTATGCAATATGAATGGTTAGTGTTCATGGTGTTATAAATGATAGGTATGAATTATGAATTTAGTGATTTCATCGTGAAAATTGATCTCTACACCGTGTATATACATACATTTGTAGCAGAATTAACAACCTTTTTGGGAAATTAGTAGCCATAAGACAATCTTGTGAAGATATAAATAATCAGAGCGTGATATATCCGTGACAAAGGGTTTTGAGGGAGATCGTTGGCCTTGTAAGAATCAACTGAGATTCGGCTGTGCGGATCTTGAGTCTACATTTTGTTTGTAGAGATTTTATAAATTGTACAATACGATGAAAAATAAAATAAAAAACGCAATTGATATATGACATTGGTTTATTCACTGATGGATTGTTATGTGCTTACTTGTTCGTAGCGATTTTGTTAATAAATATTCCCTCCGTTCCAAGAAAATAGTCAGCATTGAATTTTTAAATTTACACTAAAACTAATATAAATCTCAAAACTTAATGTTGACTGTTTTTTTGGGACGGAATTAAGTAGTAATATACTTAGTTCATTAATTGTAGACTATATGTTTAAATTTTTTAGTGTAATGACAGATATACTTAGCGGTATATTTAAGTATTTAAATTTCGGATGCAATAGAAGTGAAGTGACACAAGATCCAATTGGTTAACAACAGCATCGCAGATGTATGTATTATAAGTAGAAAACCTTTTGGTTTTTTGCATCAATCACATGTCTCTGTATTTTGTGGCTTGTCTTCATCCCAGCCAAAGTTGTAAGTGAATATGCTAAGGAAAATAAAATCCTCCTTGTTGCCTTTTCTTTCTTTCTTTTCTATTTTCCTTCCATATTTTCAAGGTATAGTTACCGGCAACAATGGTGGCAAATTTTCGTAATTGTATTCTAAGCTATCTCAATGAATTTTTAGGTCGCTCCATTCATGACATCATTACTTTTATGAGCTCTTTCGTTCATCGTACCTTTTAATTTTATTGACATTATTTTTATTCTTTTCGTGCCTAAAAAAATTTGAAAGTTTAATGTGACATTTTTTTTGGGACGGAGGTAATATTATACATGGAAGGCTATTAAATAAATATATTTTCACGTGAAAGACAGAATTGATAATATTAAAAGAATTACATTTACATTCAAGCTGTAATCAATGGGGGCCTTTCATCAATTGATAATTTAAACCTTTTTTCACTTTCTCTTTTTTTTTTTAATAAAAAAAAACAAATAAAAGTGAAGGGAATCATCAGAATCTAACTTGATTACACACACAAAGTATCTCAAAAGTTGGAAAACGACACCGGTTAACAAATCTTCCAAGGATACATGATGATAGGGGCCCCCGCAAGAGAAGAAGAAAGAATCATCTTTCTCTTCTCTTCATTTTTTCAGAAGGGATTTTCGTCATCTCGGACTTTATTTGATTGCGTATCTTAAATTGATATAAACATTAATCTTCTTTCAAAAGCATCCGTGTGCATTAACTCTATTTAAATATATATTCTCTCTCCCAAAAGTTTTGTTAGATTTTTTCTTCTTCTTTTTTTCTGGACTGAAACAATACTATATATACTGAAATATTGTGCATTAAAGGTACGATATACTTATCGAAAGATAAAGTGGGTATACATCAAAGAAATAAATAAATACAGTACCTTGATAAACAAATGGAAATCCCCATGGCTCATTTGACACCCGACACATATTGCTATATTCCACACCGAAATGATCTTATGCAAGAAACAGATAAGAAAGCTGAAAGATGTATATTGTAGTCTGTTTTTCCGAAGCCAAAGGCATGTTTATTGTCCAGTTTTAATCGTTTGAGAGCAATATGTCAAATCTTTGATGAATGAAGAAAGAAATAATGTAAAATTACGGTGTTAAAATCTTGATAAATGATACTCCATAAAAGATGATATAGAATTACATTGTAAGAGATCTTTTGCAGCGCAAAATTTGTATGATTGTTTCATGTTGATGATTCCATATTAGTTATCATAACTACGGTTCAGTTACATTGTACTAATCACTCGGCATCATCACACATAAAATATTCAGCGAGTACAACCTTTATGTAATCTAATCTATACAACTTTAATTTTATAAGATTTTTTTTTCTTTTTTTTTGTGTACTTCAATCACCGACTTGATGTAAACATTTTTATTTTAAGATAAAATTTTATGTGTAGATTATACTTAAACTTAATTTTACTTTTTACGGTAAACCAACTACCTTCTCCCCGACCAATGTCAAGGGCAAATTCATAACACATTAGATTAATTAAAATCTTAAAATCTTCAAACACCCTTCCATATAAAATAACAAATCTAATTCATAATTAAACTTTATGATGAAGCATGAATCAGCACGGTGCCTTAGGACGGGCGGTGATGATGATTTAGGCGGCGGCGGAAAGCCTAAAACTTGCAAGACAGAGCCTCGGGTGTCTCCCAAGGGTAGACTCTCTGATGCTTAAGTCAATAAGGGAATAAAGAGAATAGAGAGAAAGAGATGTGTATCGTGTGTAGAAGATATAGAAGATAGGTAGAAGATATATCTTATGGAAGAGGCACTACTTCTTTATATAGAGGTGGTGTTACCTGTTTCCTGAAACCCAAGCGGAATAGATTTAGGCGGTGGCTTAATCTCCAAGTAACCTAATCCTAGGCCCAATAGGCCTGGGGTTAATTTATGACTCGTCAAGTGCCCCTAGCAAGCCATATTCTCGAGACTTGATGAGAAGAATATGGGTTGCTACGAGTGTTGATGTCTTCCCGAGTTTCGTGGTGTTGCCCTAGTTCTCGAACTCTTTCGTTCTCGGGTGTCACCTATATAAGATAAAGAGAATAAAGTGCCT